GAGACAGAGGCAGAGAGAGAGACAGACAGAGAGAGAGAGACAGAGAGAGAGAGAGACAGAGAGAGAGAGACAGAGGCAGAGAGAGAGACAGACACAGAGAGAGACAGACACCGAGGCAGAGAGAGAGAGACAGAGACAGGCAGAGAGAGAGACAGACACCGAGGAGATACAGAGAGATAGAGAGAAACAGAGAGACAGAGACACATACACACACACACACACACACACACACACACCCACACAGAGAGACAGACACAGAGAGAGAGAGACAGAGAGAGAGACAGAGAGAGAGAGAGACAGAGAGAGAGAGAGAGACACACACACCACACAGAGAGAGACAGACACAACACAGAGAGAAAGACAGAGAGAGAGAGAGACAGAGAGAGACAGACACCGAGACAGAGAGAGACAGAGACAGAGAGAGGCAGAGGAGAGAGACAGACACCGAGAGATACAGAGAGATAGAGAGAAACAGAGACAGAGACACATACACACACACACACACAGAGAGAGAGAGAGAGAGAGAGAGAGAGAGAATGGAAGAGAGAGAGAGACATCTTTGTTTAAATGTTTATGGAGATTCTCAGTCATCCAAGTCATGGTTGTCCCAAAGGTGCTTTTTTCAAAAGGCAACTGGACTGTCTGATTTTGCTTTGAAGGCATTTTGCTTCTCATCCAAGAAGCTTCCTCAGCTCTTCTTCAGAGAGATAAAGAAGCTTCTTGGATGAGAAGCTAAATGTCTTCAAAGAAAAACCAGAAAGTCCAGTTGCCTCTTGAAAAAAGCACCCTTGGGACAAACGGTTGTTTAGTTTGTGGGAAGAAAATGCAAAAACACACAGACACACCCCAGAAATTCAACGCATTCTTCCCTTGCATAGAAGAAAGGGAGCAGATGCCTCCTACGCCCACAGCTGGTCAAAGGGTGGGAAGGGAGTCTTGGATGTTCTGCTTTGCTTTGATCTTCCCCTTTTTTCTTACAGAGCAGTGGGCCCCCATGGACTGAACGTGTCCTTCCAGATTCCCTTCAATGGCAGCCAGGCTCCCTGCTCCCCCTTTATCTCTTAAAATCCAAATTTCAATGACCTGTACTGAATCTGATCTACTTCAAAGCCAACTCCAGACTCAGCTTTATTTACCAGAATACTGTCCTTCTGAGCCTTACAAGGTCACAGGGCTACCCTTAGATAGCTCACTATATCTCAGTGTTCCTCAACCTTGGCGACTTGAAGCTGTGTTGGACTTCAACTCCCAGAATTCCCCAGCCACGTGGCTAGGGAATTCTGGGAGTTGAAGTTCAACACAGCTTCAAGTCGCCAAGGTTGAGGAACACTGTTCTATCTGGGTGATGCCCTGGACAGCTTCACTCAGCTTGAAATCTCTGTTCACTGCCATTGTGTAATCGTCAAAATTATTGCAGTCCTCATATTAGATAGTAGTATTCTTTACAGACCTTGGCTGCAACCCAGCCTTTCCTGGAAATTTGCCCGTCTGCTCAGAAAAAAAAAGGAAGGCACAAGAAGGGGAGGGGGACAGGGGCTGAAGGATGAAAGGAAGACCAATATTCATTCGGGGTCGGGTTTTTTTTTTTTGCATAAGTCTTAGGGATGATAAAGAAAAGTAAGTCCTGTTTATTTCATCCACCCCCAAGCAAAGATAGATAGATAGAAGATAGATAGATAGATAGATAGATAGATAGATAGATAGATAGATAGATAGATAGATAGGAATAGATAGTAGGTAGGTAGGTAGGTAGGTAGGTAGAAGAGATAGATAGATAGATAGATAGATAATAGATAGATAGACAGACAGATACAGACAGACAGACAGACAGACAGACAGGTCGGTAGGTAGAAGAGATAGATAGATAGATAGGTAGGTAGGTAGGTAGAAGAGATAGATAGGTAGTAGGTAGGTAGAAGAGATAGATAGATAGATAGATAGATAGTAGGTAGGTAGAAGAGATAGGTAGGTAGGTAGGTAGAAGAGATAGATAGGTAGGTAGGTAGAAGAGATACATAGATAGATAGATAGGTAGGTAGGTAGGTTTGGTAGGTAGAAGAGATAGATAGGTAGGTAGGTAGGTAGGTAGGTATAATAGATAGATAGGTAGGTCGGTAGGTAGAAGAGATAGATAGATAGATAGATAGATAGATAGATAGGTAGGTAGGTAGGTAGGTAGGTAGAAGAATAGATAGATAGATAGTAGGTAGGATAGGTAGGTAGGTAGGTAGAAAGATAGATAGATAGGTCGGTAGGTAGAAGAGAGAGATAGATAAGATATATAGAGAGATAGATAGATAGATAGATAGGTAATAGGTAGGTAGAAGAAATAGATAGGTCGGTAGGTAGAAGAGATAGATAGATAGATAGGTAGGTCGGTAGTAGAAGAGATAGATAGATAGGTAGGTAGGTAGGTGGGTAGAAGAGATAGATAGGTAGGTAGGTCGTAGGTAGAAGAGATAGAAGAGAATAGGTAGGTAGGTAGGTAGGTAGGTAGGTAGAAGAGATAGGTAGGTAGGTAGGTAGAAGAGAAAGATAGATAGATAGATAGATAGATAGATAGATAGATAGATAGATATAGGTAGGTAGGTAGAAGAGATAGATAGTAGTAGGTAGGTAGGTAGAAGAGATAGATAGATAGGTCGGTAGGTAGGTAGAAGAGATAGATAGATAGGTAGGTAGGTAGGTAGGTAGGTAGGTAGAAGAAATAGATAGGTCGGTAGGTAGAAGAGATAGGTAGGTAGGTAGAAGAGATAGATAGATGATAGATAGATAGGTAGGTAGGTAGGTTGGTAGGTAGAAGAGATAGATAGATAGGTAGGTAGGTAGAAGAGATAGATAGGTAGGTAGGTAGGTAGAAGAGATAGATAGGTCGGTAGGTAGAAGAGATAGATATAGGTAGTAGGTAGAGGTAGAAAGATAGATAGATAGGTCGGTAGGTAGGTAGAAGAGATAGATAGATAGGTAGGTAGGTAGGTAGGTAGGTAGGTAGAAGAAATAGATAGGTCGGTAGGTAGAAGAGATAGGTAGGTAGGTAGAAGAGATAGATAGATGATAGATAGATAGTAGGTAGGTAGTTGGTAGGTAGAAGAGATAGATAGATAGGTAGGTAGGTAGAAGAGATAGATAGGTAGGTAGGTAGGTAGATAGAATAGATAGGTCGGTAGGTAGAAGAGATAGATAGGTAGGTAGGTAGGTAGGTAGGTAGGTAGAAGAAATAGGTCGGTAGGTAGAAGAGATAGGTAGGTAGGTAGGTAAAGAGATAGATAGATGATAGATAGATAGGTAGGTAGGTAAGTAGGTAGATAGATCGGTAGATAGGAAAAAGAGATAGATAGAATTCTTTATTGGCCAAGTGTGATTGGACGCACAAGGAATTTGTCTTGGTGCATACCAGAGGTGGGTTTCAGCAGGTTTTGACCAGTTCTGAAGAACCAGTAGCAGAAATTTTGAGTAGTTCGGAAAACCAGCAATACCACCTCTGACTGGCCCCGCCCCCATCTATTCTCTGCCTCTCTTGGCATCCTCTTAGAGAGTCACTGAGGCCACTTGGAGTAAAAGGAGGCCAATGACCAGCTGTCTGCAAGGAATATTAATCCTTCCATTCCCCACTATCCTATCAGAGCTGAAGAAGCTTCTTGGGATGAGAAGCGAAACATCTTCAGAAGAAAAAAAAAACAAGGAAGTCCAGTTGCCTCCTGAAAAAAGCTCCTTTGGGACAACAACCCTAACCTGGAGGACTGAGAATCTCTTCAGATATTTCCTCGAATCTGAACGCAGCTCAAAACACCCCTGTGTCAGAACTAGGTCCTGAGTTATACCCTCTTGGACAGCTGCTACACCTGCAGCTCAGCATCTCGTGTGAACTCAGCCACCCCGTGTGAAGAACAGGGACTGGGGGAGCCAACCAGTGGGGAAATTAAATTTTTTTTACTACCGGTTCTGTGGGCGTGGCTTGGAGGGCATGGCTTAGTGGGTGTGGCAGGGGAAGGATACTGCAAATTCTCCATTCCCTCCCCACTCCAAGGGAAAGCATACACCTGCAAAATCCCCATTCCCTCCCTCCACTCACTCCTGGGGAAAGGATACTGCCAAACTCCCACCATATTCCCTCCCTACTCCAGGGGGAAGGATATTGCAAAATCTCCATTCCCCCCTACTCAGGGGGAAGGATATTGCAAAATCCCCATTCCCTCCCCACTCCAGGGGAAAGGATTGCAAAATCTCCATTCCCCCCCTACTCCAGGGGGAAGGATACTGCAAAATCCCCATTCCCTCCCCACTCCAGGGGAAAGGATACTGCAAAATCCCCATTCCCTCCCCACTCCAGGGGATATTGCAAAATCCCCATTCCCTCCCCACTCCAGGGGAAAGATACTGCAAAATCCCCATTCCCCCCCACTCCAGGGGAAGGATATTGCAAAATCCCCATTCCCTCCCCACCTCCGGGGGAAGGATATTGCAAAATCCCCATTCCCTCCCCACTCCTGGGGGAAGGATATTGCAAAATCTCCATTCCCTCCCCATTCTGGGGCCAGCCAGAGGTGGTATTTGCCGGTTCTCCGAACATTCCCAAACAGACGACCCGCCGTACACGTGTAAATGCTTTCGGGATGTTTTGGTCTGATTTCATGCAGGGCGGACGGCTCTGCGGGGTTGTTGTTGTTTGTTTTGCATCGGACGCCGCGACAGCTGCAACGGAGCTGCAAGGCAGCCAGGTGCCAAACCCGTGGTCTCCTGCGCGGGATCCATCCGTTGCTGACACACAACACAGCGCAACTGCCCCTTTTGTAAACGAGCCCGCTTTGGAAACTGCGCAGGCGCAAGCTGGAACTGGCTCATTCTCCAGGCCGGGCTCCGCGAGTGACCCCCCCAAAAGGCACGACGGGGAGGGGGGCGTGGTGAACTGGCGCTTGCTTCTGCCATTGGGCGGTTCCTAACCGGGGGGCGGGGCCAGAGTGGCGGGAAATACGAAACTGGAGTCCGAAAGCCTCTTGGAAGAGTTCCTGCAGCTGGAGAGCCGGAGCCTGTTCCACCCTGCCTGGAGGAAGAGGAGGCTGGTAAGAGGCAGCTAAGCCCGCAAGCCCTTCGTTTCATGCAGAGCACTACTACCTTAAATAAGGGTTGTAAGGGACTACTCCTAGGAGTAGGCGTGGAGGTGCACTTCGGACCAGGTGGGGTTGAGAACGCGACGGCGGGTTCCCGATCCAACCCCGTAGGTCCCTTTGGAAGGGGAGCGCGTTCATAGCACATTAGGAGGGAAATTCCTGGGAGCAATAACAGTAACAGTGAGTTGGAAGGGACCTTGGAGGTCATCTAGTCCAACCCCTGCTCACGCAGGAGACCTGGACTAGGGATTCGAACCGCCGAACTGCCGACCTTTCTGATCGACAACCTCAGTGTCTTAAGCCCCTGAGCCGCCTAGCACCTAGTAGTTTGGGACTTGTGTTGCCGAGACTCCTCGTAAAACCGGGATGCAGCCTGCCTCTCCTTTTCTGATGTGAGGTATATGTACACTGTTCAAAAAAATAAAGGGAACACGAGCAGAAGACATCCGAGATCTGAATGAATGAAATAGCCTTATTAAATACTTTGTTCGTTACATACAGTAGTTTTGTGTTCCCTTTAGTTGTTTGAGCAGTGTATAAACTACTGTATGTAACGAACAAAGTATTTAATAAGGCTATTTCATTCATGGCTTGCTTTGGGCAAAGTCAGTCCAAAGCTGAGCAGTGTTGGGCCTGGTTGATGTTTGGGTGGGAGACCACCAGGAGATTCCGGGGCTGTGGAATATTTATGGGAGTTGAAAAATGAGGAAGGTAGAACATGCTATATTGCTGCCAGGAAAACTATTGACAGTATTGTTGTTTGGAATGGAGCTGAGCACAAGGGGAGGATTTAGTTGTTTGAATGCCTGGAGTTTCTTTCCATGAGCCTTTCTATCCTATTTTAAGAAGAATTAAGAATTACAATTTTACAATCACAGTATGGCTGGTTGGGAAATTCTGGGAATTGAAGTCCACACACCTTAAAGTTGTCAAGGTTGAGCAAACCTTTAGTTTTATGATATTTAATTATTGTGTGTGTGTGCAAATCCAGTCAGTCTCCATTACTTTATGGTTGGGTTTACAGTATGTGCAAGGGAGTGAGTTAATTTGTTGGCAAAGTGATTTGGTAACAAAGCTGTGCAAAGGTAACCTTAATTTGGAGTCTCACTCAAAGCCTACGAGGAAGTTGCAATTACAAATTGGTTAGTATTCTTGGTTAGTACATTTCTAGCATTACAAATGTCAGTCAGTTGGGGTTCTTCGATTTTGCACTCTAGTTTTTGTTTTACAAACGTCCTTCCAAGGTTCGATACTTTTAAGGATGCGTTTTGAGGAGTTCCCTGATTTGCATCTTCTCTTTGTTTTCAGGCTGAAGGATGTTTCATGTAATCCGAAGGCAGAAAATGAAGGGGAAAGGCAGAAGCGCTGTCGGAAAGCAGCAGGACTCTTGTGACGTCTGGCTGGATCCTTCAGCACTCAAAAGACGCAAAGTGATGGTAATTTATTGATATCCCACCTTTATTATTTTTTTATAAATAATTCCAGGTGGTGAATATACACAATACTTCTCCCTCTTCCTGTTTTTTTATTTATTTATTTATGCTGCCCTTCTCCGGAGACTCAGGGCGGCTTACAGTGCGTTAAGCAATAGCCTTCATACTTTTGTATATTTTATACAAAGTCAGTTTATTGCCCCCACAAACTGGGTCATTTTACCTACCTTAGGAAAGGATGGAAGGCTGAGTCAACCTTGAGCCTGGTGAGAATTGAACTCTCAGTAATTGCAGGCAACTGGAAGCTAAATACTACCTTTAACAGTAGCATTAGTCTGCTGCGCCACTCAGGCTCCTACAATTTTCCCTACAATAACTCTGTGAGTGTGTTGGACTGAGGCCAAAGGCAGCAAACCTGCTTTCATCTCTAAGGCAGGAGTAGAAGGTTCTTGATCTTTTGATGATTGGCTCCAAATCACCCAGCTGGCTTTTATGCCTAAGGAGGAACTAGAACTCACAGCCTCCTGGTTTTTAGCCTGGTGTTTTAACTACCAGACTAGGCCAAACTGGCTCTAATGTACTAAAATAGTTTATTTCATGCATTGTTAAAGCTGAACAGCAAAAAGAACACACATTATTTCATTGTGCAGGTAATCTGAAATTTATCATCCTTCCAGGCTTTCAGATAGTGGAGCCCTTTGTGGCCTGGTTCCTACAGCAAGCTAAGCCATCATGGCTTGCTTGTTTTGGGGTTAAATGTATTGGATGAACTTTCCTGATTGGGGTTTGCATATTGTGATTTATATTTACCATACATTGAATAGGAAACCAGACCATTGTGATTTTGTCAACGACGGTTATTTAAGCTAATCATGATTTAGGACGTAAGAGCTTAGCCAGTATCAACTCAGGAATACTGTATCGAACAGGAAGTCTGAGGAGATGAACAGGTTGGCACACCTAGGAAGTCCATAAGCAGCTCTAGAGCAGACATATTATTAATCTTACCTTAGTTTGATTTTGCAGAGAATGACCTTTTAGAATCTCTGGAAAAATATCTTAAAGTCACATATAACAATAATATTAAGTACCAGTATTATGATGCCATACAGGTAGTCCCTTGATTTGAGATTGGTTGCTTAGCAACCATTTGAAATTATGATGGACCTACCTGGGGGATACTTATGACCCACATTTGAAGTTATGATGGTTGGGGGGAGGGAGGGAGAGAGGGAGGGGGCTGTGGTCACATGACTGCACTTCAAATGTTCATTGGCCAGGCTGCACTTACGGCTCTTGGCAGCATTCCATGGTCATGTGACTACATATTATCGCAGTTTTGCTGAAATCTGGCAATTCTTTTCAGCAAAACCATGCTTATAGCAAACCACTGGTTTCCTTAACAACCGTGGTGATTTGTTTAACAAATGCTGCAAAACAAGGGGGTAAAATTAGATCAGTCACGTGACTGACTTGGTTTACGACCGTCATGACCACCACCGTGGTAGGCAGGCTCCATGACGATCGTAACCCGAGGATTACCTGCAGTTGAAAAAACATCAGGTTATTTTAATTACTGGTCACACATTGCAAAACCATGGTGGGAGGAAGGTTCCTTTGGTTTAACATGCTGTGCAAACCCAAGTTAGTCATAGTGTGATGGCATTTTTCAAAAAGAAGCTATGATTGCCAGGAAGGTTTTCTGTCAATAGAGGAAATCACACTATGACGGGTGTCAAACTAGATGTGGCATGCGCAGGCCACGCCCACCCCGGCTCGACGAAGGGTATGTCACGTCACACGGCATTGCGATACGTCATGTGACATGGCAAGTTTGACACCCGTGCACTATGATAATTTGTTGCAGTTTCTGCTTGCGGATACTGTTCAAATTGGTTTTATATCATTATTCATTTACAGTAGTGGCCAAAATTGTTGAAACCTTTTGGGAAAAGTGTATTTACTAAAACTAGCTAATAACACCACTTTTTTTGGAGTAGTATCATAAAATTATACATGGGTGGAAATATAAGGATATAATGCAATAACTTTTATGATTTGCAGTTACAATAGCAGTTACAGGATAAAGAAGAAAAGTGAAACACATAGAAAAAACGAGATATACAAAAATTATCACGTCAGTTAATCCTTAGTTGGGTAACCTTTAGCATGAATTACAGCCTTACAACGTCTTCACGTGGAGTGAACCAAGTCTTTTAGTTCTGCAGCTGTTATGTGAAACCAAGATTGAATAATTGCTTCTATTAACTGGGTTTTATTGCTGGGTCGCTTCTGACTAACCGGTTTCTTGAGTCGGCTCCATAGATTTTCAATTGGGTTAAGAAGGTCTGGGCTATTCCCAGGCCATTCCAGCAGTGGAATAGGATTATCTTGAAACTCCAAAAAAGAAATGGTGTTATTAGCCATCAAACCTCAAAAATACACTTTTCCCAAAAGGTTTCCATAATTTTGGCCACTACTTTAGGGTTTGGGATTAACTAGTGTATGCAATAGGCTAATAGTAATGCATGAGGACAGTTGCTCTTAATTCTGTGTTTTGTTCCATCTAGAATGTTGCCACTAAGTCAGCCTTAACTCTCCTGGGCCAGGACTCCCGTCCTGCTGCAATAATTGGACCGCCTCATCCATGCACTAAACAAACCACCATTTCTACTTTCTTCACTGCTCAGAAAGCAGGTACAGTCTGAATCCCCCCCCCAAAAGCGGGAACAATTGTAAGCTATTCATGACACGGGAAGAGAATTGTCTTCACAGAAATAATAACCAATTTGATTCGTTATGCACACTGCACTGTAACATCTACAGACCAAATGGCTCCAGTTCTTTTCTAAGCCACAATAGACAAATCAAGCGTACCATGTTGTGGAAGTGCAGCGTGTAGGTTTGTAACTATGTTGTGTAAAACGAAGGATCCCAAAACACAAGATTTCTCCCTCCGTAATCCTCCAGTAAAAGAAATCCACCATATGCTTTATTTTGTTGCTGGGGGAGAGACGAGACCTTACACGTATGAAATTGTTCAGAGTTAGGCTTTGGAAGAATGAGTCAAAAATACTTTAGGCTTAACTGAAATAAATATTTCTCATCCAAGTTTATGCTTGCGTACGAATGTAATGAAGGCTACACACCAATCATCCCAAAGGGAACTGGAGAACATGGCCATCCTCTCTCTGCAGTGTTGAGTTACAGGGTGTGCTAAGCCATCATCTAGTCTGTCAAATTCTGGCATAAGGCCACTAAGGAACAGTGGCTTAGCACAATGTAAACTCTCCGTTATAATTTGTACTAAATCGGATTTAGTACATGCTACCTAAGCTGGTAGAAATTCCATTTCTTTACATGCTGCTCCAACAATGTCACAAATGCAGCAGGCAACTTCTGGATTCCTGCTAAAATGAGGCAGAAATGGGAGTGATAGGTCTCTGGGAAATGTAGTACTCCCACCCACCCAGGTTTAATCTCCCCATTAATGCCGGGGGGTGGGGTGGGGGTGGCGGCTTATCCTTTGGGGCTTCTCCCTTGACAGAAGCTGAATGGGACCACCTGCCCTAGCCAACTCTACAGCCATCTCGCCACGGACAATTTAACAATTCAATTATTTAAAATAAATATTTTAATTTCTTTTTGGTCATTCACCTTTCATTCTGTCCTTTCTTTAATGATCCTATTCAATTTCTTTTGATATTAATGTAACTCTTGTCCCGTGGCGAGTTGGCTGCAGCAAGTTGGCGAACTGTCATCAACCCTGCCAGAAATGCCTCTGCAGTACCTTAACTTAGGAGAGTTGCCAGTTGTGGAGGATGAACTGGTTCTTGGTCTGTTATCCAAATAGCAGGTAGACGGGGATGCAGGCTGTAGCTTTGCTGACACTCGGAAGCTATTGGCCACATTTCCAGTGGGATGTGGAAATGTTTTGGAGTTTAAAGGTGGCAATTGAAAGGGTTTGCCTGCCACCAGAGTCTTTGTCCTGGCAGGAAATTATATTCTCATCATTAACTCCTGAAAATTTCAACCATTATCCATTTACTATCATGTAATGGTTTCCTGTGGCCCTAAAAAAGTCAGAAGCTATATTTCAGCCACTCACTCAAACACCACCTCCACTCCTCCATCTCCCCGTTATTAGAGAAATGCTGCGGTCTGCTTTTGAAAAGTGGAGAGAGGCTTATGAACTTTCTTGGATAATAACCATTGTGAAAATGGAAGCTCTTCAACTACCACCTCAGGATTGCAAAAAGCCCCACCACTAGATGGCAGCAAAAAGATAAACAAATGTAAACTTTTTAGTGCCATCTAGTGGTCAGCTTGTTCATCCGATATTTTAGCAGCTACAGTCATTGCACCTTTTCAAGGCTAGATAGCAAGTAAGTAGTAAGTTCAAATAACACGCACATGCCGAGCTCTATATAATAGGATTTATTATTTGCTATTCCATCGCACTCTTCACTGCAAAGACATACAAAACATACAATGTCATCCAAAAAACTTTTGCCTCTCCGCTGCGTTAATACTACTAAAAGGTATGGAGGATTGTGTAACGACTCCTGTTCCACTACTTATTCTTCACAACTTCAAAAACTGGGGAAAAGGTAATTGAGGAAAGCAGCAACATTTGAAGGTATTTTGTTTTCCCGAAGTCTTTTCTTTAGATAACAGTTCTTGGTTGGTTGGTTGCTTCTTTCAATTCCACAGAAGAGCAAGAGAGGGAATAATTGAGGCCTAGTAAGAAAGACATGTTTTTTTTTTAAAATTTGATTTATATGCCGCCCTTCTCCGGAGACTCAGGGCGGCTTACAATGCGCTAAGCAATAGCCTTCATAGTTTTGTATATTTTATACAAAGTCAGCTTATTGCCCCCACAAACTGGGTCCTCAATTTACCTACCTTAGAAAGGATGGAAGGCTGAGTCAACCTTGAGCCTTGGAGAGATTCGAACCAGCAGTAATTGCAGGCAGCTGTGTTAATAACAGGGTGCTTAGACCACTGTGCTATCAAGGCTCTTCATGTTGATCATTCAGGCGTAGCACTAGTTACAACAAGAGCCTGGTCGGTATTTGTATTATTTGTTTCGCTGGTTAGCCAGTCAGGTTTTTTTTGCAACAACAAACGCATCCCCCAATCGTTTTCTTTTAAACACAGAGGCTAAGGCACACTTTTTTCCTGAATTAAACGATCTTCCCTCCTAGACAAGTTTTGGTTCTGCCTAAGTCCCTGTCCTGGCAAAGCTTCTGAGGACTACAGTAAATCAAACGGGGAGACAGGGTCTCCTCCATCTGTCTTGCAAGGAGAACATCCGGTCTCTTAGAGTCAGGTAGACTCTTGAGAGACGGAGCATAGGATCCAGAATAGGATTTTGGATTGATAGCATTCCCCCCCCCCCCCCCCCCGCAGTCATGTATCTGGCTCTTGAAGTAAGAGAGGTGCACCTGCTATTTCCCTAGACTGCTAGGCTATATAAAGGCTGTGTATTTGACCTCTGGCTGATTCGGATTCCATTGTTTTTGGCAGGGGAAAAACCCACAGATCCAAACCAGCAGTTCATGACCTCCGCATCAAACAACGTTGTCAATCTAAAAGACTCTGAATTGCTTAGAGGGAAGAGGACCAGGGCCTGGGCTTCTGTCCTTCAACCATCAAGCCTGCCAGACTGCCAAAGACAACCTGCCAAGGCAACGAAGGTCTTGGGTCCTTTCCTTTGCAATACTCTCCCCGCTCGGGCCCAGAGCCACACCGGCACCCCCCCTGTTGCTCAGGAGGAAGACCCCGTAACAGAAGGGGGGGAGGCTTTTCTAACTACAGATCTCATTCGGCATCTGGAAGAAAAGGGGGGGCTTCAGCAGCAGGTGGCTCCGGTGTCCCCTCTGAAAGAGAAAAACGATGGCTGGCGAAGAGAAGAGAGCCCCGCTTTGTTTTCTCAGAGAAGCCCGAGTTTTAAAATAATTCCGAACCAAAGAGCGGATGCAGGGAAACGGCGCGGACTCCCTTCCTCTTGGGTGGGCGCAACTTTTGTGGACGACTCGGACTCTGAAAATATGGATCCTGAACTGGAAGAAAACCTATCAGAAGCAGCACATTTGGATTTCAACCGAACTGGATTCTGTTATGAATCTAGCTATGAGAACAGCTCCCTAGCTCCAACTCAGCGGCTCTTCACACAGGACTCCGAGGGCTGCAGAGTAATTTTGCACTGCTTTGGAGGAGAAGGAAGCAAGCCGTCCTTGCCAAAGGAGCTCTGGTGGAGCAAAAGGACCCCCGTAAGAAGCGCCTTCAATAATAAGAGCTGCTTTAGGGATGGTTGGGCTGGAGACAGAAGCCCCCCTGGGTCTCTGGGCAGGCGCCTTTCTCCTCTGACAGAACGTAGTGAAAAGTCATGTTACGACTTGCTATTCACAGAGGATTCGGAAGGCAATAAAGTCATTAAACACTAAAATCATAATTGCTCTGTGAGATAACCGGGCTCGGGTGCCTCCTTACAAAACAAACTTGGCTTAAAGGGGCCCTTTGTATTTTGCCTGTGGCTGTGTGTCGCATACCTAACCTGTTTTGTTCAACATGCTTTCTTCGGCGTGTGAGCTAATAAAAGAAACCGAGGAATGCAATCTGAATCCTGGTGTTCTAGAAAGACGGTCAGGCTGCTCTAGAATTGTTCCACAAGATGAGATTCGACTAGCTTTCGTTCAGGTAGCTTAAAGGTCGGCTAAGATGGGTTCAAGCTAGACCCATCAGCCCCAGCACCACTTAAAAGTGGGTATTGCTGACCAGTCCTTGCTGCTTCAAAATGGAGGGCGAGTGGTGGTGTCTTTTGTTTTTTTTTAAAAAAATAGCAGATCTGCCAAGCTGCATAGCTAGTGAACCTGACCCCAATGCAGCTTCAGCAAGATCCAGCCTGCCAACATAGGTTTACTTCTCTCGTGTCCCTTTAGGCTATCTTTAAGACTAGAACACCAGTTTCAGTGGTGGGTGCCCCCGGTTCGGACCGGTTCTATAGAACCGGTAGTAAAACCGATGGGAGGCTCCGCCCACTGACCCTGACATCATCTGAAGTGATCTGCGCAAGCAAGGCCCGTGCACAAGCGAAGCGAACACGCGCGATCCCATTGCAAACCGGTAGTAAAGGTAAGTAGAACCCACCCCTGACCAGTTTGTATATTTACAAAGAACCCCAATCAATGAGTATGAACAGGACTCGCAGTTGGTTCTGCCGCAATGAGAACCTGATGCTCTTCAGAGGCTTTGGATTTAAATGCCAATCAGCCTGAACCTCAGGCTAATGGCAAGTGCTTTTGGGAATTGTAGCCCAAACTGACTGGAAAGCATCAGGTTGTCTACATCTGGCTTTACAGTATCTTTAAATAACCCAATAGAATATTCATATTAACAGTGACAAAAAAAGGGGTAAAAAGTGGAAACTTACTTGTGCGCCATGGGAAAAGAGTGTTATAAATTCCCTGAGGGTTGAAGTTAGTGATTTAAACCATCGTGGTTCCCCTAGATAACAGTGGCAGCATCACAAACTATCATGCTACAATCGCTGCTGACAAAAGGACCAGCCAGTGCTCAAAAGGCTGTTAAAATATACTGCAAAAACTTTTCCACACTTTTGCCCTTCTACAAATTGCCAGGAGGTTCTGAAAAGTTATTAGTTGGTCATATTTTTAAACATGCAGACAAGCCCTAGAAAAAAAAACCTTCCAATGGCTTTAAAAATGCCATGGCCTGATGCTACACCAAGGAGCCCAAGGAGTTATTTTGCAAATTCTTGGGGGGGGGGCACTGAGGAGCTGCTTTGAGGGTTCTTGGGTCACAGATGCTTCGCTAGAGATGTTTGTAGATGCACATGAAGATAAACTGCAAACATCGTTAAAGCAGCTGTCCCAAAACCCTATGAGGGGGAAAAAAGTGCTCTGCATGGACCAAAACTTTGCAAAGCTGGTCTTCATAGTAGGGTTTTATTCTCCAATGCCAGCACAAACAGACCAAGCCATTCTTGGATTGCGCCAGCCATCCCCACCAGTGCTAAAGTATCTTATCAAATTCACGGGTTATTTTGCAGCAGGGTGGATAAAAATCAATGATTTTTTTTAAAAAAATCAAAAAAATCAGATTTTTTAAATTTAAATCGGATTTTTTTTATTTTTATCGAATTTATTTTAATAAAAAACTTGGGGTAAAAATCTATCGTAAGATAGTTTTCTATTTAAGATATATAAATAATTTAGTTTATTCAGCATGAGGCTGTATATTCTGCAACACTGGGACTATCGGTGAGTCAACAGTGGGTCAAAGGAGTAGCAGAGATGACAGTTGCTCTTTAAAAATTATGATTTAAATCAAGCCTTTTTACTAGTGATTTAAATCATGATTTAAATTGTGATTTAAATCAACTCGATTTAAATCAAATCCACCCTGTTTTGCAGCCCTCCCACTAGAAACTTGACCGTGTGCTATTCTTCCATTTGTGTGATAATTTAACCTGCTGGCCCCTGAGCTTAAAGCAAAGAGTAGAGGCACTGCAGGTTGTTTGTTTTCTGTCTCAACAAATGAAAAAGAGGAATTTTAGCTTTACAGAGCTGAGTTACAAGACTGGGTAGCAGCCTGAATTCAAAGGGGTAAAGATACTTTGGAGTACACACAGGTGTGTGCTTCTCACATGTGCCAGCAACTCCGTAGGTGGACTCCAAGTCTACTTTCAAATCTGTAGTGCTGCACAGCTTTAGTGTATCTCATCAACAACCAGATTTTAAATTCAATGCTTAGATTAGACAGTTGATTCCCTCTTTAGTCAACTATACATCAGTTGTTTTGAATGCTGGTTGTGGAGAGAGGCTGCAGAAAATAGGAACTTTTCAGAAATCTACCTTTACAAAACAAAATTGTGGGACTCAACAGTTTAAGCATTCACAGGCTTCAGATCTGCAGCAAGAATATAACATGAATTCCTTTTTTAAATGAAAAGCATCACTGTCTGGCAATTCCAACTTTAAAAGACTCTGTATTGACTGCGTCAATGTGGAAAAGTTTTACCTTTTAAAAAAAAGTTCTATCGTTTGGCTGTGTGGAAAAAACCAGCAAAATGTCAGTTTCTCTCACTTAGTGTGTTCCTTTTGCACAAAAGCACACAGGAAGCCTAACCCCTAAAGGATATTTAATGTTCAAGGAAGGCAGCCACTGTAGAGAAAAATCTTAAGAAGCATACTAACATAAGAAATGAACGTAACTGTCAGTTCTTTTTCATATTTACATCTTCATCTTTCAAAGCAAATTTCCTTCTTAAAACTTCTGCTATAAGAATTGCAGGATCCTCTTCTTTCAGTAAACTTCTGTTCCTAAAAGGAAGATACCAGATGAAGGATATTACGTAAGAGTATGGGAAGATTTTCATAAGCTGCAACTGTTCCTGAATTATTTACCAATGCTCTAAAATATTTACCAACATTCTAAAATAAGCTGGCAGCCCTTTTCATCAATTTTAAACCCAAGTGGTTTATTTTTTTTCCAAGATCATAGCTAAGATGATATGATCTACAAACATTTTATTATAAAGGGCTTAGATCAGTGTTGTCAGTCTTGGCAACTTTAAGACCTGCGGACTTCAAATCCCAGAATTCCCCATGGCTGCTTGGGGAATTCTGGAAGTCCACAGGTCTTAAAGTTGCCAAGGCTGACATCACTGGCTTAGATTTTTTTATTTCCTTTGGCTTGTTCTCATTAGCTTTCCCTTCTTGACTTCCTTGCCTGCAACAGTCTTTCTTTCATTGCCTAGCAGAGACTTCTCTTCTTCCCATATCATCCCAGGTGAAGCCCTGCCTCTTTTGCTCCCAACAATCAGGCCTACCATGGAGTGGAACTTGAGAGTGGGAAGGGGCTCCTGGGGAGTGGTGGTGCTCAGAGCAAGACATCTTAGGGTGCTAATGGTGTAGACTGGTTAGCCAAGTCTTTCCAATATAGCAATAGTACTTATATACCATTTCACAGTGCTTTTATAGCCCTCTCACCAACCTTTCGGACCTCAGGGACCACTAAGTTCGTAATTTTAAATCCCGTGGACCACTAACATGATCTGTCTAATGACCAGCTGGGTGGGTGTGGCAAGGTGGTCATGTCACTGGGTGGGCGCAGCCAACTCACATCCCCAACAAGAAGCAGTTGTTGGAGCCAAGCAGCCACCACGAGAAAGAGTTGGCAAAACAGCTCAGTTCAAATTGGATCTGACCGAGAAGGAGGCTCAGCAGAAGCACCTCACTGAGGACTACGAGCATAGGCTTTCCAAGTAGAGGGAAGACCTGCCAGGTACCGGCGCCTGGAGGTTCAGTGGGCTGAGATGGTCAGCCAGTTCCAGGCCATGATACAGTCCCACTGGAACAAGGCCCTCCGGCTCTTTGCCACCAGCGGCACTTCCCTCCAGCCTTTGCCCAAAGCCCTGCACCAGGAGGCTGAAGCAGACCCCAAGTTGGAATTTCTGCCCCCCTCCGACTCTCACAAAAAGACCCCGACGAAGGAGGCTCTCTGCAACAACACAAATGTTCATTGCATGTATCCGGCCCAGAATACATGCAATGAGGACCCCTGATTTAGTGCAATATTAAAAATGCAAATAATTTTTCTGCAGACCACCAAAGTTTTCTCGCGGCCACCAGTGGTTCACGGACCACCAGTTGGTGACCACTGCTCTAAGCGGTTTACAGAGTCAGACTATTGCCCCCAACAATCTGGTTCCTCATTTTACCCACCTCGGAAGGATGGAAGGCTGAGTCAACCTTGAGCCTGGTGAGATTTGAACTGCCAGATGGCAGGCAGCCGGCAGGCAGGCAGGCAGAAGTAGCCTGCAGTACTGCACTCTAACCACTGTGCCACCGCAGCTCATACGGAATATTTATGGTCAATGACCACAAAAGATGCATTGCCCTAAAATTCAAAACAATACGATGAAAACTCTATGCAATAAGCAACCATGTTGTTCAGGTTATTTTAAGACCCGTGGACTTTAACTCCCAGGAAATCAATTTTATTATTAAGAGACTGGCACAGGGGTTTGGAATTAAACATATTTAAATGTGAGCTCACTTATTTATAATGTGTTTCTCACATCTGTTCCAGCTCTAGTTTTCATGCAGTTTTCCCCTGATAATGAGGTAATTCTGTTTACTGGTTTAATTAACTTGAGGTAAGAGCAAGAATCCCAATGGATGAGCATATTAAAAGGTGCCAGGAGGATTTAAAATACAATTGATGTTAAGCTCTGATATTATGGAAAAGCATCCTTTAGAGAACTCCACACTTCCTTTGGTTTTGTTCTGCTCCACACATTACAGGTAGTCCTTGACGTACAATGATAATGGAGCCGGTTTTCAGCAAAAATGTTGTAAAATCTGGTGACATGATCATGGGATGCTGCAAACAGCTGTAAATGTAAGCCAGTTGCCCATGTGGCCTTGGGGGGCGGGGGCAGATATGTGTGTGGGTGGTGCATCAGAATTTTGGAACCAGGTTGTAAGTAACTTTGGGGGGGACGTAGCAGAACTTCAAATGATGCTACCTGACCCATTGTAAATCAAGGACTATCTGTACCAAGTTACTTCCTGGGCCATTTTGAAGGATTAGAAATTGAGATTAAGGAAACCCACTCTAAACCGGGGTGAAATCCAGCAGGTTTTGGAGAACCGGTAGCAGAAATTTTGAATAGTTCGGAGAACCGGCAAATACCACCTCTGGCTGGCCCCAGAGTGGGGTGAGAATGGAGATTTTGCAAGATCTTTCCCCCAGGAGTGGGGAGGGAATGGGGATTTTGCAGTATCCTTCCCCTGGAGTGGGGTGGGAATGGAGGTTTTGCAATATCCTTCCCTGAAGTGAGGAGGGAATGGAGATTTTGCAGTATCCTTCCTCTGCCACACCCACCAAGCCACACCCACAGAACCGGTAGTAAAAAAAATTGAATTTCACCACTGCTCTAAACCCAAGAGCTATGTTAGTCAACCAAACAGTCCTTTTAATCTGGTAGATCCCCCTCTCCTTCCTCAACAGGAGACACATCTACACTCCTTCATTAAGTGGTCTGTATTCATCAACCTGGCCCTTTAACAATTTGCTCTTCACTTGGATCACATAGAAGGGTATCATAACAATCAAGGTTGTGTGGAAGGGAAAAATTAACAGCCAGTTACTATGTTGGTGCCTACTTAGCAGTATGCCAAGCCAAAGTGAAACTGTATGGTACAGGTAGTCCTCAATTTACAACAGGTCGTTTAGTGAATGAATGAATGAATTTATTTATTGATTAGTCCTTGGGAGATACTTAGGAGGTCGTTTAGTGTCCCTTCAAAATCACAACAGCACTGAAAAAAAGTGACTTATGACCATTTTTCACACGATCTTTATGGCATCCCCATGGTCACATGATCAACATTCGGATGCTTAGCAGCTGACTCATATTTATGACGGTTGCAGTGTCCTGGGGTCATGTGATCCCCTTTTGCGACCTTCTGACAAGCAAAGTCAATGGGGAAGCCAGATTCACTTAACAACCATGATACTAATTGCAGCGATTCACTTAACAGATATGGCAAAAAAAAAAAAAAAGTTGTAAAATGCGGCAAAACTCACTTAACAAATTTCTCATTATCAATATTAATTTTGGGCTCAACTGTGGTTGTAAATTGAGAACTACCTTTACTACGCTGGTCTAATTTTAACTCTACTGGTGCAACGCCATTTGGTTAACTTACTATGTGATGCATTTGTGGATTAATCTGAGCGCCAGGTTCAGGTGTTGTGTGAATGCAGCCGTACTATGATCTGGATTAGCTACTGTTTTAGAAATTAAAACACAGTGATTCACATGCAATTCACTGTTTGGCTTAATCTTAGGTACAAATTCAGAGAAAAGGACTTACGAGTCTTTGTTCTGTTTCATTCTATGAATGTCTTTCAGAATGCCCATCATATCCGCAAAACTACTGGCCTTTGAGAGAGACACCGTGTCATCGTCGTCCGAATCCTTCGCGTCGCCTTTGCAAAATTCAGAAGTTGCAGAACAAAGCATGGAAACAGATGGAAGTTCGGGACTTTCTAAGTCAGCCTCCTCTTCTGTGATGTCACTAATGACAAAGGAAGTTGTAGACTGGAATGAGGGTCCAAAGCAGGGCAAGGGAGAAGACACATTTGAACTTCCTGGAGATAATAACTCTGGCGTTAATGAAGAGGAAGCTGGGGGGGAAAAAAGAATAATATAAGGAGACATGAACTGGCTGCCATATCAAGGGTTTTCTTCTTGCAAAAGCAATAGCACTTAAGACTTATATACTGCTTTACACCCCTCTCTAAGCGGTTTACAGAGTCAGCCTATTGCCCCCAACAATCTGGGTCCTCATTTTACCGATCTCGGAAGGATGGAAGGCTGAGTCAACCTTGAGCTGGTGAGAATTGAACGGCTGGCAGTGAGCAGAATCAGCCTGCAATACTGCATTTTAACTACTGCGTCACCAAGGTGTCAACGTTCCAGAAAACCCCAACTCTACAATGAAAAATTCCAAGGCAAGCATTTTCTCAAAGTTCCATTTATTAGAATAGGTATATTGGCACATCTGGGAAAACCCGAATCTGAGAGTTCTGGGTTTTCCCTCAGTAAATCAAAACCTCCAAAACCATCCCCTGCATCCATCAGTCCATCACATGCTCCAAATCACCATCCGTCCCATCTCGAGACATCACTCCAACCACTCCTCCTCCAGATGCAGGATTGTCCTAACCTTGACCGAAAGGAAGAATGCTGTTTTGTCTAAATACATTCCCTCTACTGAATCCCCCCTCCTACTTTCCCACACAGGAGAAGGTGGCAGCGTGGAAGCTTCCGGGGCTAATATGGCTTCCAAAGCTGACACAAGGCCAAGGAAAGGAGGAGAGAAATAACAATAGCACTTAGACGTATATACTGCTTCACAGTCCTCTCTAAGTGGTTTAGAAAGTCAGATATGGAATTCGGGGAGTTGAAGTTCATAGGTCTTGAAGTTGTTGAGGCTGAGAAACAATAATCCAGAATCTACAGTTCCACTCTCATAGAGTCAGCAGAAGAATCCAGTTATCAGTGCCAGATAGGCAGACATACAAAACACCACCCAAAGAATTTTTTTTTTTCCAGGAAGAACTAAGACTGCCTGCTTTGCATGCTTCTTCTCATAGGTTGTTTTAATAGCCTCTAAAACAAGAATGAAAAAAAAAAAGAAAGCAGAAAAATCTGCCTTTCAGCCTAGAAGGGCAACATTTTGGAGGCCACACGGGCTACAGGAGCAAATTCTCAAACGGGCATCAAAGGAGTAGGAGCAACATTCTCTGTGTTCTTTTCAGAAGGTTCCACAGACTCTTGCTTCAACCATGAGAGGCTATTTGTAGTAACTGCATTACAGCTGCATTAAACATACTAGTTTCCCATTCTTCCATCTTTTCTGCTGTAGATAAACAAGTTAAATTCCACTTTAAGAGGGTGGTAACACGATTAGTTAACAGGGTTTAACAGTTTTGGTATGGATGTTGGCCTCAGAGGCAGCTAAGTTGACATAGACACTAAACAGACTAGCTAGAGAGGAACACGGCATCATTTCAGCTCTGCCAACCCACTCACGTGCCTGCATGGGGCCTCTCATCACCAGCAGCCATCAGATAAGTGTTTAAATAACAAGGCTGCTATAATTATTCCAGGCCCAGACCACAGACTCTCCAAAGAGGAGAGAGACTGTCAAAGAGCGTAAACTTTTAAATACACCATGATAGTTTGTAAATTATGAACGGTTGATCCCACGGAGTTCAACCTCTAAATTAGTGGCAGGCAGTAAATTGGCTCTTAAGTTACAAGAGGATGTAGAGGCAAAAGATGTTTCTTGTTGAACACAGAAACATCGCAGATGCTAAACACTTGATTCTGGGATGTTGCATGTGTTATAAATAACATGCAGGTTGCCAATGGCCTGAAGTTTGATAACGTCACCCTGGCTGATGCTGCAATGCTCATAAGTGCAAGGACCAGGGGTGAAATGCTCACGGTTTGGACCGGATCACCCGATCTGGTAGCGATGGCGGCGGGTGTTTCGGAGAACTGGTAGCAAAAATCCCTGCCCCCCCCGCTGAGTCACGCGATCATCAGAGGTTTTTTTTTTTTTTACTTTTGAAAGCATTTTTTCTACAACCTCTTTGGCCGAAGAGGTTGTAAAAAAATTGCTTTTAAAAGGCTCTGACGATCCCAGCTGAGTTGCCTGATTTAAAAGCAAAATGCTTTTAAAAGAAAACAAAAGCCTCTGACGATTGGGCAACTCAGCTAGGATTGTCAGAGCCTTTTAAAAGCATTTTTCGGCCGAAGAGGTTGTAGAAAAAATGCTTTTAAAAGTTAAAAAAAAAAAAAAAGTTGGCCATGCCCACCCAGTCACATTACCCCCCACCAAGCCACTCCCACAGAACTGGTAGTAACAAATTTTACATTTCACCACTGGACTGGACACAAGCCCCTTTTTGTTGCAACTTCAAAGTCACCAAGTGAATGGTTGTAAATCAAGGACTATATGTAAAGTGTTGATATTTTGGCTCGGTTTTATTTCTTAGTATGATGCTTCCAATAATGAGATGCTGGGCATTTACCTGAATCTCCAGAAACAATTTTAGCGATCTGACTCCGCAGGTGACTCAATTCTTCCTGGAGTTCTGTGGTTCGACTCAAGGCAGGTAAACATGGTTTCCTCAGCGCCAACAATTTTTCTTCTTGCTTCCTCAGATTTGGGACCGAAGCATTCCGCTGAATAACAAAGAATGGCGTGGGTTTCCATCTGTGCTTGAATGGACGTGTGTCTGTCCTGGAAGTCAAAAACCCAACATTTCAGTGAAACTGACCCTGATCAACAAGGAACAGCTATCCTGAATTGAAGGGCTGTGCAATGCAAAGGGCCTTTGCTTCACAGAGACTCTAAATCAGTGATGACAAACCTATGACACACTTATCAAAGGTGACACACCATGAGACGGGTGACACAACAACATTAAATAACTCCCAACAACTATTCTTGAAAGCACACCCTGTTCTTGTATGAAGCTGCAGAAACTACATGAAAAGAAGGTGTGCTCTTGTATAGCCACTGGACTCTGGAAGTGGCGTGAGTACAGGCCATGCTTTTGCACAGTTTTGAGAGGCTGCGGGGGCTACCGAAGAGCGTTCTCCAAAGCTGCTTTGAGAACGAAGGCCTCTCAACAGAAAGAGGACACTGCCTGAAGGTAGGTGGTATGTGGCAAATCTCACGGAGCGCTGGGCCTTGGGGGCATTTGATATGCCAAGCCCTAAATGTTTGCCATCGCTGCTTTGAGAGGCACCCAAAGCACCTGCTGGGAATGCCTTAAAGCAGTGATGGCTAATTTTTTTGCCATCGCATGCCAAAAGCGTGGGGAGTATGGGGGGGTATCATGTGTGCGCGTGTTCACACCCATAATTCAATGCACCCCGCACACGCGCGTGACCCCACACGCTCCCCCACTTTTGGCACACAATGGCCCGGTAGGCCCGTTTTTCGCCCATCCCAGGCTCCAGAGGCTTTCGTGGAGCCTGGGGAGAGCGATAAATGGGCCTCCCCACCCCAAGGCCCTCTGGAGGCCAGAAACGACCTGTTTCCTGACTTCCAGTGGGTCCGGAAGGCCCGAACATCAGCTGGCCGGCGCACGCATGCGTGCCCGAGCTGAGCTAGGGCAATGCTCATGTGCCCACTAATATGGCCCCGCATGCCGCCTGTGGCACACGTGTCATAGGTTCGCCATCATGGCCTTAAAGCAAGGGTCTCCAACCTTGGCAACTTTAAGACTTGTGGACTTCAACTCTCAGAGTTCCTCAAGTCCACAAGTCTTAAAGTTGCCAAGGTTGGAGACCCCTGCCTTAAAGCAATGTCTTTTCCTGGCTTCTGCAGCTGTTGGGTGATTCTGGAAAAACATACATTTGCTGAAGATTTTCCCAACGGTTCATTCATATGCAGCCAGCCAGTCACTCAGAACCAACACTTAACCTCAAAATGTGGATCCCTGGACAGTCCTGATGAATTGTATGAAAGGACACAGTCATCTCTGATCCTCGCTTGACTAATTAAGCTATCCAACGACGATAAAAACACAATTTAAGTCTAGAACAAGTTGACGACATTAGGAAGAAACCTAAACCGACCCCATCTTAATTCTCTGGGGTACGATTCCTGCGCTGGGGATGTTCTACTTTAGAAGTCAAGAGAGTTGAAAAAGGAGAAGGAACCCTACCTACCTGACTCTGGCATAGGTTTCTTCATCATCGGAGGCAATCCAGGCAACATCTGCCAGAGTGGGAACAGGGGGGATGTCATTGAAATAGAAATCAGAAATGTCTGGTAGTGGCTAGAAGAGAGAAGACACCAACCTCATTAGCTAAACTCAGCACCACATTTTAAGCATTGTTTAATGAATAATTCCTGCTTCACCTTGGGGTCCAGGTTGGATTAGAATTCTAGAAATTACATCTGCCCAATTAAAGAAGGGTACTGAAAACCAACATCTGGTGAATCTAGAAAAGCAGCGTAATCTGAAACAAGCACATCCTCATCCCTCTATCAAGCACTCTCGTTCTGGATTCCAGATGGTCATGCCTTTCGTAGCTATTGTAGGCTAGGGCAGCGGCCCCCAAAGTTTTGGGCATCAGGAACCAGTTCTGTGCTGAGAGGTTTTTCCATGGACCGGAGGGGTTATGGTTTTACATGCTGCCTGCATCCCATGGATGGGGCTTCATTTGTTTGTTCGGACCAGTATGCTGCAACCCAGTGCCAGTCCACGGACCAGGGGTTGGGGACCCCTGAGCAAGGGGATCTTGTAATCCCCGACACTGGCCATGCTGGCTACCTTATAGCAGTTGTAGCTGAAAACATCTGTAGAAGGCACACCCAGGTAATAAGGTGATAGAGGTTGAAGCAGCTCAACTGTCACTCATTGCCTGCTTTTTCTAGGTAATCACAAATCTTGGCGAATGTTGATTGAGAATGCCCATATTTTGACTGACTCTTGAGGAGCGGGGAAGTGGGTGGCTTGCTTTGTTGGCTTTATTTGTCTTTGCGAATATAATAAATTCCTTGTTCTTTTACCAAACTCCCAAATTTCCCCAGAGAACACACTAGCTCTCCTGTTTCAACTGTTTCTGTCAGCAGGATGCTACAGCGACTTTGCTCTTAGAGAAAATCACAAGTGGGCAATTTCTGTAGGAGGGCGAGTAAATGAAGGTCATTTAGAGAAAGCAGCTGCTTTGCAAAAACATGCTGAAAAGATGCGCTCAGTTCTTTTGAGATTGGAAACGATCATGGAATCCGTAGACTTGAGCCCAAAGCATTCAATCTACGCATGAGGTGTTTGTGCATTGCACATAAAAACTTCCCAGTATGTGTGCTTTGCAAGAAGCTAGAAAAGCCACCCCATGGTGACCCATTGCCACTGAAGCCTACAGCAATGCAAATGATGAGAAAGAGGTTCAGACAATTATTTTTCTGAAAGCTTCATTCCAGATGGAGAAGCAACTCTTAGGCAAGTATTGTGTACATAAATGAATCCTGGAACCACAACAGAATGATAACAAGGGATGTTCTACAAATATACATGTCCTCACAAGCACAGGCTGGCAACCTTTTAAGGCACTGTTCCCTACTCCCATGAAATGATCACATGACCTCTATTCAGATGGTTAAATCTCACACAATCTCTGCTTTCTCAATCCTGTGATCTCATGAAATATGAGAGTAGGGAAATTTTAGAAGATTCCAGGTTTAAAAACGGCCTTTAATTTGGAAGGTCAATTGATGCTATCTAAGGTGTGACGGATAGCAGGTTTTCACCTAGAAAATATACAACAATATTAAAGCCTTGGTTATGATTACTAATGATCATTATGCTGGGATGGGTGGGTTGCCTTCTGGTTTTTGTATAATTTACATTCTATGATCAAGGTAACCCTTTAAGATTTCCTATCTGATGTTTATTATTACTTAATACACTTGATACTGAAGACAGTATCCTATTATTACAGTATTAAGAGTATTACAATCCTACTTGTATTAATCAGGGACCACGTTCTCCAGAATGCATGTAAGACTAGGTTGTGAATTACCTTGTGCAAATATGGTTACATCAAATATCAAACATTGTTCTATAGTCAAAGTGTTTTTTAGCAGGTAGCCACATTTCTTCTAAAGGCTTTCTATAGAACCTGAAAGCTATATGATAAACAGCGTTAGGACCAGGGTGGATAAAAATCAATGATTTTTTTTAAAAAATCAAAAAAATCAGATTTTTTTGATTTAAATCGGATTTTTTTGCTTTTTATTGAATTTATTTTAATAAAAAACTTTTGGGGTAAAAATCTATCGTAAGATAGTTTTCTATTTAAGATACATAAATAATTTAGTTTATTTAGCATGAAATGGAGCTTAGTTATGTAGCATGAGGCTGTATATTCTGCAACACTGGGGCTATCGGTGAGTCAACAGTGGGTCAAAGAAGTAGGAGAGATGACAGCTGCTCTTTAAAAATTATGATTTAAATCAAGTTGATTTAAATCAAGCCTTTTTACTAGTGATTTAAATCATGATTTAAATTGTGATTTAAATCAAATCCACCCTGGTTAGGACTTCCCAAAAAAGTTGCAAATATATTAGTAAATATTAAACAGCCTTTTATCAATTAAAAACATTTGTTTTAACTATCCCAAAGGATTCCGCCCCCCCCCCGCCCCCCCCCCCAAAAAAAAAAAAAGGCAACTAGACTTTCTTGGTGTTTTCCTTGAAAACATTTTTTGGATGAGAAGCAAAACGTTTTCAAAGAAAACACCAAGAAAGTCCAGGAGCCTTTTTGAAAGAAAAAAGAAAAACACCTTTGGAACAACCATGACTTGGATGATTGATACACAATCACAAATACACAACTTTACCTGGAAGGAAGCTCTGGGACATGGTTTTAAAGGAAGGCTTGTTCCAATTCTTCTCACAAAACTGCGAGATGAACCATGGGGTTTGTTCTGCCAAATTGGTATTGTCTGAGGACCAATACAATATTAAATGAAATTATTCGATCAGTAGATAAAGGGTAGTTGTAAAAAATAAAACCTGTCTTCCCAGTTTCATGCAAGAGATTAAATATACTGGGCACTTGCAGTTAACTTTACTCACAGAACAATGGGAGAAGTAACCAAAACTTTAGATAAATCCCTCAGTGGAACTTGAGTGACTCATTTCACTGCTCATTTGCTCAAACATCTCGCAGCATCTTTCCTGTTGCTTGTATGTTAATGTGCTGGGATACTACTGGTCAATGGGCAAAATTTGCATCCTAAATCTGGCTTGCCATTGTAATCTATCCTAGTCACAACAACGCTGTGAAGACTCTTTTTGTCTGCAGGTCACCAGCAAGCCACCAGAATTCTGATTAGTTCAATTGTCATTTATCAAATCAAGTGAAGGTTTAACACAGCAAACCAGGTGATGACTTGGTCACCTGCTTTTTAGTTCAGCTAGTTTTACAAACACAAAGTGAATTATTTGAATCAGAAAAATACGAAGGAAACAATTCAAAATTAAAATGTTTTAAAGACAGCGGCCTTAATACAATTTAATTACTATCATCAAGAAACATCATACAACGTATTTTGATCCGTAGTATTAACTTTAATTGCTGGTCTGGGATAGTCCTGTTTAAAGGGAAATTTTCTTTATTCTGTACTAAGGAATTTGAAAACAACTTTATAAATACAGCCAGTGTATGGGGGGCGGGGGGGGGGGGGGGGGCTTAGCTACCAATCGTTTTGTTTCTGGTCATTTTAAAAAGTTATTCTGCAGGCAGTTTATTAGTCACTAAAGGCTGCAGAGCTTTTCTTTAAAAGTGGGACATCAAATTTCATTTTCAGAAATTTTAGTATGTAGATTATATACAGCAAACAGAATAATTTAATGGTGGAATAAAGACAATGTGGGAATTGGAAGGCCTCCCCACAATTCTATAAACTGACCTTGAATTGCAAAAGGAACAAGTGATATTTCTCTATCCTAATGCTTTGCTAGGATATAAATTGCCAAGATAAGGGAGAAAAACACAAGTATTGTCAAAACAAATTATACCATACGATACTGTGTCATAATATGTGAAAAATTATTAATATGGCAAGTGAACTCTGCCTCTATTCTAGAAAGATTAATAGTTTCTGTAACTGGCAGTGTCAGCGTTCCAGAAAAAAACCTCAACTCCAAGTAAAAACTCTGAAGCAAGCATTTTTCAAAGTTCTATTTACTAGGATAGGTAAACTGGCACATCTGGGAAAACCCGAATCTGAGAGGTCCGGGTTTTCCCTCAGTAAATCAAAACCCCCAAAACATCCTCTCACTCCTCAGTCGATCACAGGCTCCAATCACCATCCGTCCCATCTTGAGACAGCACTCCCACCACTCCTTCTCCAGAGGCAGGATCTGCCTGACTTTGACCGACAGGAAGAATGATATTATGTCTAAAGACAATCCCCCTACTAAATCCCCCCTCCTACTTCCCCACACAGGAGAAGGTGGCAGCATGGAAGCTTCCGGCCTAATATGGCTTCCAAAGCTGACTGGCAGATTGGCAACCTTTTTCAATGCTGAGCCTGGGTCTGCCATTGGGGATCCTGTACAAGGGTACAATCCAGGGGTGAAATGCTATCAGTTTGGTAGTAAAAAAAATGCTACCGGTTTGCTCAAACCGGTATTTCCGACGATCAGCTGTGCCGCTTTGTAGCGAATCTAAATCATGCGGCACAGCTATCCCCCTTCCCCCCACTGTTCTACTTACCTTAAGCCTGCTTTTTCAGTGCTGCACGGTAGTGCCTGCGGTGTGCATGTGCGCATAGGGCACATCTGGCACGCACCACGCATGTGCACACGCAGTAAACCGGGGGGGGGGAGTGACAAAGTTTTACTTTTAATTGAGTGTAAAGCTGGCGGGAACCTAGAGCCGGTTTTTCATCAGGAATATGCCAATTTGATATGTCCCAATAAAATGTTCTTTGAGGAATCTGCCTGCCTCAGAGTTCTTATTGAATGGGATGTATTCCATGGAACCCCGACATAATGATTATAATGGGACAATCGTGCTTTGGAAGTCTCACTTGAGGACAATGATAATTAACATTTATTATGGTCATAAACCAGCATAATAAAAAGAAATAAACTTCCCAAATGAGCATATGTATGTATACTATAAAACATAAAACACTGAAAGATATAGAGACAGAGATAAAAGCGAAATGGGCCAAAAGTCTCAGTGTGGGAGGAGGGCCTGTGTATTGGGGAAGTTTTTTTCCCATCATCCATGGTCAAAGCAATAAACAAACTGAACTGGATGGAACTTGGGGTGGGGGTAGGGGGCTGAACATTTTTTCTCCAAATGGCAATGGCAACAGCACAGAATTTAGTTATGTTTCCGGAGATTTCAGCTGGAAGAAACAACACATTTCCTTGACTGACCTGCAAGAACAATTTAGCAGCAGCGGGCTGATTAGGTCTTGAATGCCAGCCTGTGTGAAAAGGACAGGACAACACAGGTGGCTACCTCAAGGTGACTCTGGTTTTGACTTGGGATGCCTGGTCTCCTGTCTAGCAACACTGAAGGCAAGGTATTAAATCTCAACAGGTTGAGAAAAGGCTCAAGCCATTAGGCAGCTGTCTGGGATCAAGGACCTTTGGGCTTGCCCTGATCATAAAGGGGAAGAGGGGAGAAGTCCAATCATTTGAAGACTGGTGAGCAGAGCATGTTGTCTCAGTTCCAAACTGGCTCCCACTTTGGCCAGCGTAATCAGATACCAGATTGACAGATAGCACCTAAATGCAATCTAATTTGTTTTTCCCAAATTAGCTGCAGTTACCCAATTGCCTTAAAGAAGTGAGAATTCCTGGAATAAAGAACAATTTGGAGCAGAATCTAAAACATTCAAGGCATGGGAGCAGTTAGCCCAGATAACAGGAGGTAGATGTACTCAAAATAAAATTTGGGTGGGTGGAGAGGCTTCAAGAGCGCTTCCTAAGAAGACTTTCACCTGTGAATGTTGCTCAAAACTCTCCAGCTCTGGCATATTGATGGCACTATGATTAAACAGGTGCACAGAGCAAATAGATGATCAAATAAAATGATCTCAAGAGTTCTCACTTCAGACACAAATGTCCAAGTGAGATTATACTTTGGAGGCATAATGTGAAGACCTGGCTCTCTGGAGAAGTTTATGATGCTGGGAAAGATGGAAGAAAAGAGGAGAAGGACCAACAGCAAAATGGATGAATTCAATTGCCATAGTGATGGACTCGCCACCGGAAGACCTAAAACACAGGTGTCAAACTCGCTGTATCACGTTGTTGTCACGTGACCTTTCATGAAGTTTCCCCCCATTCGCGGAACTGGGGTGGGCGTGGCCTGCATGTGACGCATCTGGTCCATGGGCCGCCAGTTTGACACCCCTGACCTAAAGGGTCAGTATAGGGGCAGATTGTCCTGGAGAAAATGCACTGAGGTAGTCACTATGACTCTATACTGACCTGACGGCATGCAATCAATCAATCGATCAATCAATCAAATCAAATCAAATCAAGTTATAAAGAAGGGAACTGGCTGCCTTGACAATGGGGGACGCAGTATAATCTATTCAGACTAAATGCCAGATTATACAACTTTTGGCTCTCTTTTACTTGTAGCTATATATTTTTGCCTAGTCCCTGAAAACTATGGCAAGCTTGAAGCTTCAAGCCTCAGCTTCATCATGCCAATCATGCACTGAACATCAAAATGAGGTTCCATGTATCTTTAATTTTCAAAATAACAATTTGGAGATTCAATTTCACCCACTAGGGGACGACATTCTCTAAAGCAATATACCTGGAAGAACAGGCTAATTTGTCTTGTAAGGGTTGCTTGTTTTATAGTGTTTGGATGTTCTTTTCATTTTAATGTTATTGTATTTGTTTTTACTTTTTACCACCCACAGTTGTCATAGAAGTGGGTGGTCTTATACATTTCCAACAGTATAAATAAAATAAGCAATACTGTCAAAATAAAAAAAATCAGGTACTTACTGATTCAGCTTCCATGTCTGTCCATACAAAAAGTATAGGTAAGTCACAGGAATAAACTGAAGCCCCAGGATTTATATATAAGCTGCACAGTATTTCATCCCTGAAGAAAATTGACTTGTTACAAACACAGATGAATGCAGATTTCACAGTTGTTTCATGTAATTTATAGAAGGTAAGCAAAGCCTTGAGAGGCCTTTAATGATGCTGTTGGAACAGCTGATAGTCTGCCAAACAGAAATGACAGTTTCGTGTACTCTAAAAAAGATATTCCTCATAGACACTTAAGTAACCTCTCAATTACACAAATTCCCTTGATAATTTGCTTCACTATTCAATTACACAACTATTCAAGTAGTAAGACAAGTCCTTTGGTTGACAAGGGCTAAGCCTGGTAGAAGGGAAGCTATTTTATTGCTGAAATAAAAGACACAAAATGTAGAGTTTGGATTAGAAGTTTCTCCAGGCCTTTTGCCACTTTTATCTATCATCTTTGACTGGAGAAAACATGCTGCATTATTACATACTGATTGAAGTGAAAGAGAATATTCCTTCATCGTTACAATTAATATTTCTTTACTTTGTGATAAAAAAATGCTACAATCTAAGTCAGGGGTCAGCAACTTACGGCTCTGGAGCCGCATGTTGCTCTTTCACTCCTCTGCTCCGGTTCCCTGTCACTCAAAATATGCGTCACAACTGCCAATGTGCGACAACCGCCAGCACATGATTTATTGAGCTTTTCAACCCCCGGTAGGCCAACATAGATAAATCCAAGAAAAGAAAAGTTTCAGAAGAAAACGGAACGTTTAATTCAACTACATATGCTAGTTTTCTGGCCGCTCAAGGAATAGTCAGGCACGGGAAGGGTTTTGTGGCTCCCAGTGTTTTCTTTTCTGTGGGAAACGGGTCCAAATGGCTCTTTGAGTGTTTAAGGTTGCAGACCCTGGATCTAAGTAAACCTTCATCTTAAAGTTTCAGCATGCATTTCTTTGCTATCATCTGGAAAGTGTCCCTCATGAGAGAATTATCTTTATCTTTCTTGGTGACCTCAATTTGCCTATTAATTGGACCCTAAACAAATGTACATCTGAACCTATACATGCAACCCTGTACAATGCTGTTACAACTCTGAAGCTGGAACAGTTGGTAACAAACAACACTAGGCTCAACAACTGCTTAGATCTCATCTGCTGCAATAGTCTAAACTCAATTTATGGCCTACAAGTTAAAGAACCTTTTTCCAACAGTGACCACAGCATGATTGATTTTTGCCTCAATTTATGTCCTTGCAAAGAGGGCCATAATGATGGGACTCCAAATTATAATTTTAAAAAAGCCAACTATGATCTCATAGCTGCCAACCTCACATCTCGATTGGCACCTTCTGTTCACAGGTTGTAATACTGCAGAAGATTATTATAACACTTTTTTGATCAAAGTCAATAGAGTCATTAACCTATACGTACCAATAATAATCCCTAAGGCCAAAAAAACCAAATTACCCATAACAATAAGAAAGCTACAATCCAAGAAAAAATCTCTTTGGTGAGAAAACAAAACTGGCTATGTAGCTAACTTTAAAAACCACTATAAAGCCTTATTCCGCCAGATAAAGGCAGAATGTACCAATCACCATCAAATCAGACCAATCATCAAACAGGAGGAAGAGCTGTTACACTCGAAATCCACCCGAGCCTTCTATAATTTCATAAATGCCAAACTCGAAAACTATCCCACCCTTAAAAGGATCTAACGGGGAAGAATGTAACAATGAAGCTGTTAGGCCAACCTCTTCAATACGTTCTTCAGTTCAGTCTTTGTCAAAAGCAATGGCTGCTGCCCCACATTTCCTAATCGTACCATAACTAATTGTAACGATTTACTACATACTGATTTTACAGTAGATAACGTTGAAATGGCACTACGTAACCTAAAGCCATCTCTATCTCTTGGCCCTAATGGATTATGTGCCTACTTCTTAAAAAAGCTTGCCACAGCCATAGCTGAGCCTCTATGCACAATCTATGAAGTATCTTTCAGAACCAGCTCCTTGCCCGGCCTAAGGTCATTAGCCACAGTCATAGACCTATCTTTAAAAAGGGAGACCCTAGTCTAGTAGAAAATTACAGACCAATCTCATTTTGTTGCGTCACCTGTAAAATCATGGAATCAATTATAAACCAAACATCACCCTCCACTTAGAGACAAACAACCTGCTTTCTAACAAGCAGTTTGGTTTCAGGAAAAATTTGTCCTGTAATCTGCAACTCCTACACTGCAGAAACATTTGACCACACATCTTGACCAGGGTAAAGCAATAGATGCAATTTACATAGACTTCTGCAAAGCCTTTGATTCAGTGGTGCATGACAAACTACTACTGTTAAAACTAAGTTCTAACGGCATTTCCGGATCCCTGCACAAATGGATAGTTGCGTTCCTGTCAAACAGGCAACAAGTAGTCAAAATAGGGAGGGCCCTATCAAATCCGGCACCAATTAACAGTGGTATCCCCCAAGGCAGCGTTCTATGACCCATACTTTTTCTGCTTTACATCAACCACCTATGAGATCATATTAAAAGCAGCTGCATCTTTGCTGATGACGTAAAATTATTTAACACCACTGACAATGCTGCTGCCCTACAAAGTGACCTTGACCATGTGTCAGAAGGGTCGCGCATTTGGCAACTCCAAATCTCAACTAACAAATGCTCTGTCCTAAACATTGGCAATAAAAATCAGAACACCAAATACAAGTTGGGCGGAAATGACCTCGTGGACAATCCTCATTCTGTCAAGGACCTAGGAGTACTCATCTCAAATGATCTAAGCCCCACAGCTCACTGTAACAGCATTGCCAAAAAGGCATTAAGAGTTGTTAACCTAATTTTGCAAAGCTTCTTCTCCGGTAACATTGTATTACTAACTAGGGCATACAAAACCTTTGCCAGACCAATTCTTGAATTCAACTCATCTGCCTGGAATCCACATTGTATATCAGACATTAACACGATTGAACGGGTCCAGAGGTATTTCACAAGAAGAATACTCCACTCCTCTACTCACAATATTATTATTATTAATTATTTAATAATTGTCTGCTACAATGTCTTACCTGTCAACGACTTCTTCAGCTTCAACCTCAATAATACATGGGCAAACAATTGATACAAACTCAAGGTAAACTGCTCCAAACTCGATTGCAGAAAATACGACCCCAGCAACAGAGTGGTCAATGCCTGGAATGCTCTACCCAACTCCATTGTTACATCCTCAAACCCTCACAGCTTCAACCTTAAACTGTCTATTGTGGACCTCACCCCATTCCTAAGAGGTCTGTAAAGGGGGCGTGCATAAGCTCACCAGCGTGCCTAACGTCCCTGTTCTACTGTCCCCATTTATTTGTACTCATTTCCTATGTTCATGTCCATGTTCATATTCATACCTGCTATTTGTACATGTTTGACAAACTAATAAAATTAAATAAATAAATAAAAATTAAAAGTTTGCAAAACATAGATTACTTCAAGTTATGAACACAAGGCATCTGAACATCCTTGCTATAAAGGTGCAGCTTAGGTCCATGTGGCCATGTCTGAAATTGTTTTTCCGGTTCTGAAGATTTCATTTTCTTCTCACTGAAATCCAACCACTAAGCATGGGATGAAATGCAACTAGTAACACAACTATCGGCATTCTCAAAAGAATAGCAACAGGGCAAAATCTGATGCAACTTCATTGTTTCAACCCAGAGGCCTTTATCAGAGACGGGGACCCAGTGAACAAATGGCATAATGCCTTTACATTCTGTCCCTTCTGTGGTGTGACATTGCGTGTCTCTGTGAAAGCACTATGCTTGCAGTATAATGCTTTCATCATGTTGACAAAAACCACCAATCCTGGTGAGCACCTCTCAGTTGTTTAGGTCTAGATCAGCATTTCTTAATCTTAGCAATTAGAAGTTGGGTGGACTTCAACTCCCAGAAATCCCCAGACAGGCTAATGGATTTCTTCCAAGGATGAGGACAATTACAAATCCATTCCTCAACTAGGCCATTCTTTGTCCCCAAAAATTAAAGGTTTCCCCTCCCCACCCCACAAGGTATTGGGGGCTTCTAAAAATATTTAACATTAACTGTTATGCTAGTTAATGACAGCAATAAATCACCTTCCCCCCCCCCTCCTAAATATGGAACTCACCGAATAATCTGAAGGAGCTCAGGTTTTCCTCATAATGGAAGATCTGTGGAGTGACATCCATTCACCAAAGGTATCACAGAACAGATCGGTGATTATTCCAATAATGATTGTTCTGTTGAATAATAACATAAACCACATTATTTACAGAATATGAAAATGAACAAATGATGTCTGCAGGAACTAAAATGCATAAGTGTTGACTCTGTTCTATAAAAACAAGTTATACTTTCATTTCCCTCCTTAGCCACCTGATTTTATGATGTAATTATCTGGTTCCTAAAACCGGGTTTCAGGTAAGACAGATAACCCCCAAATTTGTGATATGGGCTTTTAGATTGACCAAGTTTCACTAGTCATGTACACTACTTAGTCTGGCTTTGAAAACACAGTCAGTCCCTGATTTGGCTCATAAGAATGAAAAAAACAACAACCAGATATCAAGTGTTAGGAATGTTATAGAAGTTTACAAGGGGAAAAAGCAAAATAAGACAAAGGAAATGTGGATTTACAGATGACTGTTACGTATAAAATGGGTTAACAATATCACAAATGAGGTAGTGATAAACCGCCTGGGAAAGCCAAGGGAAATCATCAAAGCCATTAAAAAGCAAAAGTTAGAATATTTTGGACATGTGATACAACACCCAGAAAAATATGGCATCCTTCAATTTAATCCTCCAGGGAAAGATTGAAGGCAAACGAGGTCCAGGCAGAAGAAGAACATCATGGCTTCAAAATCTAAGGGACTAATTTGGACAAAACTCAGCAGCATTTTTTCATACAGCTGTTGACAAAAATAAGATTGCCAACATGATCGCCAACGTCCAATGACAGATATGGCACAAGAAGTAGTTAATCATGGCAAACTTTACCAAAAAAAAGTTATTATCTGATAGTCCTACTAGAGAGAGTTAACTCTCCAATCTACACAAAATTAGGGTCAAGAGTTTGACATGTGCCATTCCTGGTATCACCATCAGCACCCCAGAATAACTATTCTCAATAGCAAAAGTTTCTTGACAAGTCATTTAGACAGAGACATATATAGAGTTATAGTGTTTAAACATCCTCAGTTCACATGTCATGCAGAATGTAGATATGCTGAAGGTGGAGCTGTTTGGTGTTGGTTTTGCCCAGCTTGGAGGAAGAGGAAAATCAAAGAGAGATCAGCTGATTTAGTTGGGGAAAAAAATAAGGCATTTGTTTTGCCCAGCTTGCCCTGATAATATAAGGCCAAGCATGGAATGGACAATATCACTTTTTACAGAAATCAATACTGATCCAACAATACTGTATCAGCATCCTTAAAAATAAAGGGAAAAAATATTTTTCAAAACCCACACATGAAATTTATGATGCTTAATGCAAACCACATTATCTGGAGCAGAAATGGGCAAAATGCATTATTAACAAATGCATTGCTAAGAAAAAAAAGGAAGACACTTAATGAAGTAATTAGTTCCACCACTGTAAATAGGCCCAAACGCTTTGATTGGGTGGAGGTGGCATTATGCTGTACGTCTAATGTTGTTCTCCTCCTACAGACCATAATTAGTGGTAGAATTCAGATTATAGAACTTAATTGTATTTAAAAAAAACCTCTACTTTTATTTCATATAAGGGAAAGAATCCCAGGCTAGCAAGGGAAGCACAGCGAGCTTCAAGAAGGATACATGGAAAGCATGGAGGACACGAGTGGTGGGGTAAACCTGGCAAGGCTTGGGGAGGGTGCATTGACTAGTGCAAGTGCTGAGTGGTTAGGGCAGGAGGTGCAGATGAGGGAAACTTGCACTAGCAATTTGTGAACTTCCCTGCTGGTTTCCCCAGTGACTTTCTGGGGAAGCTAGTAGGAAAGTTCACAAATTATGATGTGATTGTGGGGTGCTACAACTGGTCTTCAATGGGAGCCAGTTGCCAAACACACACATTTCAATCATGTAACTGGGGGTGGAACTCTGAGGATCAATTCTAACCACCATATGGAATTATGGCATTCACTGTACTTCATTTTATATTACACTCCAGACTTGGAAAGACTGTATTCCAACAAAATCAATAACAAATAACCTCCAGATAGATTAGTTATCTTATGTCAGATGCCTTGCATACTTGCTTGGCTGAAATTAACATCCAAAAATTCTTGGGGGCATCAGTTGGGGAGTGGGCTGACAAAGGATATAGTAGGAAATAGCAAAGTTTATGTTTCTTTCCTCCCATTCACTCAAGAATATCCACTAGATGTGTTCACATAACACACTTCCCCTGTTTACAATACTGAATCAACCTATTTGTTGTTAGCTGGCTATAGTCATAAAAACACAGCGTGAGGCATTTACAATTTAAAACAAACATATAACCATAATATAATCTTAACATGCATGAGCTTAAATGGACTCCAGAGGACGGTAGAGGACAGGAATGCCTGGAGGAATGTTGTCCATGGGGTCACGATGGGTTGGACACGACTTTGCAACTAACAATGACAAAAAATCTAACATGCACACATCTACTTATTACAAATTTGCAAATGAAACCAAGAAAAAAGCTGATACACTTTGAAAATCTAAGCTACCACATTGAATGTATGCACCAGTGCAGCACTTTGGAGATGCGAGGCCTTAACACACCCCTACTCCAGAGCCCCTGAATGAGCAGACTAAAGTTAGGATACAATACTAGAACCAATTCTTGAATAACTGTCCCTATTGAAGTTTCAAGCATCACTGTCTGGGGACATTCAGACTTTTTCAGTGAAGGTATTTTCCAGAAAAAAAGCCAATTCTCTCAGGTTTAAATGCTCTGCAAACAAAAGCAAAAAGCTGGTTCAATCACCAGAAAGAGAAAAAACTTTGTCATCATAATACAGTTACTTGGAAAAAGAAAACACTGAACTCTTCCAAGTAATTTACTGTGGAGTCAGCAGCTTGCTCTCTATAGGAAACCTAAGAACTGTCCAAAAAAGAGATGAACAATTTTGTCCTTAAGAAAGCTAATACCTTAATATCAATTTTCTACTTTTTAACAAATATCACTCTAGACATCCTCATCAAACGATCCTCTTTCTGGTCTCATACGCTACTTTGAAACAACAAAATGAATCAGAGAACCAAAAACCATTTTAAGGACAAACCTATTATTAGAGCACCAACCCCTAAACACCTTTTCAAACCTAATCTACCTAATGTAACATGGTTGAAAAGCTTGAGGTAGCAGTTATAAAATATCTACATAAGGATTTTTAATGTCAAGAAGCAGGATGCATTCGGTATGGCGTCAATCAGGGAATAAGTTTTGCTTCACCATCCTGCAAACTAAGTCACTCACAAGGAGAAAAATCAGCTTCTTACATTTAACCAATAAAAACCGAAAGTAAAATATTTTCCCCAGGACTACCTAGGTTTTTTTTTTCTTTTAAAAAAGGATGCTAAATCGTGATTCTCCAATTTAGAAGCTCTGCCCTTCAGAGGTATCTAAAGTAGATCTCCTGTGTAAGGGGGTTGCGACTAGATGACCTCTAAGGTCCCTTCCAACTCTTGTTACTGTTATTATTCAGTGGCGGGAGGGGACCGGGAGGAAAGAGAGACATGATTTTAAAAATAAAGACAACAAAGGAGATTTTGTGGCAAAACCTCCACACAGCTACATGGAATTCATTGATAAGCCTTCTCGGACTAACGGGGCCACACACACTACAATCCCCACTCGCTGGATGGATGGGGAGGATGGGAGTGGCAGTCCCACCACCTTCCCCCCCCCCAATCCCCACCAAGACGGGTCTTTGGATGCAGTTTGGATCGCTTGGATTTTGTGGCGGGGAGCGAAGCCGACATGCTCCCCCCACCCCACCACCACCTCCGAAAGTCTCTGCAAAACTGGGGCGGTGGGAAGCAAGGGAGGCGCACTCTGCACCAGCTCAGGAGCCCTCTTTTTTCCGACTTCGTAGCAGTCGCAGAGGTTGGGCCTAGGAGGTTGATGAAGTAAGGGAGGGGGAGTAAGAGAGGTCCAGTTAGTGCCCCTCCCCCCCACTTTGCCCGCAAGTCGCCCCTCCCCCCTCTCCCTCCCCCTTTCACACGTTCCCTTCCCCCGACACGGTTCTGGCTCCACACCGACCCGTGAAGGCGGTGGTCGGTCCCGTCAGGCCATGGGGAGCCCCAGCCCCACCCAGCGAAGACGACCCGGACGCGGAAAGCGCCCTCGACGACCCCCCCCCCCCCCCCCCCCCCACCCCCGAGGCCCCTTCCCCACCACCCCGAGTTTTGCCTTTTCCCTCCGCCACCGCCCGCCCCCCCCCCCCCCCCCCCCCCACACCTTCTCAACGTCGCCCCGCTCTCCTCCTGGCGCATGCGCGGAGAAGGTCGCCGCGTGACGCCCCCACTCCGGCCCCGCCCCCTGGGTGACGACAGCGTCGGGAGGCAGCCAGGCATCCCCCGAGGGGAGGGGGGGTGGCGCGTGCCATGGATGCTTGAAGCGAGCCCGTTGCTTGCAAGCACCCCGGAGGCAGCCCTGCTTGGAAGGATAAACCCTGAAAAGGCGTGCTTTTATTTTATTTTATTTTATTTTATTTTATTTTATTTTATTTTTATTTTATTTATTTTATTTTATTTATTTTATTTTATTTTAAACAAACAAACAAACAATTTTTGGAATAAGCAGCGATGATCAGGACTTGCTGAACGAATTCAACGGGATCCGCTAACTCAATGCTAAGCTATTTTTTCCCTTCTATTTTAGTTTATTAGATCAGGGGTGAAATCAGCAGGTTTCTGAGAATCGGTAGCCGCGGGAATACCACCTGTGGCTGGCCCCTGAGTGGGTGGGAATGAGGTTTTGCAGTATCTTTCCCTTGGAGTGGGGTGGGAATGGGGTTTTGCAGTATCCTCCCCTTGAGTGGGTGGAATGGAGGTTTTGCAATATCCTTCCTTGAGTGGTGTGGGAATGGAGGTTTTGCAGTATCTTTCCCTGGAGTGGGATGGGAATGGAGGTTTTGCAGTATCCTCCCCTTGAGTGGGGTGGAATGGAGGTTTTGCATATCCTTCCCTTGGAGGGGTGGGAATGGAGGTTTTGCAGTATCCTTCCCTTGGAGTGGGGTGGAATGGAGGTTTTGCAGTTCCTTCCTTGGAGTGGGGTGGGAATGGAGGTTTTGCAATATCCTCCCCTTGAGTGGGGTGGGAATGGAGGTTTTGCAATATCCTTCCCTTGGAGTGGGTGGGAATGGAGGTTTTGCAGTATCCTTCTCCCAGGAGTGGAGAGGGAATGGGGATTTTGCAGTATCCTTTCCCTGCCATGCCCACCAAGCCACATCACGCCCACCAAGCCACACCCACAGAACCGGTAGTAAAAAATTTTTGGCCAAGTGTGATTGGACACATAAGGAATTTGTCTTGGTGCATATACTCTCAGTGTACATAAAAAGGACAGATACTTTTTCAAGAATCATAAGGTACAACACTTAATGATAACCATAGGGTACAAATAAGCAATCGAATCATAGTAGGAAACAATATAAATTGTAAGGTTACAAGCCTTACATTGTAAGGTCAGAGAACGCTGTCGACAGAGAATGGAGTCACTGAAGCAGTCGGCGTGAGCTTAAATGGACTCCAGAGGATGGTAGAGGACAGGAAGGCCTAGAGGAACGTTGTCCAGGGGGTTGCGATGGGTTGGACACGACTTTGCAACTAACAACAACAAATGTTTGAACTGAGTCAAGGCACCTTAAAAAAGAGGAAAGCACAAATGCTTCTCCAGAATACTGATTTCAAAGTTGATACTTAGGGAAGCTTGGAACTGTAGTTTAGTTGTATGAGAAACAAACCTGCGTAACTTTAAATTAGAGGTGCCCCCCCTCCTAATCAGTCCCACAAATGGTAGTACACAGGCTTCCCCTGAACGTAAAAAGTGTTGATCCTGTTACTTGTGTACATCCAACATCTGGACACAAATAGAGTTGGTGTGTGTCTCAGGTGCGTATTTTGGATTTTTCATCATCGTGATTCATAATGAATGCCTACAGGTGGGAGGTGTCAAATCAAAGGAGTATTCCTGAAAAGCTGCTGTTCAGGAAAGAGTTGCCTGGGGAAGAGTAACAGCTACTTGTCAACTTGCCCCACCCGGAAGATATAGTACTACCTTGGGCTGTTTCTCAAAGAATCTCCTTTATTGGGCAAAGCCACATTACTTGCTTAGTTACTTTCAGTGCTGCAAATCATGCTGAATTTCAAAACTGAATTGACATTATGAGACTTAGGGTAAATAATGTGTGTGGAGCAAAACGTTGTGATATCTTTGATCCAATAAACTACACAAATCTAATTGCTGACTGAATATGAACAGTGTTAGGCTACAGAGCAGGGGTGAAATCCAGCAGGTTCACAGGTTCTGGAGAACTGGTAGTGGAAATTTTGAGTAATTCAGGAAACTGGCAAATACCACCTCTGGCTGCCCCAGAGTGGGGTGGGAATGGACATTTTGCAATATCCTTCCCCCAGAAGTGGGGAAGGAATGGGGATTTTGCAGTATCCTTCCCCTGGAGTGGGGTGGAAATGGAGATGTTGCAGTATCCTTCTCCTGCCACACCCACCAAGCCACACCACACCCATCAAGCCATGCCCACAGAACCGGTAGTAAAAAAAATTGGATTTCACCACTGCTACAGAGCCAATGCTCTGGTTTGGGAATGTTCATAAGCTTCATGCACAGACCCAGGCCAGGTTGAGGCTACAAAGTCACTTAAGATTTCAGCTAACCATTCCATGTTTTAATGCAGGTTTTTCAAATCATATTTCCTGGAATTTGTTGGGATTCTGTGAAAGATTAAGGGTGGGTGGGTGAAATAACCAGTTTTACTAGAACTTTGGTAAAGGGTTCAGGGAAATTTCTTTCTTAATGACAGGTTCTGTGGCCTGAAAAAGTTTGCAAACCTTGTTTTGATCTATTGGTTGAAAAGGCCAACTCTGCAATTAATTACTTAAAAGAAATGTTAGCAGCCTCTGTATAGATCAGAAAGACGGTTTTTTAATTAGTTGTCTTCTCACCAGCGATGGGTCAGACACGACTTCGCAACTAACAACTTCTCACCAGCAGGTAGAAGAAATGCTGCCCATTTCAATATTCCACCTACAGATTAGTTCCAGTTTCATTTGGCCATTTCCTTTTTAGTTTTCAAATATACAGTGTCTTGCCCTGGCACCAAATACGAGAACACATTTGTTTGGTTTTCCCAATTTTTATTATTGCAAAAGAGTGATCTTTGCTGCTACAAACAGCCATGTTGCCAACATTTTATACAAGAATAAATCCACAATGGTTTACTGTAACACTGGTTCAGCTGGGTGATACTGTTATAAATGAATCTGTGAACTTGCAAATTTAATAACTCAGGTCTGAAATTAAGATAATATACTCAAATATATCAATTCAGTTTCAAAGTGAACGGAACATTCTTGGGATTCGAAGAAATCAAAGGCCATGGTTCCTATATGAATTATGAGGTTGAATTTAAAATAATACACAGCTGTTTAAAAATACATTGACCATCACTTAATTAACTTTCCTGATTTTTCCCTTTAATATTTCTTCAGTATTTGATAACAAATAGAGGTGTGTAAAATGTTCAATGCTTTGAAGCATTTGAAGCAATATTGAAGAATATTGGCACAATTTCTGGACGATTGACCTCAACTTGTTTTACAGACTTCTGATAACCATTATTAAAAATCTGTCCTGCAGTTATTCTAATATAATTTTATGAATAGCAACACTAATTAGATCCAAAACATTCTCAGTGTTATACAGCTTCAAACTAATCATTCTTGAAGATATGGGTAGTTAACTAAGATAAGGAGTCCTCAATTTACAACTATTTGTTTAGTAACCATTCAAAGTTACAATGGCACTGAAAAAAGTGACATGCAACTGGTCTTCACATGTGCTGCACAACCATGGCAACTTTCCCAAGTTATGTGATCCAAACTTGGGCGCTAGGAACTGGTGTGAATTTATGACAGTTGCAGCTTCTTGGAATCACCATTTGCATTCTTTCCAGCCAGCTTCCTACAAGCAAAGTCAATGGGAGACAGTTGATTCGGTTAATGACTGCATGTTTCATTTAACAACTGCAGTGATTCACTTAACAGCTGTAGTAAACAGGTCATAAAATTGGGCACAACTCAATAACTGCCTTGCTTAGCAACAGAAATTCTGGTCTCAATTGTAATTGTAAGTTGAGGACTACCTGTATAACTCTCATGATCACCAAAACCCACGAAAGACTTTTAAGTGGGGAAAGGCTGTTAACAGAGGGAATTCAAATAAGTTTGTATTTTACAATAAACCACCTTAAAAAAAAGAAACACTTAGCAAAAATAAAATAATCTTTAAAGGAATAGTTAAAAAATGAAGAGAAGAATGATAAAGATTTTTTTTTCTCCTGCAATCAACTGTCAGACATCAAGCCTGACCCATCCTTGATTTAAGATCAGGCCTTCACAAAGAACAGATGAGCAAGGAGAGAAAGCAACTTATTCATTTTCTTCTCTCTATAGTTATCAAAATACCTATAAAAATCTATTTATAGTGATAAGATAAATAGAAAAGGCTTAGCTTTTTTTTTCTTTTTGGTTAAGAAATCCAGGGATCAAAAATAGAATAAGTGAAATGGTTACCCCCAAAGTGCCCACTAGTATTTTCTTTCCACAGTGATTCCAAAATAAATCCCATTGAGCTCAGTGGAACTTATTCTTGGTTCAGATACAAGGTGGCAGCCTTAAATAACTTTCCATAGAGAAGGTTCTTTTCCAAGAACACCATTAGTCGTTTTCAATAACTCATTTGCCTTTTGCTTGCACGAGTGAGAGCAAATGAGGATCAAATTTGTAGGTTAAAGTCAGAGGGTGAGACAGGAAAATGTGCAGAAGCTTCCAAGAATGCGAAACCTTACACAGCCTTTTTAAGTACACAGTTGTACGTGATGTGACAAAATGGCGTACAGATCTGTGATCAAGTCCCTGCATTCTGTTTTGAAGTAGGGTGAAAGACATCTTCTAGCAGGTACCTCTGAAACAAGGCAACTTTAAGAATTGGGGACTTCAACTCCCAGAATTCCTCACCCAGCATAGCTGGCTGGGGAATTCTGGGAGTTAAAGTCCATGGGTCTTAGAATTGCCAAAGTTGGATACCCTTGTTCTAACATCAACATCCAACAGAAGTAAATGTCCATTTTCTCTGAAGTTCCTCAAATTCCAGATTTAGTCAGAAATGTCTACATATAATGAATCATGGGTAGAAAACCAAGAGAATAATTCAGATTTTGGTCTATTAAATGTTGTTTTGTGTACACAGAAATATAAAAAACTGCCCTTTTTAACATCAAATCATTGGCTCACTTTAATCTGGTACTAGTAAAATTCCCACTACCCATTAGGCTGAAACGTGCTTGGCTTGTTTGTGGCTTAGTGTGCATGTGTTGTAGAAACCAAGATCCAGTTAACTGTGGATAAATTTAACAACTGACAGCAGTCAATGGCTTCCAGTATTTCAGGCAGCAGCTTTTCCAGTGTTATCTGGAGATGCTGGGAACTGAATTGAAACCTCTGACTTTTGTTCATGGGACTTGACAAAGAGAACCCATGATCTGCTCTTAATATAAGCCAATGCATTGGGAAATTAAAGTGTTTTTTAAAATCGTTTTTCAAATATTGGGGTGTGGTGATTACTGCACAAAGGAAGCATAACTTCCTGGAGTAAAGCCATCCTAAATGCTCAATTCCATTGCCTTAACTCTGGAAAAAACACAAGGTCTTGGAAAGATGATTTGAGTGCTTGGCAACCAGCACAAATATTTGGCATTCTTTCTGAAGTCTTCTAAAGCATCTTAGATTTCAGGAATGCTTCTTTGCAGAAGAGATGCACAAACTGATGCCGCCTGTGGCTTAAAACCTTGCCTGTAAGCCCCCCTCCTCCCCCCCCATTTTCAAACATTATTACTAAATGGCAATTTTTATGTGACAAAAGGGGGAAATTCTTAATACATGGTTCCCTAAACTCTTTTAAATTAAATGTAATCAATATGGCTCTCCCCAAGCACCTATATTCAATGGTAATTACATTGAAATGTAAATGAAATGTGGTTTTTATTCTAGTTTCACTCTCCTCTTAGGAATGCAGCTCCCAATGTTCCATTCAAAGGCCAGGTGTGAACCTTGTCCAGGAAAATAAAAGCTACCTTCTTTGAATTTACAGAATTGATGTGAACATGCTCCCTTTTGTTTCTTTTACATGAAAGCATGACAGCAGCCCTGCGTTCTAATATTAGGCTCCCTCTAATTTGCAGTAGTATAAAATTAGTTGCTGCTTTGGCTACTGCCTTTATCTTTGCAAAGAAAAACTGGCTTGATAAAGCTCCACATTATCCTAATACACACAAATTAAGCATAATACTGATGCACCTGTGGGATTTCTCTGTCACGGAACGTAACAGCATACATTTAAAAAAGATTAATACATGGAAGCGACAATAGCTATTGTTGGTAACAGCTGTTATTGCCAATAGCTTGAGTGACAATGATTAAAAATCTAAGCTCCACTTTAACACAGGGGTTCACAAATAACGCTTGGCCACCTAGGCTGTGTTCACACAGTGCTGATCTAGGGTTTGCTGAGCAAGCCAATATAGGCTGCATGTATAAATCATGATTTGCAAACCATCAGTTGAGTTTGCCTATGAGGCAAACCCCATTTCGGCAATGTGTAAAGGTCACTCAAGGTCATTGGCTTGCTTGTGAGTTAGTGTGACACAGGAATTCAACTATTACAGTTGAATTCCATAGTTCCATCCATAGTGCCATGCACCTGTTGGGAGTCCAGCTCACAAGAGAGTCAGAGGTGGGTTCTACTTACCTTTACTACCGGTTCGCAACGGGAACGCGCATGCACAGAAGTTTCTGCCCATGTGCAGATAGTACCTTATGATGTCCGGGCGGGTGGGCGGAGCGTCCCGCTGCTTTTACTACCAGTTCTCAAGAACCGGACAGAACTGGGAGCAACCCACCACTGAAGAGAGTATTTGTTGTGACCCCAGCCCCGGAGGCTGATTTATCTTTGCATGCTGAGTCAAAGGATGATATGGAGGAGGAGGAGGAAGCTGTCGGAGCTATGTGCCGGAGGGGCCGTCTTCACTGGTGAGTCAGCAAGAACTGACAGTTGCTGACGTGCCTCTGGACCCCAGCCTAATTGAGGAGGAAACAGAGGCCGGTAACGCCGAGAAGGAGCCCCTATTGGATGCAAGAGAGAGACGTAGGAGACGTCGTAGAGAACAGCTATTGCCACATCCCAAGAGGTGTGGTCAGGAGATGTAGGGCCACACCCTACAAAGTATAAAAGGGGTGTGACTGGGCTGGAAAGGTGTGGTGAACAATTTGTTGGGGTTTTGGATGCAGTGGATTTACCACGGTTGGTTTGGAGTTTTCTGATAAGAGACTGCATTCCTGCATTAGCCTGCTGGCCATCTGCCAAGACCTTTGGAACATTGCACGGTAACTATTGGACTGATATACGCTTTGGAAGAGAACTATTTATTAAAGGGCCAGCTTCATTCTCTCTAGCCTGCATTTGTTACTGCTGGGCTATTTGAGCCTCTGCAAGGCCACTCGTGGGAGGGGACAGAACAGTATTCTGCTGAACATTATGGCTTTCCACTGCAGTTAAGTGTGCACACACAGGCCATCTCTCCACTTATGCCACCAATGAATAGGAGACAGAAAGGACTGCTCGTTGACTCTTCTGTGTTTCCTTGAATATGTGATGCTAATGCAGAACTACAAAGACATAAGGAACTTGGAGGCAAAGGATGGCAACATAGAACTAGGATAGAAAGAGTTATGATGATCACAGAATCTCCCAAGAAGGGAATTGGGGACATATGGAAATGTTCCAAACGGATTAAAAATTCAGGAGAGCATAGATTAAGAACTATCGAACTGCTAAGAATGAACACAAGCAGACGACCGTATGAATGCAAAGGCCTAGACTATGCAACATTTAAATCACATAAAGAGGTTTCTAAAACAAAAATAAAAGCATGCGAAGGTTGCTGCTGCTGCTGCTTATAAACTGAGGCTATCCTTAGGCACCACCTTCTTGCTAACAGGCTGCTTCCAAATGAAAGACTTCAGAGCATATGTGATGTGCTAGGCTTAATATAGGTAGGTTATTTTGTAACTTGAATCAAAAGGGAAAAAATAAATTTGGTGTTTAATAGTTTGTTGATTTCACTCTAGATGGTGGCTTGACCACCCAGAGTGCCTAAGTCAGAAACTGAACACATTTGTTTATAAAAAATACTGGGCTCTCTTTTTCATTATTTAAAAACAAACTCAACAAGGGTATAAATCTTTCTTCATTCCCAAAATATCTTCTACCAGCTATGTATCTTCTACAGATTTTCTTTTCTGGTAACAAAACCCCCAACCAACCGTCAAAACAAATCCTTTAAAAAAAAAAAACACCACATGGTAGCAATATTAAAAGAAAAGAGATGTCATTTGGGATCTAATGTAAAATTCTGTGAACAAGGCAAAGGGGAATTCACCAGAGAAAGCAATTATGTTTGGAAGACTTAGCGGGAAAAGGAAGCCAGGCCACCAAAGAACACGGTGGCTGGACATCATCAAAGTTGATACCAGCCAGAGCATAAAGGTAAAGGTTCCCCTCGCACATATGTGTTAGCTGTTCCCGACTCTAGGGGGCAGTGCTCATCTCCGTTTCAAAGCCGAAGAGCCAGCGCTGTCCGAAGACGTCTCCGTGGTCATGTGGCTGGCATGACTAAACGCCAAAGGCGCACAGAACGCTGTTACCTTCCCACCAAAGGTGGTCCCTATTTTTCTACTTGCATTTTTTACGTGCTTTCAAACTGCTAGGTTGGCAGAAGCTGGGACAAGTAACGGGAGCTCACCCCATTACGCGGCACTAGGGATTCGAACGGCTGAACTGCCGACCTTTCGATCGACAAGCTCAGTGTCTTAGCCACTGAGCCACCACATCTGAGATAGAGCATCGAACAACTCAAAAAAGTAGTGCAAGTTCTGAAGGCGTGGAGAGACCTGAACCACAAAATCGGCAAAAGTTGGACGTGAATGAATGGTTAACATCCTCATCCTCATCATTATCAATCATGGCATTATCAGGAGAGAATGAAAATATAATTTCTTTTGGGTTATAGGATATATTGCTTATCTCTGAATGATCCTGTTCTCAGTTGAATTCACATGTCTTTTTCCACAGTCAAGAAATTAGAAAGATGAGAAATTAATGTGCAGTACATATACTAGAGAAGGGAGAAAAAAACAACAACAGGCTGTGTGACCCCATTTTGAAGACCATCTCACAACTGAGAGGATATCAACAACTGTTAAATTCCTGTGGCTGGGGCTCTCTGTGACCAAAAAAAAAAAAAAAAGCATTAGTAAGCACTTCCAAAGGCCTGATGATGGACAGCACACTATCCCTGGGAATGCATTTCGTATATTGCATGTGCTTAAAGCAGTGCAAGATACAATATTCTTGATGGGATGGTAAAGGTTAACGGCTTCATTAACGGAGACTTTGGGACTAAATCTGGCTCGAGAGGAATAGTCAAGAGGAATGTGGAGGCTTTGGTGGCCTGAGGATGACCACATTGGTGGTTTGTGGATGAGACAACAACTCACACAATTCCCAGTCAGGAGGGTATTGTCCTGGTGCAGCACCTTGGAGCAGGGATCTCCAATCTTGGCAACTTTAAGCCTGGAGGACTTCAACTCCCAGAAACCCCCAGCCAGCAAAGCTGGGAATTTAAGTCCTCCAGGCTTAAAGTTGCCAAGGTTGGAGATCTCTGCCTTGGAGGGTAACAAATTGGGAAACTCTGGATTAAGGGAATGACTCACATAACAGCATCAAACAAATGGATCCTGCAAACATCAGCAAGAGACACACAGATACAGATACAGCCTGGTATTTATGAACTTAAAGCAGGGGTGAAATGCTCCCGGTTCGGACTGAATCGCCCGATCTGGTAGCGATGGCGGCGGGTGGTTCGGAGAACCGGTAGCAAAAATCCTTGCCCCCCCCCATGCCCAGCTGAGCCGCGCGATCATCAGAGGCTGTTTTTTTTAAATTTTTAAAAGCATTTTTTCTACAACCTCTTCGGCTGAAAAAAATGCTTTTAAAAGTTTTTTTAAAAAATGCCTCTGGTGATCGCGTGGCTCAGCTGGAATCGTCAGAGGCTTTTAAAAGAAAAAAAAGCCTCTGCCGATCAGGCAACTCAGCTGGGATCATCAGAGGCCTTTGAAAGCATTTTTTTACAATCTCTTCGGCCGAAGAGGTTGTAGAAAAAATGGTTTTAAAAGTTAAAAAAAAAAAAAGTGGCCACGCCCACCGTCACATTACCCACCCTCACACCAAGCTACACCCACAGAACCGGTAGTAACAAATTTTACATTTCACCACTGACTTAAAGATACATATATGGCTTCCTGAGGTCCTCTGACACCAAAGAGCAATTTAAGACTCCTAAAGCGTAAAACCATATAGTATACATTCAGGATCCTAAAAGGGACTAGTTTGATGTAGAAACGATGGCATCTCATTCGGGAATCAACTCACCAAGTTTTAATGGAGAACTGCACCAAAGGAGTTAAAAATGCAACCTGCTGGTACCTCATTGCAGTCTCAGAATCTGTCTCCACCCTTTGCACTATATCAGTGTTTCTCAACCTTGGTAGCTTGAAGATGGGTGGACTTCAACTCCCAGAATCCCCCAGCCAGCGGGATTCTGGGAGTTGAAGTCCACCCATCTTCAAGCTTCCAAGGTTGAGAAACACTGCACTATATTGCCTCTCAAGCTCTGTCTCCTGTAGCCTGTCTGGATTCAGAATAATCCCACCATTTACCAACTAAGAAAGATATCTGGGCAGCTTCCTTCACATTATTCAGGTAATTTCAGACGTCATATTTCCAAGGAACACTTACTGGTTTGGCGAGTTTTCATTTACATACATACATTTGTTCTTCAATACTGTGTTAGTCCTGAGCTCCAAAAGGACAAGAAGCAAGAACTGTCTCATTAGGGTGTAGGAGGAACCCTTATTTGCTTCTGGGTCTTGGGGGGGGGGGGGCTACAGGTAGGATTTGGCTTTCTGAAGTCCTTCCTTCAAGAACTGGAGATAAGTTGCTGTCGAGGGGTCTTCAAAACCAGAGGAGAAACTAAAGATGCTGCTCTCAACTTCTTCAGGCTTCATAGAAGTAATATCCAGGAAATAGTTGGCATTGATGTGGTGAACCTGTAAAACAAAAGAAGGAAGCAGGGTTCAAAAACTCTGTAGGACGTTTCTTGTTTTCCCCAGCAACCACTGAAGGTGGAGAAAGGCCTAGGGCTGCCTTGCCTGGATGTCTTGGATCCAAAAAGGGCAACTCTCCCATAGATGTCTCTGGTGCATAGAAATATTTATACCCGTGTTTCCCCCAAAATAAGACGTGCCTGGTCTTATTTTCTTTTGGGCCCCAATATAAACACTAAGGCTTATTTTTGGGGGGGTGTCTTATTTTTTTCCCCATGTTCCCCAGGAGGCTCACTTCTGCTTGCTTGTGGTGGAGCAGGAGCAGAGCTGGGTTTCAGCAGGTTCTGACCAGTTCTGGAGAACCGGTAGCGGAAATTTTGAGTAGTTTGGAGAACTGGCCCCGCCCCCATCTATTCTCTGCCTCCCCAGTCCCAGCTGATCGGGAGGAAATGGGGATTTTGCAGTATCCTTCTCCTGGAGTGGGGTGGGAATGGGGATTTTACAGTATCCTTCCCCTGCCACGCCCACCAAGCCACGCCCACCAAGCCACACCCACAGAACTGGTAGTAAAAAATTTTGAAACCCAGCACTGAGCAGGTGGTTGCTTAGTGCACCAATGCGAGGGGAGACAGAGCTGCCCCACGCAGCCTGCACTGGCTTACCTCAGGGCCCCAAAGCCAGGCCGTCCACGCCCCGACATCTGCCTTCCCTTGCAGCTGCAGTACGCCACTCAGCCTCCTGCTCCGTTGTGGCTGCGAGCAAGCAGAAGAAGTGGGCTGGCGGCCACATGGGCTCCTGCTGCAGATGGGTGTTGGTGCTGCAGCCGCAAGGCAGGTGTCGGGGTGTGAATGGCCTGGCTACCGGGACCCTGAGGTAAGGTGGTGCAGGGTGCGTGGGGAGGCTCCGCCACCCTGCCTCGCCTTGTGGCCATGGCACTGCGAGCAATCAGACAGAATGGGCGGCTGTACAGACTCCTAAGTAGGTGTTCTGCCCCAGCTTCGGATTCCCAGAGAATGTGACACACACCAAGCTTCGCAAACACTGTTTAATTCCAAACAAACCCCTTTCAAGAATGCAGGCTTCACGTGCAAAGGGTCCTTATCAAAGTTATTATGAACAAAGTCCGACAAAGGTTGTCAACCAGCCCAGAAAACCAGATATGAGAAGTCGCTCGCTCTCCAAGATGCTCTGTAGTAATGAGACGTTGTTTCTAGCAAGAAAGCACTAGCTGCGTGCGACTTCAATAGGCTAAGGGAGTGGCCAATTATCCTCAAGCCCTACTCTCAAGTAGACCTCCTCCTCCTGAGTAGCCACTCCTGCCTTTTGGCAGCCCTGCGTGCCCGAGCATTGAGGAGAGGCTCCTCCACTTCGCTCTCTCCACTGGAAGGAGCCTCTGGAGGTTCTGAAGGCCCTGGCTGAGTCTCTGCCTCTGGCATCACATCCTCTTCGGCCTCCTTGCTGTCCGACGCGAACGCCGGCTGCGCTGGCTGCTGGCACAACACCACACCAGCCTCGTTGTCGGGATCAGCCACGATCCGTGCAGGCTGCTGGCGGGCCACAACAGTAGGGCTTATTTTGGGGATAGGGCTTATATTAGGCGAACACATAAAAACATGCTACGGTTTATTTTCGAGATAGGTCTTATTTTTGGGAAAACAGGGTAGATAATATTTGCATATACATACTGCAATCTCCCATGCATCTCTTTTTTGTTGATATTGATACCTAGAGTCGTAACAGTAAATATTCATATTTAATTTTTAGTGTTTCTGTGCATATTTGTGATAAATTCTCCCTGCTTCAAGTTGAGGGAATATTTCAGCTAATTTCTTCACTTTAATCCATCCTAATGCTTCAGTGGTTCTGAGAATGTTTGTGCCATGTTTCTGCCCAAGATGTAACTTACTTTCAAGCAAGTTACTTTTATAATCCTACAGATGCTTGGCAAATCCGGATTTCTGTGTCTCTGGAACAATCATTGGAAAATAATCCCAAAGGTGCTTTTGCAAAAGGCAACTGTATTGTTTTTTTTTTTTTTTAAGATGTTTTGCTTCTCATCCAAGAAGCTTCTTCAGCTCTAATGATGAGAAGCAAAAAGTCTTCAAAGAAAAAAAAATCAGACAGTCCAGTTGCCTCTTGAAAAAGCACTTTTGGGACAACCATGATCTGGATGACTGAGAATCTCCATAATCATTAGAAAATACTTTTCTGTTTTCTTAGGTGCCGCAAGGATATGCATTGCTCCAAATAATTTGATTTTAGTTCTGTGATACAGAATTGTCCATGAGATGTTCAGTACTTATTGTAGGTAAGTCAAAGCAATTCCAAAAGATTCCACGGTTTAGAAAAATACAAGAGGTGATTGAAAGGATCCAAGAGAGTGAGAATCTTACCACAGTGCCATTGGGCAGGCAGATCATAATCTCCACAGGGAAGTTATACTTTTCAAGATGAAGGGCTGCAAGTTTACTGGTGATCTCGTCCTGTTTATCCTGTGAAAAAGACATTCGCATTTAATGTTTCTTGTGTTAGTAAGATGCTCTTTGTTTGATTCAAATAGAAACAAATCTTAAATTTAAAATGAGATCAAAGTCTATGCTTGCATCAAGATCTAAAAACCATGAAAGATTATTACAGATGATATAACATTTCCTAACTGATTGCTTCTTGTTTTGTTTTGGTGTATTGGATTGACTTCCAGATGTTGTTCAACTCAATCTTCTAGTGCAGTGGTGTCAAACTCGATTTCGTTGAGAGCATCAGGGTTGTGTTTGACCTTGGGGGGCTGGGGTTGGCGTGGCCAGGGTGGGTGTGGCCAGCTCAATATCACGCGGGTTGGGGGTGCCTGTGGCAGCCCGAGCACTCTGCCAGCAAAAACGGGCTCCCGAACTCTGTTTTCAGCTGCAACAGCCTCTTGCAACCTTCTGCCAGTGAAAATGGAGCTTGGGAGTGCCGCCCACAGCCCTCGCAAGCTCCATTTTTTGGCTGCCATGGCCTCCTGAAACCCTCTGCCAGCAAAAACAGAGCTCGGATGGGCTACATGCAGCCCTCCCGAACTCCATTTTCACTGGCAAAGGCACCATGGGACAATCCTTCACTGTTTCCAGAGTGGCACCACAGGCCAGATCTAAGCACCCCACTGGCCGGATCCAGTCCCCGGGCCTTGAGTTTGACACCCCTGTTGCAGTGGCTTCAGCCAGAATGAGGGAGGCTGGAAGCTGTGATTCACCAACATCTGCATGACCGGCATTTCATAAGCTTTGTTTGAGGAGTTGGGAAGGGAATGAGCAAGAGCAGAAGGATTTGTTTTTTGAAAGGTCAAAATGTTTTTGAAAGATAAAAACAAACTCACTTGCTCATGTAAAACAGCTGGCATAACCAATGTTAAAAATGACATTTATGTATCATACATAACTTTATTTAGATTTCATTCATATGCAAAGACCAATTCTTCAGTTAGGGGAGCTCCAGCTTCTTAGGATAGCTAAAAGCATTGCTAGTGAAGAATTGTGCCAGCTTCGATGTCTCTTTGACAAGGAAGGAGAAGGTTCTCAATTTGGAAATCCTTCTGGCCACTGCTAGTGAAGAAGACAAGAGACTGTGGTCAGCTTTGGATGGTGTGCCAGTTGTGGTCATGCCTGAAGTAGGAGAACTCTGCCAATGTAAGTCACGCGTTGAGAAACAGAAGAAGGATGGTCCTTCTGCTTTTGTGTCTTGCTTATAAGCTTCCCAGATTTATTCAAAGAAGAACTGGCCACCATAAGAGTAGAGGAATAAACAGAACACAATCTAATAGAGCAAGGATTGATAAGATTGCAAGACGAATTCATCAATAAACTACTACTAAAAGAGGTTGGTCACCTTATATATGATCACTTCCCTGTCTTCTCAAGCTACCCATTCCATCTTGTCCTCCTCTTGAATTTCAGGAACAGCTTACCTGTAAATCTTCCAACTCCTTCACCAACGACCAGGTACTGATGAAACTCTCATTCAGGAATGCAAGGATGGGCGAACTTTCCAGGACTGTTTCCCGGAGAGTTCGCCCTGAACCTGCCCAGAGGAGGAACAAAAGAAGTTTAGTGAAATCTTTGGATTAGGAACAGATTTCTGAATCTTTAGGCAAAGGGGTAATATTCATATCTGGTTTAACACTTTCATCTCCTGGGAGATCTGTTATGTTGGTCCTGCTGCAAACATTGATTTGGGTATTGAATATAGTAGTGAGTAAGCACTGTCAGAAGCAATAACAGTTAGACTTATATACCGCTTCACAGTGCTTCTCAGCCCTCTCTAAGTGGTTTACAGAGTCAGCATATTGCTCCCAACAATCTGGGTCCTCATTTTACCGACCTCGGAAGGATGGAAGGCTGAGTCAACCTTGAGCCTAGTGAGATTCGATCTGCCAAACTGCTGGCAGCCGGTGATCAGCAGAAGTAGCCTGCAGTACTGCACTCTAACCACTGGGCCACAGCGGCTCAGAAGGGCTCCGAGGCAAGGTTCTTGATATGTCTGGTAGGGAGATGGAGCTCAATTTGTCTTAATGCAAGTTACTCTGAATTGGCTTAGTAGGGCCGTTTGGAGTAAAGTCTGCGCAGAGCTTGGTGTGCAGTATTATGCCAATGGCTTCCAAGAGAAGCAGAAAGGAGGCATTGGAAGCAATGAGAGATAATATGCAAACTGAGTCAAAACATCCTTACTGTACCAAAATGTCATTTGTTTTATAATTGTTTGAATGTATGCCCTTCTATCCTTGCATTTCCTCTCCCTATCTCCGTTTGCAACTTTTACCTTCCTGCCTGGTCTCAATTTACTTTTTAAGTTCTTCAGAGCATGGCTTCCTTTTGCTCAACATAAACACTTTAGACCAGAAGTCTCCAACCTTGGCAACTTGAAGACTTGTGGGCTTCAACTCCCAGAATTCCTCAGCCAGCTTTGCTCTGGGAGTTGAAGTCCATAAGTCTTCAAGTTGCCAAGGTTGGATACACCTGCATTAGACTAAAGCCTAGATTCAATTCAATTCAATTCAGTTTATTAGTCATAGACCAGGGACCAAAACAAATAAAAACACTCAGAAAATATACAATTAAAAAGTCTAGTATAAAATATTAAATAACAACTAAAATCTATGATAAAACCCAGTCTGTCAATTATACAGGGTCTAACTATACTAAAATCACAATCCATAAAACGTGTGGCCCATTGTCAGTTTAATACTAAAAAGGAAAAGAATAAGCAGTGCTTATATAAAAATCTCAATAAGATATGTATGAATACGAGCCAGTATTTCTCAATCTTGGTAGCTTGGAGATGTGTGGATTTCAACCCCAAGAATTCTCGGAGTTGAAGCCTACACATCTTCACGCTCCCAAGGTTGAAAAATACTGGCTTGTACTCATACTTATTTTATTGAGATTTTTATATAAAATCAACCTAGCACAAGATCTTTAACAAATTAAGCACCTTTATAGAGGCTTTGCAAAACCAAGGTTTCATGAGCTATTGAGTTAAGAGTCAGCGTATTAAAACCACCAGTATATTATAGAATAGAATAGAATAACAGAGTTGGAAGGGACCTTGGAGGTCTTCTAGTCCAACCTCCTGCTTAGGCAGGAAACCCTACACCACTTCAGACAAATGGTTATCCAACATCTTCTTAAAAACTTCCAGTGTTGGAGCATTCACAACTTCTGGAGGCAGGTTGTTCCACTGATTAATTGTAATTGTCAGGAAATTTCTTCTTAGTTCTAAGTTGCTTCTCTCCTTGATTAGTTTCCATCCTTTGTTTCTTGTTCTGCCCTCAGGTGCTTTGGAGAATAGCTTGGCTCCCTCTTCTTTGGGGCAGCCCCTGATATTGGAACACTGCTATCATGTCTCCCCTAGTCCTTCTTTTCATTAAACTAGACATACCCAGTTCCAGCAACCGTTCTTCATATGTTTTAGCCTCCATCCCCTAAGTTTACCTCACATGCTAATGTTTATGTTTACCTCACATGCTAATTTGCTAATATTCTCAGTAAGCATCCTCTAACATTTTTACCTTAGGATGGAGAAAAAAACAACTTAAGACTTCCTGACAAACCCCTTTTTAAAAAAACACCCTAATATCAAATTCAGCCCTTACCTCAGCATGACTGATCATCTAAGGATCCCCACAAGAGTATGGAATGAACAAGTTTACCCTCAGACTTGGCCTTTTCGAAAGCCTGGGTAAAGGGAAAGTAGGAAACCTGAAAAACAAAACGAGCTGAATGTACGTACCCTTCATTTGGGATCATGTCTGGCTCATGTATTTAATGTTACAAATGCTAAAATGTTAAAAGTGTTCTATTCTTTATAGTATATTCAAAATAGAGACATATAGAATGTTCCTGATTGGCCACAGTGCCCTACATACTGTGCAGGTAGTCCTCAACCATAATTGGGACTACAATTTCCATTGCTAAGCAAAGCGGTTGTTAAGTGAGTTATTGACACCCCCTTTTTTTTTGCTATGTTGTTAAGCAAATCACTGCAATTATTGAGTGAAACATGCAGATGTTAAGTGAATCTGGTTTCCCCCACTATGTTTGTCGGAAGCCAGCTGGGAAGGTTGCAAATGGTGATCACATGACTCCAGGACACTACAGCCATCCTAAATACATGCTGGTTGAGAGCGCCTGAATTTTGATCACATGACCATGGGAATGCTGCAATGGTCAGAAGTGCGAGGACCAGTCATAATTCACTTTTTTCAGTGCCACTGAAACTTTGAATGGTCATTAAACAAGAGGTTTTAAGTCAAGGAATACCTGTAATGTACAACTGTCAAGAAAAAAAGGTATTTTTTCCCACATCATGTGGTAAAGGTAAAGGTTCCCTTCGCACATACGTGTTAGTCGTTCCCGACTATAGAGAGCGGTGCTCATCTCCGTTTCAAAGCCGAAGAGCCAGCGCTATCCAAAGACGTCTCCGTGGTCATGTGGCCGGCATGACTAAACGCCAAAGGTGCACGGAACGCTGTTACCTTCCCACTAAAGGTGGTCCCTATTTTTCTACTTGCATTTTTTATGTGGTTTCGAACTGCTAGGTTGGCAAGGAACGGGAGCTCACCCTGTTACACGGCACTAGGGATTCGAACCGCTGAACTGCTGATCTTTTTGATCGACAAGCTCAGTGTCTTAGCCACTGAGCCACAGTGTCCCTTCCACAGGATGTGGTAGGTGCTCAGAAACTACTGAAGACTTTTTTGTGAAGTCTTCCTCCTCCATCAGGGCTATGAGAAAAACCACTTTTTTTAAAAAAAAAATTGATTTATATGCCGCCCTTGTCCGGAGATTCAGGGCAGCTTACAGTGCGTTAAGCTTGTTGATACTTATTTGCATTTCAAAGGGAGCCCCCCTCCCAAAATCAAAGACAAGAGAAAGGCCCCTGAGGTTGTGCAGGTTTCACTTGCTCTGATATTTAAAGGTAAAAATACCGATCACACCCATCTTCCTAGGCACTCAGGTGACCTTGACAACACAGATAAACCTCCAAGTAGCCTCAACGACTTGCTAAAAGAATGCAAATGACCAGTTGTCTGCAAAGAGTAGAAATCCTTCCCTTCCCCACCATCCAGTCAGAGCTGAAGAAGCTTCTTGGATGAGAAGTGAAATGTCTTCAAAGAAAAACAAGAAAGTCCAGTTGCCTTTTGGGGAAAAAAAAAGCACCTTTGGGAATCTCCTAGAAATATTCACAGCAGCAGAGCGTAAGTGATTTTCTCAATGCCCTTTTCTGGGATCTTTTTCAACTTCCCATCTTAATTTACCACCGTGACATTTTCAAGTGGTTCAGGAAATAACTAGTCCCCATTTCTGCTTCTAATGCAGGCAAGGAAAGTTAAACTACTATTTACGTAATGGCTCATATGCAATATTCTCGCAATTCATTTAACAAAAAGTCACATATTTCAAGTTAAGCAGAGATCTGGCGTTATGCGCAGGTTGGCCAATCCTGCTATATAAGCCTTTCAAAAGGAAATCCGTTCTTCTTAAGACAAGCATGCAAAAGACCCGTGCCCTGTAGGCTATTATTTTCCTTGCAACCCTTGAGTGGGTGAGGCCAAATCTGGCAGCTTTTTTTGCGTGTGTTTGGGTGGTTGGGGTGCGGATTAAAAGCACCTAAGAAGGGGTGAAATCCAGCAAGTTCTGGAGAACCGGTAGCGGAAATTTTGAGCAGTTCGGAGAACCGGCAAATACCACCTCTGGCTGGCCTCAGAGTGGGGTGGGAATGGGGATTTTGCAGTATCCTTCCCCCTGGAGTGGGGTGAGAATGGGGATTTTGCAGCACCCTTCCCCTGAAGTGGGGTGGGAATGGGGATTTTGCAGTATCCTTCCCCGAAGTGGGGTGGGAATGGGGATTTTGCAGTATCCTTCCCCGAAGTGGGGTGAGAATGGGGATTTTGCAGCACCCTTCCCCTGAAGTGGGGTGGGAATGGGGATTTTGCAGATCCTTCCCCTGAAGTAGGGTAGGAATGGGGTTTTGCAGTATCCTTCCCTGAAGTGGGGTGGGAATGGGGATTTTGCAGCATCCTTCCCCTGAAGTGGGGTGGGAATGGGGATTTTACAGCATCCTTCCCCTGAAGTGGGGTGGGAATGGGGATTTTGCAGCATCCTTCCCCTGAAGTGGGGTGGGAATGGAGATTTTGCAGTATCCTTCCCCTGAAGTGGGGTGGGAATGGGGATTTTGCAGCATCCTTCCCCTGCTACGCCCACCAAGCCACACCATGCCCACTAATCCATGCCCACAGAACCGGTAGTAAAAAAATTTGGATTTCACCACTGCACCTAAGCCTCTCAGAGACTCACAGTGCCCTTTCACCCCCATACCCCAAAATCAAGCCCTGGCCCACCCACTTTGGAACTGCTCCATCAACATGGCACAAAGCCTGATCCAACCCTCGAGCCAAAAGCACTTGTGTTGCTTAAGAGCCAACCATGGACAAATGTCTTAAAATAAACTCGATTGTTCAAGTTCCCTCATTTTCTCCTGGAATTTTTTTCAACCCTAGCTCATGGAGGGAGAGCTTTGTTACAAGAGCGGTCTAACATTTCATATTTTGAGCTATAAATCCTCTCTTTGTTTCAAGCTCCTGAGTTACACGCAGCCTTTGTGTTCCCTGCTGATAAGAAGCTCCTAGAAACATTTCTGTCGCTTGCCTCTTTCACCATGGCATCAGGGATTTGGATAAGGGGAAGGAGAGAAGATGCAGCCATTAAAAACACCATTTATTCTAAGAGATCCAGATTCCACTTGGGACCTCAACCAGTACTTCCAAGCACTTCCAAGCATGTCTCCAAAAAAAAAAAAAAATGTACTGTGTATTTATTTAATATATCCAAGTTTTGGCTAAAAGAGCTGCTTGTTTTGTTAGTAGGTTAAATCACTTTCACTACTGGTTTATGGCCTGCATAACTGTTATTACTTTAATTCCTTAGAGCACGGACATAATTATTTAATCACGTTTGAGAGGATGTCAAGCTCTTTACATACTTTCTTAAATGGATACATGACCACTTCCAGTTTCCCAGATGCTTCTTCCCAGCTTATTTCTCTCTGCCAGGAAATCTCTTCAAAAATAAACTGAATTGGTTCTCCTTCTCTGCTGTCAATCACATTCCCATTTTCATCATGAATCACCGAAGGGGTAGATGGTCCCAGAGACTCCAGCTCCATCTGCGAAGCAACAGGGACATAAGACCTTTTGGGGATACCGAAGTGATATTTGATTGCCTTAGACAGACACAGACTTCAGAGGATAATTAGAACTGCAGAAAAAAACAATTGCTACCAACCTGCCTTCTATTGAGGACTTGTATACTGCACGAGTCAAAAAGAGGGCTGTGAAAATATTTACAGACCCCTCACATCCTGGACATAAACTGTTTCAACTCCTACCCTCAAAACGACGCTATAGAGCACTGCACACCAAAACAACTAGACACAAGGACAGTTTTTTCGCGAATGCCATCACTCTGCTAAACAAATACTTCCCTCAACACTGTCAAACTATTCATTAAGTCTGCACTACTATTACTATTAGTCTTCTCATCGTTCCTATCACCCATCTCCTCCCACTTATGACTATATGACTGTAACTTGTTGCTGTATCCTTACAATTTATACTTTCCTAATATGATTTGATTGCTTATTTGTTCCCTATGACTATCATTAAGTGTTGTACCTTATGATTCTTGACAAATGTATCTTTCCTTTTTATGTACACTGAGAGCTTATGCACCAAAGACAAATTCCTTGTGTGTCCAATCACACTTGGCCAATAAAGAATTCTATTCTATTATGATGTAATCTATTTCACACATCCAGAACCAGGGTTGTTTCAATAGCTACACTAAACATAAACACAATCATTATGGAATAGCTGGAAAAGGATTCTCCAATTTCTTAGCCAGCATTTTATGGAAAGATGGTTGAGACTAGCTTGGAAAAGACTGAATGTTCTTGTTAACTGAAAAAGAACAAGAATGTCTATGCGTGTACAGAGAGGATTAGTCCACACTTGCTACAGACCTGAGGCAAGTATCCGATATCCACCTCCATGTTGCTGCTCTCTAACGCACCGTATAACCATTCCATATCTACATTGAGAGACCTGATGGGGGGGGGAAAAAGTCACCATCATTAGAAATGGGAAAGCTGTATTCAACAAGGCCAGAAACTTTCATTCGTATGAAGCAGGGCACCCATGAGAAAGGGAAGAGGGCAATTACCAAACATAGCATTCAGAAGTACATATGGAATATATTGACAACAAGACAAGGTCTTGTTAAATAAATCATTGCAATTTGTTCGAAAGGCCATATGGACATTCCAAAATCTTATCCCTCGCCAAGTTTCATCTTCTTCTGGCAAAAGGTCAGTGCCAAAGCACATGCTCTATATATCAGGCTTTCTCTACCTCAGCAACTTTAAGATGGGTGGACTTATTTCCCAGAATTCCCTGGCCAGCATGGGAATTCTGGGAGTTGAAGTCCACACATCTTAAAATTGTCAAGGTTGAGAAACTCTGCTCTAAAAACCCGGTAAGACCACTCGGTTGCCTGACTTGAGTAGCTGAAATCATGCCACAAGCTACAATCTGGTTTATCTGATTTTGGCTTAGCACATGATACTACATTCAGTCACTGTGTCTTTTTAAAGAAACCAGGATGACATAAACTTTAGGTTGGTCAAGGCAATGAACTCTATCCAAAGAAGATCAGAGAACAGAGCCTCCCAATTCAGTTGGGAAACGATAATCATTTTGGGTTTAAGCTTGTTAAGAACTAAAATTAAAGCAGGCCTGTTTTTCCAACTGAAAATGAATCATACCCAAATGCTTACTGTAAACTGTCTTCAGGTAGAAGAATGTGAAATCGTTAATGATGTATTGAGTGTGCATGCTTTGAATTTGAAGCTAACTTCATGCTGTTTCTTGACCAGTGGTACTGGAAACTGGAGAAGTTTACCTGTTATTAGGGACAAATAGCTTGAACTCTCGAACATGGGAAGAATCCTTTGAGAGGACAATGTAGCCCGTGAATTGAGCAGGAGAAAACCAGAATGGGAAATCTGGAGGCTCATTCAATTGGAATTCTGCATGGATTCTGAAATCAAAAAGAGCAATCAGCCAATCATGTCCTTAATGAAGCTAAGCACTTTATTTTCAAATTTATCTTCCCTCATCTGCACCAAATAAAGACGACTGCATTCCCACATCCTAGTAAGCCAGAAGAATTTTGGGTTATTGTAAATGAGTAAAGTAAAATGGGACGCAGTAGCTCAGTGGCTAAGACGCTGGGCTTGTCGATCGAAAGGTCGGCAGTTCAGCAGTTCGAATCCCTAGTGCTGTGTAATGGGGTGAGCTCCCGTTACTTGTCCCAGCTTCTGCCAACCTAGCCGTTCGAAAGCACATAAGAAATGCAAACAGAAAAATAGGCACCACCTTTGTTGGGAAGGGAACAGTGTTCTGTGAGCCTTTGGTGTTTAGTCATGCCGGCCACATGACCACGGAGACGTCTTTGGACAGCGCTGGCTCTTCGGCTTTGAAACGGAGATGAGCACTGCCCCCTAGAGTCAGGAACGACTAGCACATATGTGCGAGGGGAACCTTTACCTTTATCTAAATGAGCAAGATTGAAGTGGCTAAACAGTGGAACTTCTTCACATGATTCATTTACTGAGACATGCTTAGACAGCTGCAGAAGCTTCCAGTTTGCCTCTATGGTAAATTCCCAGCATTGCCATTAATACTGAATAATTGACAGGGTGGAATATTCTGCCTCTCATACATACAATATTGATGGTGCTTCTCGCCTTCAAAACATAAAAGAAGACTTTGCATTTTGGAAGGTGTTTTTTTAAGAGCTCCTACTCTGCACTATGTGTATTTAAAAATGATTGTGTTTTATTATTTTAATTTAACTTAATGATTGTGTTTTATTATTTAAATTTAATTTAATTTAATTATTTTAAATGGAGCTGCTAGCATCTGCGGGGACTCAAAATCGAATGAAAACCTTTCTATATAAAGCACATAATTGTAACTCTGAATTTTTTTTCTATTTTTCACAGTGTATTAACTATTAAGCAGAGTTCTATGTTCTCATAGATGAAACATTAGCTCTCTGTTTAGGCATATTCTGAATTAATAAACTGCACTGACTATTTCTCATCGGTCACTTAGATTGATCTACCATAGAAAAAGATTTATAAGTGCAAATCCATTCAGATGCAGGAGTTATAGAGGATCACAGAACTTCCTGACGTATGTGTAACAAAGCCAGTCACATACCCACAATTGCAAAAATGACAGTTATACATTTCATGCTCTTCTTGCTTAGGTATAGTAGATGGGTCCAGTGGTGGAATTCAAATTTTTTTACTACCGGTTCTGTGGGTGTGGCTTGGCAGGTGTGGCTTGGTGGGAGTAGCAGGGGAAGGATACTGCAAAAACTCCATTCCCTCCCCACTCCTGGGGGAAGGATACTGCAAAATCTCCATTCCCACCCCACTCTTGGGCCATCCAGAGGTGGTATTTGCCAGTTCTCCGAACTACTCAAAATTTCTTCTACCAGTTCTCCAGAACCTGTCAGAACCTGCTGGATTTCACCCCTGGATGGTTCCCACTTTCTAGGAAGTGGGAAACTAAATGGTTGCACAGTGCTTTTGGATGTACTCTCTCCTGGGCATCTGGCTGGAATTTTTGACAGACCTTTTGGAGATGCCAAGGAATGAATCAGAGTCTATTTACGTGCAAAGCAGGTTGACTAGATGCTCAGCTGAGAAGGTAATCACCAGGTGATCCATTTCACTGGCACATGAAACACTCCCTATCACATGGGAACTGCTTGTCTGTACCAATAAGTAACACATGATTCCAATAAGCAACGTTAGTGCAGGACTGTTCCTACGTGGAGTTTAGAACAACTGTTCTCCTGTTGAGGAACCAGTGAGCAAGGACGATTATTCTCAATCTGACAACCCAGCAACAGAAGGCCTTTAAATACATGGTCTTTAAATGGCACTGAGGGAGGAATCTCACATCCCAACAATTCAATCTGTTCGGGACAAAGGAAGCTAAATTTAACTTTGAATTAAAAGTTAAATCAACTGGACCTTCTTTATTTATGATTACGTTTTTAGAGCCTTCAATACTGAAACCTCATAGCAATTTAAATAAAACATAAACATCAAACAGATCACAAACTTTAAAAAAAAACACTTATATCTACCTACAATGAAAAACAACTGCAATATGTTTTAAGGCTTTTTAATAATCCCAGCAAGGTCATCAGTTCTCAGTTTGACAGGAAAAGCATTTAGGGAAAACAGAGGGCCAACAATTCAGATGGGCCATAACTTTGGAAAGGGGTCAGTTCGTTAATCGAGGTCATGGAACGGGGGTGCTATTCAGCAGGTTCTGGAGAACCGGTAGTGGAAATTTTGAGCAGTTCGGAGAACCAGCAAATTACCATCTCTGGCTGGCCCCAGACTGGGGTGGGAATGGAGATTTTGCAATGTCTTTCCCCCAGGAGTGGGGAGGGAATGGGGATTTTGCAGTATCCTTCCTCTGGAGTGGGGTGGAAATGGAGACTTTGTAGTATCCTTCTCTTGCCATGCCCACCAAGCCACACCACGCCCACCAAACCATGCCCACTGAACTGGTAGTAAAAAAAAATGAATTCCACCACTGCCATGGAGTCATGTACATAAAGTATATCCCTTAGTGTTTTTCCTTTAGATCAGGGGTGTCAAACTCAGAATCCACAGGCTGGATGTGTCGCATGCTGGCCCCGCCCCTGCCCGGTTTAGCGAAGGGGGAAAAAGTCCTGATACATTACGTTGACACCGCGAGTTTGATGCCTCTGCTTTAGATCGTTCTAAGCAACAGGATGAAATGGTCCCACCTGCGGTTGCACCCAACACGCTTCCTGCTCAGATCTACCTATACATACTTGCACACCTATTCCTCCCATGCCCCACACTGAATACGACCTTTCTTCTCTTGGGGGACCATATCTGAAGGGGGTGGGGGTGGGATGGCTAAGCAGTTACCCCAGGTTCCAGACCCAAGTGCAGTGCTCCCGTTCCTTGCCCCAGCTCCTGCCCATCTAGCACTTCGAAAGCATGCAAATGCGAGTAGATAAACAGCTACCACTTTGGCGGGAACGTAACAGAGTTCTGTACGCCTTGATGTTATGTATGTCTTCGGACAACGCTGGCTCCCTCAGCTAAGAAACGGAGATGAGAACTGCCCCATAGACTCAGACATGACCGGACAGGGGATATCTTTACCTTTACTTTACCTGAAGGCTATTTTGTAGTAGAACTCTGCCACAGCTTGAATGCAGGCCACTGCTCCCTGAGGAGCAAAACGAGTTTTCACAAATGGCCGCGGGTGGAACATACTCAAGAGCTTGTGAATGATGATCTAAAGGAAAAGATATAAGGAGGTATGATCTGAAAATGAATAATAGCCCCTGAAAGGATAAACCAAGAATTACAGAATCTCAGGACTGGAAAGCATCTCTACTGACTGCATTCTGAAATAACTACCGTATTTTTCGGAGTATAACATGCACCTTTCCCCCCCCATAAAAGGGGGTGAAAATTTGGGTGCGTCTTATACACCGAATGTAGCCCCGCCCGCCGCCCACTGGCCCCCACCTTTTGGCCTCTGCTTCCCAGCAATTTACCTCCTTGCAACAAGAAACAGCCCATTTCAGCTTCAGCATAGCCTAATTAGCGCAAGTTGATTGTCCGTTGGATCGGCCTCCCAACTCTCAGCTGTTTCAGGCTGCAGGGATTGCCATGGCCTATTGCTGCGTGGGCCTCTGCTGCTTGCTGCAAGGAGGTAAATTGCTGGGAGCAGATTTTTTTTGTGTGTGTGGTAATCAAGCTATGCTGAAAATGAAAATGAAAGTAAAGTAGGCTATTTGCTGTTTGCTGCAAGGAGGCAAAATTGCTGGGAGGCAGAGGCAGATTTCTTTTTCTTGTTTTCCTCACCAAAAAAGGTAGGTACGTCTTATAGTCCGGAGTGTTTTATACTTCGAAAAATACGGTATCTTGAAATCCTTGGTATAAGTTACCTGTCAGGTTCTTGAAAAAAGCTATTAAAACTCCCGTCACATTGTCTTTCTATGACAGGAAACATACCCCAGCTGCCTCTCCTCACCAGAGATAAATGTCGTTCTGAAATACGGCTCAACTATAGGTATCTTAGTTCTTCGCTTTCCCTCCTGTTTCTTTGCTCCTTTCAATAATTTATAGCTCCCGTCATTACTGAATATTTCTTATAGTAATCACAGTGGTTTTGGTCTTTAATACACGTTATCCAATATTCCAATGGGCAGCTGCCAAGGACTGGAAATTGATCTGCCCATTTGCACTGCATTTCTACTTTGTGCTCTTATCGATCCACAATATTTCTTTCTGTGATTCAGAAAGTGCTGCACTAAAATATCATTGCTTTCTCTCCCCCTTCCCCCTCTTTCCAAAGCCTTCCTCTCAAGTAGGTTTGCAGGGACTGGATGTAATGAATCATCTTATACCCCAGTGTTTTTCAATATCTGCGACTTAAAGACCTGTGGATTTCAAAATCTCAGAATTCCCCAGCCAGCAGGCTTTCTTTCTATTTTCTATTTTCTATTCCCCAGGCATGCTGGCTGGGGAATTCTGGGAGTTGAAATCCAAAGGACTTGAAGTTTCTAAGACTGAGAAACACTGTTATATAGACAGAATTCAGAAATTATAGGCATTTAGCTCCATTTCCCAATAAATAAAATTAAAGGTGTAGAATTACCCTTTTAATAAGAATCAACCACCTCACCATTGTATAAAAGCTTAAGACTTTTTTATTTCATCAAGCTGGCCTGGCCTAAATCTTCTCCCCTTGTTAAATGTAAATTTTAATTTGTTTTTAAATTATGGGGTATTTTAAATTTGTTCAGCCAAATTATTTAATTCGTTTTTATTTTATTTTAAATTTTTGTATTTATGTGTTTTATCTTGTGGCTGTTCACTGCCCTGAGTCCTTCGGGAGAAGGGCGGTATAGAAATTTAATAAAATAAAATAAATAAATAAAATAAATTCAAGTAGCTCCACTCGACAATTGCACAGATTATTTTCTCTTCCTCATTAGGAAGCACAACACTTACCTCCTTGCCTTTGGGAGCTGGAGGGTAGAAACGATTATTGGGAAGATATCCGGTAAAGATGTTTAGTTCACTGGGAATGATCCACCATGGGTCACCAAGTTCCAACTTATTCTTTGGGGGAAGAAACGCCTTGAATTGTCGAGCAAACTTCACACTGAGAGGAGAAGCAGGAGCTGTCCAGTTGCGGAGCCCAGTAAAGGCTACATGGGAAATCTAAAGAAAATAAGCAAACCTAATTTATAGAGATTGCAAGTACTCCTCAACTTACCAACACAATTGGGACCACAATTTCCATTGCTATCCAAGATGAGTGAGCTTTGCCTGATTTTGGGACCCTTTTTCCCCACGGTTGTTAAACAAATCACTGCAGTTGTTAAGTGAAACGACTTTGCTTGCCAGAAACCAGCTGGGAAAGTTTCAAATAGCAATCTGGGACACTGCAATAATATTGTAAATACATGCCAGTTGTTCCACTGCCCAAATTTTGATCCTGTGATTGAGGGGATGCTGTGATTTTCGTAAATGCAAGAACTGGTCATGAGTCACTTTTTTCAGAACCCTCATAACACCGAACAGTCATTAAAGAGCCTTGGTAGTACAGTGGTCTAAAGCACCCTGTTATTAAGAACAGCTGCCTGCAAGTACTGCAGGTTCGAATCTCGCCAAGGCTCAAGGTTGACTCAGCCTTCCATCCTTTCTAAGGTAGGTAAATTGAGGACCCAGTTTGTGGGGGCAATAAGCTGACTTTGTATAAATATACAAAAGGATGAAGGCTATTGCTTAGCGCATTGTAAGCCGCCCTGAGTCTCCGGAGAAGGGCGGCATATAAATCAAATAATAAAAAAAAATTGAACGACCATAAATCGAGGGCTATCTCTATGTTGCTTATAGATTCTTAGCTTTAGATTTACACATATTTTATACGATGTGTATGTTTTAAAATGTTCATCTTTTTATATCTGTTATACATCTTTTACATGTTTATGCTTCTTTTTGGTAACTGCCCTGGACCCCTTTATGTTGATCTGTGACCAGAATAAAGACCAATAGATTGAAGGACTGGATTCACAGAACTGCTGACTGAAACTGTCTCCCCCCCCACATGTGTCTGTAGCTGCAATGTTTTCAAAACATGTGCTACTCACGCCAAGGAAGCCATCTTTGCTCTTTGTCATGGTTTCCATCAACAGAGGCTGGAATTTTGCAAGGATGGAGATTGTCTCCCCATTGGGATCCGTCACCTCTTCCTCCTCAGTGCCAGACACAGGAACCATGCCTGAATGGAGCAAAACCTCATTTTTAATATGCAAAAAAATATGGAATTGAGGACACAAATTCTAGCAATCAGAAAAAGTTGGCATGAAACAGGTGTTGCAGAGAGGAAAAAATGTCTCAGCAGGAATGAAGATAACATTGATGTTATGCTTCACTATAAGGCTGTGATGGCGAACCTGTGGCATGCGTGCCAGAGGTGGCACACAATGCCCTCTCTGATGGCACGCGAGCGGTTGCCTCAGTTCAGCTCCACTGTGCATGCACACGTGCTTCCCAACAGCCAGCTGGTCTTTGGGTCTCTGCCATGCATGCGTGGGAACAGGGTGCATGTGGGGAGGGACATACATACATGTGGGGGGGGCTGTGCGCGCATGCGTAGGGATGGGGCACGTGCGGGGGCTGCATGTGCATGCACGGGGCAGGAGCATGGGGGCACGCATGCATGTGTGTGGGGCACATGCAGAAGAGCAGGACATGTGCGGGGGACCACACGTGCATGCGCGGGGGCTGTGCATGCATTGCATTTTGGGGGTTCGGGCATGCGCTTGTGCATTTGCACATGCACGCTTTGGGCACTCGGTCTGGAAAGGGTTAGCTATCACTGTTATAAGGGGACTGTGCGCACATTGCATTTTGGGGGTACGCACATGCGCATTTGCACACGCGCACTTTGGGCACTCAGTCTGGAAAAGGTTAGCCATCACTGCTATAAGGTATATCCTTTACAAACCCAATGATGTTTTCTACGGTCTGATCTAAATGGTTAAGTAACATTTATTTAGAAAAACAATTCCTTTTTTAGGAATTGAATGCCACCGAACAACAAAATCACACAGCAGTTTTAACATGTCTGAAAATTTTGCCATTATCCCATCATATGAGTTTTCAGCAATTTCATTCCTAAAATGAAAATAAAATAAAATAGAAATACTGCAGTCTTAAAAGATGTGGGCCCTTAATCTCATTCCTTCTCTCCTACTGAGTTATTACCTTCTTTAGTGAAATAAATGTTTCGTGTACAATAGCTCACTGCTACACTACAGCGCAACTGATTGATAGACACTGTCACACAGAATCCACAATAACAGTTATTGTCCAAATTAGAATGGCTGAAATTTATCTAAAAATCATTTAGATAATAGCATCCAAGGCAGTGTTTCTCAACCTTGGAAGCTTGAAGATGGGTGGACTTCAACTCCCAGAATCCCCCAGCCAGCAGCGTGTTCCTTGGAAATATGACGTCTGAAATTACCTGAATAATGTGAAGGAAGCTGCCCAGATATCTTTCTTAGTTGGTAAATGGTGGGATTATTCTGAATCCAGACAGGCTACAGGAGACAGAGCTTGAGAGACAATATAGTGGAGTGGACAATATAGCGTTGCTGGCTGGGGGATTCTGGGAGTTGAAGTCCACCCATCTTCAAGCTTCCAAGGTTGAGAAACACTGATCTAAGGGGATGAGTGCAAAGGATTACGTGATCATTGATATCAGGTTCCCAATAGATTCCTATTGGGACACTGCCATTCTGGCTGAAGGAGGGGGCCTTGGTATTTTTATGACTTGTCATCTGCTTTGGCCTTTCTTTACTTTGATGTATCTTCCTGGGATACAGGAGGGAGGGATGGACTTGAGGCCATCTGTTTTGTCTCAGCTCAGAAGAAGACAAGAGCTTGGCGCCTGAGAACAACTTATCACCTTCCAGTCTAAAGTTCTCACAGCAACTCAACACCTGGTGATTGGCTCCCGTTGGACTGAGTAGTGGGGAGGGTTTTTGCCACGAGCAAGGTGGATAAAAATCAATGATTTTTTTAAAAAAAATAAAAAAAAATCAGATTTTTTTGATTTTTATCGAATTTATTTTAATAAAAAACTTTTGGGGTAAAAATCTATCGTAAGATAGTTTTCTATTTAAGATACATAAATAATTTAGTTTATTCAGCATGAAATGGAGCTTAGTTATGTAGCAGGAGGCTGTATATTCTGCAACACTGGGACTATCGGTGAGTCAACAGTGGGTCAAAGGAGTAGCAGAGATGACAGTTGCTCTTTAAAAATTATGATTTAAATCGAGTTGATTTAAATCAAGCCTTTTTACTAGTGATTTAAATCATGATTTAAATTGTGATTTAAATCAACTTGATTTAAATCAAATTCACCCTGGCCACAAGTAACTTTTAACCTAACATTTTAGGGCGGGAACTTCAGATCCTGCCTATTCTCTTTGCTATCCCTGTCTCTCAATAAAAGTTCCTTTTGAAATGCTGCTTGTTTCAAGAGTTCTGCTTTCTTGAGGGGACTGCTGAGGCAAGACTTTACATTGGATTCGATTCTTTCTATCTGCTCTTTATAGGCTTCACCAGGTAGCTAGTGCTAATGCTGAGAAACCTTGCTCCAAGTTTTTTTTTAAGTTGTCAAGCATTTAAAAATTACACCAACTGTCCTCACGAACATAATGACTCATTTAACTCGTTCCACATTTCACCACCAAAATTATCATGGCAGATTGCAATAAAAACATAAAAGCTAAAATTAAAGCTACGGATATTAAAATCAAGCATTAAAACAAAAACAAGGAAAAGTCAGCAGGTAAGCCTACTCAAAAAGCCAACAAAATCTCAATCTCAACTTGGCAGATGTGGGTTGCAAAAATGGAGGCCACAAGCCAAAAAAGCTTGCCCCAAATTATTACGACTGCCCTTTCTCAATTTGCAATCTAATACAACTATATTTACCCTGTCATGACAGAACAAGCAGAAGGAGACAGCGCATTACACATTGTACACTTGTGCAGTTGGGAAGCTATCACTTTACAACAGGGGTGTCAAACTCAATGCCCGCAGACCAGATCAGAGTGTTTAAATCTGGCCCGCAGGCCCGCCCTGGAAACAGTGAAGCACCGGCTCACGGTGCATCTGCCAGTGAAAAGGGAGCTCGGGAGAGCCACACCCAGGCCTCCTCAGCTCCGTTTCCGGCCACGACGGCCTCCTGCAGCCCTCTGCCCAGTGAAAACGGAACTCAGGAGGGCTACACTCAGGCATCCTAAGCTCCGTTTTCACTGGCAGAGGGCTGCAGGAGGTCGTCGTGGCCGGAAACGGAGCCTCGATGAATGACGTTGAGCTGGCCGTGCCCATCTTGGCCATGCCCCCCCGAGGTCAAACATCCTGATGCAGCCCTCAATGAAATTGAGTTTGACACCCCTGCTTTACAACTACTGTAAAACAAACCCTCGAATTGGGTACCAAAAGAGAACCAGAGCTCAAGAATTCTACCTCCATGCACCAGGTGGCAGCAACAGACCGTCAGTAATTGACACAGGGGCTTAAGAGGGATTGCAAAATTATTATTGTTCCCATAAATAGGCTTAGGCAAAAGGCCTGTGGATTTCCTCCTGCCTCTTCTCCGATTCCTGCTAAGTGAGCTCCTTCCACTTTACTACACATCAAGCTGGAAGATGGGGATAATTTTGGGATGAGAGGGGATACAGCTGCCAGATACTTTGGGCTGGGAAGAAATAGAATACGGATCTGATTCAGAAATGGTAAGGTAAATTTGTCTGGGTTTGGCTTAATGCCACATTTGTGGTGGAAGGAATCAGGTTTACTGCAGGGCTGCCCAAGCTTTTTTTGGACAGAGACCTGTACATGGTCCTGGAGTGGTTCACTGGGGACCCTTCCTCCCCAAAGTATGCAAAGGAGGTGGTGCGTGCACAAAAATTAGCCCCAAAATTTAACTGTCTGAATGTAAAATTAAAATGAAATCAATTAATGAAACACTGATAAATCAGCACTCTTAGGCAATCTCTACAGAAACTTCTGAAGTTCACACCCAAAGGTTTGGGGGAAGGAGACAGTCTCAGGTAGGGCACACCTGATGTATGGCATACAACATACGTGAAACAAGCCACTATACTTTGTTCAGCAAGTTATTACTAAAACAAGCCACCATTGCCCAGTGTGTCTGAATCCAGCCAAAATGAGGAGGATATTCCATGACCAGGGAGAACCTGGTAAGGTTTTGACTCTCAAACTACAGAAGCTGGTGAACACTATGCTATACTGTCACCGAGGCTTTTATCCTTGGCGTAGTTCAACAGTACAAGATTTCTAAGAAGAAAATAGCTGAAAGGTTGACAGAACCTTTCTAGTTTCCGACTTAGTTTGATCTCCTTATAAGATATGCATGGGCCAAATTAATCCTTCCTTCCTGTACAGGTAGTCCTTGACTTACAACCATTCATTTAGCGACAGTTTGAAGACTTACGACTCACGCTTACAGCTTCCCCGTGGTCATGTGATCAAAATTAAAGCAAAATTTGGCAAAGGGCATTCATTTATGACCCTGGGAAGTTTTAGCTTCCCAGGGTCATGTGATCATTTGTACACCTCCCTGTTGTGACCAAGGCCCACAATTCAGTCCTCAACAAACCTATTCTATTAAAACAGCTGAGACTTAATTCAAATCCAAAACAAAATTCTTAATAACCAGTCCTACGGCCTTATCACCAACCTTTGTTGTCTCTGGCAACCTGCCAAAGGCTTTTCTTGGCAAAACCCCCACAAAGTTCAAGAGACGCTGACAAGAAGCACTGGAATCGAACCCAACGGCTTGTTGCTGGTCTTTTAAGCCTTATGGGAGGGGCCAATCATCTTCTGGCTTTACTCCCGAGTCGTCCTTTTTGCTTTAGCTGCTCTTGCCTTCTGGCAGCTCTTTGCATGTGTGCACTAGGAACAGGCTCCTCCTGTTCCTCTGCCTCTCTGCTGTCCACCTCTGGAGGCTCCGGAGTCCGTACATTGCTCCCAGATGGCCCTGGCCCCATCTCTGCCTCCGACGCAGAGCCCTCGTCCGGGCCTTCCCCTGACTCCAGGACTGTCCCATGTTCTTCCTCAGCAGGCTGCTGGTGGACCACAACACTCCCCTGCTGGTTTCCCACAAGCAAAATCAATGGGAAGCTGGATTTGCTTAACAACTATGCGATTCATTTAACGATGGCAAATAGGTCATAAAATTAGGTGTGACTCACTTAACAACTGCCTTGTTTAGCAACTGAAATCCTGGTCTCAATTGGAGATGTAAATTGAGCACTACCTGTAAAAGCAACCAGATCCATTTCCCAAGCAAATACATCGTCAAGACAGTCCTAAGTAACCAGTAGATAGAAATCTTGACATTGTGATACTGCACGCAAAGAGATTTCTGAGTTCAAAATAGTCCATTGACACCTCACCATGAACAGCTCTTTGGTCACCTGACAGCAGAGCCCTCTTGCCTTCAGCTGTGCTGAATCCCTTTTAAGCCCTAGCCAAAACCAGTACTTACACCAATGGGAACAGCAGCTTTACACGCACAAAAATTGTCCTTGATGAGAACAGCATCTGACACATAAGCCTTTCCAAAAACACCCGGAGAACCCATCGCCCTTGCCCTTCAAAAATCAAACTGAGCTGAGGAAGAAGCTGTGGGCACTTCTGTCTCTCTCCCTCTCTCAGACACACACACAATGTACATACATATACTGTAGGGCTGGCATCTATGCATGATGGATTTACAAGGGATACCTTCCCCGCCAAAGCCAGCAAAGGGCAGGCAATTCATACAACTGAAATTCAAGTCAGAATTTACAGTCCCTGAAAAAAACCATGAACTTTTTATGGGCCACCACACAGCTCCCGATATCTAAACCAGCTGTAGTAGCTACTTTATGGTAGGCCTATTGCAGAAGAAAAGAGAACTGTTATCATACAGCTACTAAAGCTGGTTTCAAGCGGCCATCAATCTCTTGCATTAGGCTGCTTCCACCACCTGAATACCTATAAACAGTGTCCAAACACCTGAGAACTCTTCACTCCAAAGCTTGTAATCATGGCAGAACAAAACAAAATCTTACCATTTAGGTGTAGCTATTTGCCGAAAAATGAAAGGAAAAGAAGAAAAAAAGAGATAGCAAAAAACATACTGGACCAATGTGGGTTTTGTTTACATTATTGCAACAGTTCCCTCACGGAAGCCATTTTGAGAAAGCACCCACGACCCATCCCATGTTTTCACAAATCTGATTTTTTTTTTTTTTAAAGGATAGGATCTTTCCTTACTAGTGACAGTAACACTACTGAACGAAACAAAATCAGTGGGAGAAATTCCATCCTGGTGTCACTCCTTGTGAATTAAAGGAAGTGCTGTACGGGAAATCAGGGAACTTATATAGAACATGAGATCATTTGAACAATTAAAAACAAGTCATTTCTACATACCCTGTTTTCCCCCAAAATAAGACATCCCCCGATAATAAGCCCAATCGGGCTTTTGAGCGCATGGCAATAAGACCAAGCGCTTATTTCAGGGTTAAAAAAAATATATAAGACAGGGTCTTATTTTCGGGGAAACACGGTATACACACACTGCTTAGCCACTTCATAACTAAAGGAGTACAATACACAGTATTAAGCCATAAGGAAAAAAAATGGTAGACACGTTTTTGCACATCAACGATATTTAGCAGTTATTTGTGCTCTCGAATTCTTAGAACACTTACCAGTCAGTTTCTCTGCAATTGGCTTGAATTCCTCAGGACTGATGAACAAATCATTGTTAGTATCCAGGGAAGAGAAGAGGAAAAGTCCCTCATTTCCCAGAGATTTCAGGGCTGTTTCCTAAGTGGAAGGAAAGGGATTCTTAGTTTAAGTCATACGTTCATGAAATAAAGAAATTCAAATTAATCATCTGTCTTGTCACCCAAGCTAGTTACAAGGATATGCACCTGGGCAGGTAAGATATGCAGGTCGGAAGCTCCTCTTTCAGGTAAATGAAATGAGCAGATAGATCATTTCATCAAAACAGGTATAATGCAGAACAGCTGGAAAATGATTTTTCCAACTCGGTATTGTAATGTTGAAGAAACTCCAGGAGGCAAAGGATTTAATTTTGACAGAAGCAGTAGACATGCTAGAAGAAAGTAAGTATAGGTAGTCCTCAATTTATCATCATAATAGAGCCTGCCCATCATGGTCATAAGTCATGACTATTGTAGCTATGGTAGCTTGATTAGGTGTCATTGCATGGTGGCTGATAAAAGCTCATGATTTTATCTTTTTTTTAATGAAGGTTGGTAAGTGAATGCTGTGGTCATTAAATGAATCCATAGTTTGGTGTGGATTTTGCTGAAAACCAAAAGTAAATGCTAGTTTCTGGCAAAAACTATCATAAATCATGGTTACATGAAGGGACACAGTGAGCAGCCTGGTGTTCTGCCAGCTACAGACCCCAAAGAATGCAGCACACACAAAGTCCGTACAAACCTTAGTTTATTAATTAAGGACAACTAATGAGTTTTTCTTAGTAGTTGTTCAAACACAAGTATAGTTTAAATCAGTCTTTTCTGAACAAGGGCTGTTAATTTAACTTCATTAACAGCTGACAAGAATCCAAAGAATAATAACTCAATTCTGAAACAGATAACCGTAATCTTACTGTGGTTGGCAGAATGCCCAGAAGCAATTTGCAGGAAAACTGACAAGAAAGGAGCAAGAGCCAATCAGACATTTCTGGAATCAAGACGCAAAGGAATATGAATGAAGTTGTTTCCTACAAATTGCCTCAGTTGACATCCTTCCTTAAATAGGCTAGGGGAGTGGCCAATTAGCCCCAAGCCTTACTCTCGAAGGAGACCTCCTCCTGAGGAGCCACTCCTGCCTTCTGGCAGCTCTGTGTGCTTGTGCATCGAGAAGAGGCTCCTCCTCTTCTTCCTCTTCACTTATGGGAGCTTCTGGAGGTTCTGAAGACCCTGGCTGAATCCCCGCCTCTGGCACCACATCTTCTCCAGCCTCCTCATTGTCTGACTCAAGTGCCAGCTGCACAGGCTGCTGGCGCATCACCACACCAGCCTCCTCGCTGTCTGAATCAGCTACTAGCTGCACAGGCCGCTGACATGCCACAACACCTCGATGCTGAGCACTAAAGTCCAATCACATGATTGCAAGGTGGGGGACTATCAAACCTTCAGAACTGGGCCATAAAAACTGTACTCAGAAGTCTGTCAGAACTTCAAATCGTCACTAAGGGACCAGTCATAAATCGAGGACTACTATATGCTTCTTCATAACTGTAGCTGTAAACTAGACCAAAAAAGAAATTCCAACCCACTTCTATAATATTGTCAAGAAAATGGCATGGACGCAGCATAGCTAAATCTGACATCTGCCATTTTAATTAATTTTTAAATACCCTTATTTATAAGCCAGCCTTCCTCTACAGTACTAACAACCCTCCAGTTGTGTTAGACTTCATCTCTGAGTATTAGGTTTGTTGGTCCGATACACCCAAGGAACACCAGTTTGAGTAAAGTATTAGCTATCATCATCATCATCATCATCATCATCATCATCATCATCTCCTTTTAATGACCCCATAATCCTTTGTGGGGTGGAGTCCGGGCAATTGAATGGAGCTGAGTGTTTACTGGCCGGATGCGCTTCCTGTCACCAATGCAGAGTTATATTCAGCAGATATATTCTCATTGTGCCCAGAGAGGAATATCTGCCTCTACCTAGGATTGAACTCACAGCCTCCTGATTGTGAGACGAAAACTCCACCTCTAGGCCACCACACCATTCATGAGAAAGGTGTTAGCTATGTTTATGAAAAAATGCATGCATCATCTTTGATTTTTTTGTGTATTTATCAAATTTAGAATCCAATCATCTCCCTCAAAGAGGAAATTTTTTTTTTCCCTTTCTGGCACAGAAAACAAAATCTTCACCCAGCAAGACTAACATCACAGGAGTGAATTATGTTAGGAAAAAGTGAAGAGAAGAAAGAATCAATTTCCTCTTTCATTTTCACTCTTCTGAGGCAAAGCCTTCTGATACAAACTTTTCAGAACATAATTCTCCAAAGTGGAGGTTCGTGATTGCAAGGCACCTGTTTTAGTCTAGAAGCAAAGGCCAATCAGAAATAGGCTGATGTGTTATAGAAGGCAAGTCAACTTTACAAGATGAAATCAAAAGATAATTAAAGGTAAAGGTAAAGGTTCCCCTCGCACATATGTGCTAGTTGTTCCCGACTCTAGGGGGCGGTGCTCATCTCCGTTTCAAAGCCAAAGAGCCAGCACTGTCCAAAGACGTCTCCGTGGTCATGTGGCTGGCATGACTAAACGGTGAAGGCGCACGAAGCACTGTTATCTTCCCACCAAAGGTGGTCCCTATTTTTCTACTTGCATTTTTTACGGGCTTTCGAACTGCTAGGTTGGCAGAAGCTGGGACAAGTGACAGGAGCTCACCCCATTACGCGCCACTAGGGATTCGACCGCTGAACTGCCAACCTTTCGATCCACAAGCTCAGCGTCTTAGCCACTGAGCCACCGCGTCCCTAAAAAGATAATTACCTCCCTGCTATTTGCTAGAATAGCAGGCATAAAAAAGATCGGGTTGTTATCGAATTTGCCTCACAAATGCACTTAACTGAAGAGAACTTTGCGTCATAACTGCGTTTGGAATTGAACTTAAAAGCGAACAAGACGCTAACTTCCCCAGCCACTGTTTTGTCAATGGCACTGAAAATAGTGACCTATGGCCATTTTTCACACTTATGACCATTGCAGCATTCCCCATGGTCATGTGATTTACATCCAGAGGCTTGACGGCTGACTCATATTTATGATGGTTGAAGCGTTCTCATCCAGAAGCTTCTTCCGCTCTGACAGGATAGTGGGGAATATCACATTTTCCTTCATAATCTGTTTTGAGAAGATTTTCTATCCTGAAAGTTATTTGTCTTACAAATAAATATAGATGATTTGAATTTTTAAAAAATCTCTGCAATTAACTGCAAATAGACTGCTGAAGTTATACAAACATCTATTATCAATCTGTGTGATATGAGACAAGGCATTCTCCTTGTATTTCTCCCACTGTCACTTTATTTCTGGTGAATTGTTTTGACACAAAGTAAGAATAAACTGGCTACCACACAAGAGAGGAGGAATCTGCATTATAACAAGTTGCAACTCCTAGCTCACTGTTTTTTCTGCAGTATGGTGGCTACAGTATGCTGTATTTTTCGGACTATAAGACGCACCGGAGTATAAGACGCACCAAGATTTCGAAGAGGAAAACAAGAAAAAAAAGTTTTTGGCCTCCACGCGTCCGGTTTTTGCACTCCCTGGCCCCTAGGAGCACTCTGCAGGCCTCTCAAACCCTCTGCGTGTCCTGTTTTTGCAAAAAATGGGCCCGTTTTTCACAAATGTGGGATGCACAGAGGGTTTGGGAGGCCTGCAGAGTGCTCCTGGGGGCTGGGGAGGGCAAAAATGTGATGTGTGGGTGGTTTGGGAGGCCAAAAACGGGATGTGCGGGGAAGGGTTTCAGCTTGTTTTGGTACGGCTGAAATCAAACCTACAACTGTCTATATCTGGGGTGTCAAACTCGATTTCACTGAGGGCCGCATCAGGGTTGTGTTTGAGCTTGGGGGCCAGGGTGGGCATGGCCAGCTTGATGTCACTTGTGTCGGGGGCGTCAGTGGCGGCACAAATGCTTTGCCAGCAAAAAGGGGCTCCAGACCTCCCTTTTTAGCTGTGATGACCTCCTGCCACCCTCCGACAGTAAAGATGGAGCTCGAGAGAGCCGTATGCAGCCCCCTTGAACTCCATTTTCACTGGCAGAGGCACCGTGGGCCGGTCCTTTGCTGTTTCTAGGGCAGCTTCGTGGGCCAGATCTAAGCACCCCGCGGCTGACTCCGGCTCCCGGGGCCTTGAGTTTGACACCCCTGATCTATATGCAAACCATGTATAGGTAGTCCTCGATTTACAACAGTTCATTTAGCGACTGCTCAAAATTGCAATGGCGCTGAAAAAAGTGACTTATGACCATTTTTCACACTTACGACCTTTGCAGCCTCCCCATGATGCGTGGCAACTGGTTCAAACTTATGACCATTGCGGTTACCCAAGATCACGTGATCACTTTTTGCAATCTTTTGACAAGCAAAATCAACGGAGAAGCCAGATTCACTTAAACAACCATGTTACCAACTTAACATATGGAGTGATTCACTTAACAACTGTGGCAAGAAAGGTCGTAAAATGGGGCAAAATTCACTTAACAAATGTCTCATTTAACAACAGAAATCTTGGACTCAATGGTGGTCGTAAGTCGAGGACTACCTGTACTCTAACCACTGACCTATAATTAGCCTCCCAAAATGATTGCAAAACCTCCATATAGGAAGCTACATAGTATGCAGCGAGATGTTTGGCCCCCACACATATTCTATCTCATGGCTGAGATGTAGCAGCTGTTATTAAAAAAAAAAAACCATAGCTAAATTATCCCACTAGTTCCCATTAATTTCTATGAGTCACTTAAGGCAAATGCTCCCGATGGGTTGAGTCCACAGCTCCACATTCCTTCTAACTCAGCTCATTACTGCCAGGCTGGCCCAAAAAAATATATGATTAACTCAGGCAATGTTTTGGAGATATAAGAAAGTATGGGAAACATGAGTAAGTCGTTAAGATTAGAAGTATGGAAACTCTACAGTTTTTTGGATTTTAGGAGAGAGCATTGGATGTTGGAGTCCAACAGTATCTAAAAGGACACATGTTCCTCATCCCTTCAAGACATGTCCCTTTAAAACATGTGGACTTCAATTCCCAGAATTCTCCTGTGGAAATCTGGGAGTTGAAGCCCTTAAGTCTTAAAGTTGAGAAATGCTGGTCTATGAACAAGCAGTCTCAAGCGAGGTTGGAGGGGACGAGTTTAAAATTTTCTATGTCATCTGTTATGGAGTGCAGGCAGACCTCCCCCCCATCTCCCTAGAGTAATATGGTCTCTTCCCTCTGCTAGGCTTCCATGCTGCTTGCCACCCCATTAAAATTCCCACAGCTCTGAAGAGCATTTATTTTCCATCTGCTATCTGCCAGCCTAAAAGGATGCTAATGCTGCCTGAAAGCTGCTGTTGTTGTCAATTATGGTCAGGAAAGCACTTAAGTGCCTTGCAGGGCTGATTGAAAAGTAGAACTGGGTTGGGAAGGGATCCCAAGCTAGGACTGGGAAGAGATGAAAGCTCAGGAGCTACAAAAACTCTGACATCACTAAGCACTTAAGGCTAGGACATTATTTTAGTGGCACCAGCCCAAGGCTGTTTGAAATGCAGTGAGGTACAACCAGTTATCCGTTTGACTGAGCAATGCCATTAAAATGCCTACAAGTATAATAATGTTCTGCAAGTTGGGGTGTTGATTTCCCAAATACGTTTCTTTCCCCCAGGGTATTCGCACTACCTGCAAAATGGCAAGCGTCAAAACCTGGAATCTGAAGGCACAAAATCTTAGGGAAACAAAACAAAGCAAAATAAAAAGATTATTTCTATCCGGTCGTAACGATCTGCATCTGTCTGTATCTAAAGGTAATCCTCGACTTACAATCATTTATTGTTCCAAGTTAAAACGGCACTGAAAAAAGCGACACGCAATGGCTCCTGGCACTTAGGGATGTTGCAGCATCCTTGTGGTCACATGATCAAAATCCGGGCACTTGGCACCAACCGGCATGCATTTACAATGGTTGTAGCATCCTGGGCACACAGGATTCTGATTTGTGACCTTCCCAGCTGGTTTCTGACAAGCAAGTCAATGAGGGAAGCTAGATTTGCTGAAAGACCACGTGATTCTCTTAACTTCATCGATTCTTTTAATGACGATGGCGAAAATGGTCATAAAATTGTGCATGACTCACTTAACCACTGCCTTGCTATGCACTAGAAGTACCAGTTCCAAAAGTGATTGTAAATCGAGGAATACCTGTATTTAGGAATGAATTTAGTGGGGGGTGGTGCTGAAAAGTTATCCTCTGCCCCTCCCTTCAGGAACCTTCTTTAAAGTAATTGAGGGCTGCAAAGAATCCAATCAGTTGTATGTATTTAGAAGTGCATTCTTTTGTCTGTCCTCAAATGCCCCCCCTCCCCCATCAGCTTTATGGCACCTGGAACAGCGGATACCCAATGAAAACCATTCTATTAATGCTGCTGAGGATGGCTGCCTGCCTTATGTACATAACCCTGGGCAGCTCAGCTTTTATTACCCTAGTAATAAAAAGATGAGAGAGCTTTCAACAACTTCCAGCACTCCAAGAACAAACACTCTTCCAAACATCAACATTCACATCACATGTACAATTATTTCTAATAAAAACACTTCTGAATTTTATGGGGCTTATTTTCCCCAAACAATACAAGCTGTTGCCCAATTTTTATACAGCTCTTTAGTTGGGAGAAATACCTTTCAAACTCCTTAGGAGATTCTTAGGAGATGTGCCATGGTTGGGTGTCCAGTCCAAACAACCACAGAGTTCTAGTCCCACTTTAGGCATGAAACCTGAATGGATGACTTTGGGTCATTCTCTCTGGTTCAGCCTAACCCTGTGATGGCGAACCTACCTATGGCACACATGCCACAGGTAGCACTCAGAGCCATATCCGTGGGCATGCGAACGTTGCCCTAGCTCAGCACCAGCATGCATGCGTATGCCAGCCAGCTGATTTTTGGGCCTTTCGGGCCCACCAGAAATCAGGAAACAGGCCGTTTCTGCCTCCGGAGTGGGGGGGGTGGGGAAGCCCGTTTTTGCTCTCCCCAGGCTCCTAGAAAACCTCTGGAGCCTGGGGAGGGCAAAAAACAGGCCTAGTGGGCCCACTGTGCCATCGTGTGCCAAACGCAGGGGGAGCGTGGGGGGGGTCATGCATGCATGCACGAGGGGTGGGGCACATTGTATTATGGGTGTGGGCACACGCGCGCTCGACACCCTCCACCATGCTCCCACCCTGCTTTTGGCACGCGATGGCAAAAAGGTAAGCCATCACTGGCCTAACCCATCACAGAGAGTTGTGGTTGTGGGGAAAATAGGAGGCAGGAGTATGAGGTACATTCATTACTTTGCATGTGCGTGTGCGTGTGTGTGTGTGTGTATGTGAGAGAGAGAGAAACAGACAGACAGACAGAGAATGCATATATTGTATGTATGTAAATACATAAATAAAATAGATGTTATCCAATGCAACAGGACACAGGTACACACAATCCTAGCTAATCCATACAAGATGCACAACCATCAGGTAAACAACTAGCAGATGCACTTTATATCTGACAGTTTTTACCTTACAAGGAGGTTCTGTGTGTGAGGCTGAGGCCCTTTTGCCATTTCATGATGGTTCAGGATTGCATTTTGCACATCCAAAATGCCAGTTACTTAAGCCACGTTAATGACAGAATGTGATCAAGCCCCTTCTGAACCCCCTTCTAAACTGGGAGTCAAAAGCACCATGGGAAGGACCCTATCTTTACTCCCCACTGTCTCCAGAATAAACCGCAATGACCTCAAAAGGCCTTATGAGTATCTTGTGCAGAAGCCCTGGTAGACTGCAGGCTCCTTGCACTCCTTGGGGTTACAGTACTTTATCATGATTTAATACTTAATTATGATTATATTCATTATAAAATCTCTCTCTCTCTCTCTCTCTCTCTCTCTCTCTCTCTCTCTCTCTATATATATATATATATATATATATATATATATAAAGTGTTTTTCTATCAAGACACCTGGTCTACCCCAACATGTGGGAGGGAGCATACTGCATCCCTTTCGCCTTTCAGCTCCAATCCAGGAGCCCTCAAGCAGTCGCATTCACAACAAACCATTTTATACCAAATTTATATTTTGCTGATAAAGAAATAACTAACATGCAGGCAGTCCAAGTTCGAATCCAAGTAAGGATATGGCTAGCTGATGAGAACTAAATAGCTTAAAATAGATCTATACTAGTTCTCCCTTTATTTCTTTGTCAGTAAATATAAATTTAACACAAAATAGTTTGTCGTGAAAGCGACTGCCTGAAGGCTCCTGGATTGGGGCTGAAAGGCGAAAGGAAGCAGTATGCCCCTTCCCATATTTGGGTAGACCAGGTTGCTTCGATAGAAAACCCGTATGTATGATGTGTGTGTGTGTGTGTGTGTGTGTGTATGTATGTGTATGCTTCTACCCTTTTAGGGATATATCCACAATTACACGGGAAGAAACCCGAAATATTAACTATACACACACACACACACACACACACACACACACACATATATGTATATATATATGTATATATATATATATATACATACACACACACACATATACGCACACATATATATTTTCTTCTTACTTTTCGTAGGTTTTATGTGTGTTTTTCTTTTAGCCAGGTTTCTCCTACCTAACCAAGATTTTTCTTTCTACAGCCCTAGCTTAGTGGAGTCACATCCACTCGATTCTGCGCTTTTTTATTCTTCTGTATATATATATATATATATATATATACAGATACACACACACACACATATATATATATACACAGAGATACATATATATACACACGCACACATACACACAGACAAGACACACACACATAATATATTATATTCAATATAAGATAACGTGAAATATAATATAGGATGAAATGCAACATGAAACATACCATATCATGGTACTTAATCATGATGATGTGATTAATTACCATTCTCAGCCTCAGTCCCCTTCAACGTCCCGAGACCCCACAGCTGCCCCCCCAACCCCTCCCCCCCCCCCCCCCCCCCCCCCCCCCCCCCCAAGCCCCGACCGCCCTCCCCCCCCCCCCCCCCGTCTCACTCCTCATTACCTGCCGCCGGGCGGCCTCCGCGTCCCGGTAGTATTTGGCCGCCAACAGCGCCGCCAGGAAGGCCAGGGCCAGGCCCAGCCGCGGCACCCGAGCAGGAGGAGGCGCCGGGCGCCCAGAACCGACGCCTTGGGAGGCCTCCGGAGGCGAGGCGGCCTGTTCGGGCGGGCGGCCTTCCTCTTCACCGCCGCGGGCCATGGCCGCCGCTGGCCTGGCCGGGAAGAGACGGCTCTGGCCCCCGCCTCGCTCGGGCGGCGGCGCCGGCGGCCTCGCCCTTCGTTCGCGGACCGTTAAAGCGGCGGCGGCGGCGTCTCGGGGCCCCTCAGTCTACAGGCGGCTCCGCTTCGGCCTCGGGCGGCGCGGCGTGGCGTGGCGGCGGAACTTCCAGCTGCCCTCTCCCGCCTCCCGCCTTTCCTGCGCTGGTCCAGGCGGCCTGCGTGGTCTTCGTCCCTCCTTCGCGTCTTCCCACCAGCGCCCCTCGGGGCCCGCTAGGCCGGCTCGGAGTTGCCCAGGGTCTCCTGGCTCGCTGCCCCCCCCCTCCACTCGGTCCTTTTCCTTAGGTACTACAGGTAGTCCTCGACCACAGTTGAGCCCCAACATTTCGGTTGTTAAGGTAAACATTTTGCCCCGTTTTACGACCTTTCTTGCCACCGTTGTTAAGTGAATCATTATTAGACATTAGTCGCACAATGCCTGAACCTGGCTCTCAGAGAGGCATCACGTAGTAAGTTAACCACATGGAGTTGCACCAGTAGAGTTAAAATCATGTATTCAAATTATGTTTATCTGTTATCTTATATATAAAACAGATTTTTTTTATTTGTCAAGCATATATATATATATTTATTTATTTATTAAATGTATTTATATGCTGCCATTCTCCCAAAGGACTCAGGGCGGCGAACACAAGTTAAGAAACAAGTACAATAAAATCATAATTTAATCCAAATAATTAATTAGTAGTAAATAATAAAGCCCGGAATCAGTCTCAGCCTATATATATATATCTTATATATGCTTGACAAATAAACTTATATATGCTTGACAAATAAACTTATGAATTATGAAAATTAGATCAGTGTAGCAAAGGTAGTCCTCAATTTACAAACTAATGAGAAATTTGTTAAGTGAGTTGTGCTGCGTTTTACAACTTCCTTGCCATGTTTGTTAAGGGAATCGCTGCAATTAGTAACAGTAAGGTGACCAACTTTTTTTGCAATGAGAAGGAGGACACGTGTGCATGTGTGCCGTGTCGTGTTTTGGTAAGAAGTAAACAAAGCCATTTGCGTGCGGCGCACTCTCAAAACAATTATGTGCGGAGCGCATGCGTCTCATAATTGCATCTCGCCGCACTGTACCAAGCCTTGACAAATCGTCATGTCAAATACAAATACGTTGCATCACATGCAACGGATCGGATTGGCATCGATCAAATACGGAGATTTACAGATTAGTCTTCAAATATCGAAAAGGAGGACATGTAGGAGGACACTTTTCGAGAGAGGACAGAACTTACAAAAGGATGGTCCTCCCTAAAGGAGGACAATTGGTCACCTTAGTAACATGCTTGTTAAGTGAACCTGGCTTCCCCATTGACTTTGCTTGACAGAAGGTTGCAAAAGGGGATCATCACATGACCCGGAACATTGCAACCGTCATAAATATGAGTCAGAGATGTCAAGTGTCTGAATTTTGAATGCGTCTCCATGGCGATGCTGCAACGGTCGTACGATTGTAAGTCACTTTTTTCAGCGCCATTGTAAGTTCAAATGGTCACTAAATGAACTGTTGTAAGTTTTGGACTACCTGTAATTCGCTTCAGATCTCCTTCCATAAATTTTCCCACAACAACTCTGTGGGGTAGGATGGGTTGAGGTTCAGACCAGCCCAAAGTCATCTTTGGTGCTTTGGTAGCTAAAAGGGAACTGGAGTCTGGGCAGCTCTCTGGAGAAATAGGCATGAAAAGGGCCGCCACAAAGAATTGTCTTGTTCTTTTAACATTTTGTTTTATCTTTCCTTTTTATTCTTTACTATTGGGCTTAGAGGTTAAAAAAACACTTTTTAAAAAAGGTCTGTGAACAAAGATATAAACAATATACTTTTGCAAAAATACAGTGTATCAAGCAGTAGGTGCATCAAAGTATCAAACTCAAGTATCAGTGGAGGTAATGTATAATTGTGTAATGATAACATTAAAAATAAATAAATGAAAGGACGTTCAGAAATAAGAAAACAAAATAACTAGAAACAGAATCTAAAGAACCAAACAGCAAAGAAAAAAAATCTCAAAGGATCTTATCATCCTCACAGTTTAGAACATTTCAGAACTCTATTACTCAATATCTAATCTACCTGTAATAATTAGTTTTCTAACCATCTATGTCATCTATATCTATGCAGTTATTTCTTACTTTATGCCCCATGGTCATTAACGCACAACTAGCAGAAAAGATGGTAAGAGATGGGTATAATCCTTATACTAAAGCTTTCAGCTACTCACTACTATAGCTATAGTAGTAGAATAGAATGAATGAGCTGGAAGGAACCTTGGACATCTTCTAGTCCAGCCCCCTGCTCAAGCGAGAGAACCTATACTATTTCAGATAAGTGACAGACTCTTCCAGTGATGGAGCACCCATGATTTCTGGAGGCAGTAGTATTTATTATTATTTGCACCATTTGTATGGCTGCCCATCTTAGCCAAGCAACTGGTGTCTCACTACAAGAAAAAAACAAACACAATATGCAAACAGATAAAAACCATCCGTGATCAATTTAAATCAAACAATCATGATCAGCACCAAAATCTACCTATGCATCAGTGTGTATTGTGCTCCTCACCATTTGCAGACCCCCAGGCATGGCAGCAGGGCCATGTCTTCAGGGCCTTCCTAAAGCCTTGAGGGCTGTGGCCAATTAAAACATGTTTATGTTGGTCAGTATGATGGTGGCATTAGCTTTACAGAATCCAGTATGGAATGGACCTTGGATGACTGCAAGAAGTGTTCAGCTACGAAATGTCCTTTTATTTGTGTTTTGATGCCACCAGAACTCTGCACTAAGACAGTACCAATGTTTTTTAATATTCTTTTATTGAAGAAAAACTACAGGGAACTGGCAGTTTCTCTGACAGTTTTATGTTCTAGTGCAGCTGTTCCTACTTTGTGTTCTGAATGTTTTATCATTTTGAAGTCTCCCAACCTACTTGGCACTTTCCAGTCTAACTTTAAAAAAAGAAAGTCACGGAGGGCTTTTTGGAGATCCTTTCTTTTGGAAGTATGGTATGCCACAGAGCCTCCAAACCGCTGGAAAGATTATTGTACCACGAAAGACAAGACTATATTAAAATATAGCTGCTTCATAGCTAAATTAAGAGGTGCAGGTTCACACCCTTACCTAGGACAATTTCACAGAAATTAATTTCTCCTTTGAAACAAATTTCAGAAACAAATTCTCTTTTGTGAAACTGTACAAAAATGGAAAGAATGCAAATATTTCTGCACACCATCCAACGAAAAGGGTGTGTATCCTAACTGTGACAATTTTTTGCTTTGTTGCTGGTGGCACACCGAATTGTCTGTTGAAATCCATGGAGGTCAGCCAGTGGCAGAAGCTACTTTTGATTTGTGAGGATTTCTGGGGATGCGTCTGAGCTTTCAAGTTCTGTAAGAAGAAAGAGCCAAGGCAGAACAGATTTTTATAGCGCGCACGCGTGCTGTAGTCAATGTAGCATTAATGCTGCTCCTGTGGCCATTGTTATTTTTGAATTCATATTCTTTTGTTTGTTATTTCTAGTGATGTGCATGGATCATCAAGGGGTAGAAAAAGACTTTTGAGTGAGGAAACCATACAGTATTAACAAAGGAGAAATTCTAAAATACATTTTTGAAATAGAATCACGTTAATGGTATTTAATTTTACTTAATGAAACTTAGCTTTACTTCCAGTCTCTATTGGTAGCCCACAGCATGAGGCTCAAAGCTCCTCTCTGTCTGGAAAACACTGGGCAGCCCTGACCAGGATAAATCTTTTAAGCTAGCCTGCCTCCTTCTGGTCAGAGTAAAACACAACGTGTGGAACTGGCATTTGGGGGAAAAAAAGAGAGAGAAAATGTTTCATCTGCTAAAGAGCCGTATGTTAGTCAGTCCCAGAGAAAAAAAATGTTAAGACTCTAGAAAGAGTGCAGAGAAGAGCAACAAAGATGATTAGGGGACTTGAGGATAAAACATATAAAGAACAGTTGCTGGAACTGGATATGTCTACGGTAGTCTTATGAAAAGAAGGACTAGGGGAGACATGATAGCAGTGTTCCAATATCTCAGGGGCTGCCATACAAAAGAGAGAGTCAAGCTATTCTCCTAAGCACCTGAGGGCAGGACAAGAAGCAATGGGTGGAAACTAATCAAGGAGAGAAGCAACTTAGAACTAAGGAGAAATTTCCTGACGGTTAGAACAATTAATCAGTGGAACAACTTGCTTCCAGAAGTTGCGAATGCTCCAACACTGAAAGTTTTTAAGAAGAGATTAGATAATAATTTGTCTGAAGTGATGTAGGGTTTCCTGCCTAAGCAGGGGGTTGGACTCCAAGGTCCCTTCCAACTCTGTTATTCTATCTACAACAAAAGACAGAAGTGTTGCTCAATGTTTACTTTAAGAGGCCAATCCAGACCTCAGAATGAGGAAACTGTTAACAAGTAGCTCATATCTTCAGGAATTGTACGTTCTAAATAAATCTATTTTGTCTGGAATCCTCTGTCAACTATTTGGATCGTGAACAAATAACAATTCTGGGGCTGAGATTAAAGTTCTTAAAATGGTTGCACCAGTATCAGGGCCTCACAGCACAATCCATATAATGTGGCTCTTTTGGTTTCATTCCTACAAGAGGGAATGGAGGTTAAAAAAAAAACACCACAAGTTCTGTTCTGCCATTATATATTTGTTTCCTTTTTCTTCATTCTAGGAAGAATGAAGTATCCATTGCAACAGCTGAAACAACACAGCCAGCTCTGCTGGTGCAGAGGTGAGTCCACCAAGCTGAAAGATTTACATGTCTGGGAACAGAGGCGCTGCTGGCATGTTGTATCTACCAGGTACTTTATAAATCCAACCAAGTAATTCAGTGAATCAGTTAAAATAAATTGTAACTTCATGTGACATTAAACCCAGATCGCCATCTTTCCATATCTTCCTCAAAGTAATTGCAGGAATAAAATTAGCGAGAATAAATATTATTTTTCTCTGAAAAGATAGGGTAGAAATACAATAAGTACATGTAACATAATACAAGTGGTACTCACTCAGCAACCACAATTTGGACCGGCAATTCAGTCATTAAGCAAAGGGGTCGCTAAGGGAAACTGAAATTATGCTTATGATCTCACTTCAGCTTTGCTTTGCAGACATGCGAAGGTCATAAGTCTGAGGTTTGATTACAAAGTTCCTTTTTCATCGTTGTTGTAACTGAACAGTTGCTAAATGAGGCAGTCACCAAATGAGGACTGTACGTGGTTACTTTATTTACCTCTGCTGTTTCCACCAGTAATACATTTTATGCTCTGTATTTTCCTCTTATTAGACAGTCTGATCTAATTTTTATGCACAGAATAAGCTCTAAAATGTTTTATATTTTGTTTGTACTTTGTTGGATATTGGCCACTCTACTCCATGACCTACCATACTTTCAGCAGCCATGATGTGGGAAGCACAATGAATACAGGTCTCTCTAAGCTGAATGAGCTACAAGCAACCATATTTCAAATTCTGCAAGGCTCCATTTGACTTTTGGGGCTGGTTTGAACAAAGCATTAAACAATCCTTTGTTTATGCTGTTTATCAAAGAAGTCCCCCAACACAACCAACATGCTAAGCCATCATCATGGTTTGCCAGTTAAGAAGGACTAGGAAAATAGGAGTAGGGAGCATAGCATATACTGCCTCTTGCTCCTAAACAAAAAGCAGGATATAAATCAAATAAGATTGTGCTGCAGTGAAGCGCCTTCCGAGTGTGCTTCAAGGTGTTGGTTCTTACCTTTAAAGTGCTCCATGGCTTAGGACCTGAGTACTTACGAGACCACCTGCTGCAACCGATAACCTCCCACCAACCAATACGCTCTCACAGAGTAGGCCTACTCATAGTACCATCATTAAAACAATGTCGTCTAGTAATTCCAAGGGAGAGAGCCTTCTCTGTGGGGGCACCTACTCTTTGGAACAAAATACCCCCTGGAATACGAATAATCCCAGATCTTCGCACTTTCCGACGTGCCCTGAAGACCTTTCTGTTTCAACAAGCAGGGCTAGCATAAACATCTAAATTCTATGCCAAGGTCTTAGCAGATACACCAAGTTGACCCAATTTATTATTTACTGTTTATTAAAAAAAAATTTATATGTATATGAAATCTTAATCTGTTCACCGCCCTGAGTCCTTCGGGAGAAGGGTGGTATAGAAATTCAATCAATCAAATCAATCAATCCTTGCCAGTTTTCTCTAGCTCTTCCCCTTCACTTGCACTTTTGTACAAAGGACTCACAAGTGCTCCTATTTCATATCAAACCATGCTATTGCCTTTTTGCCATTGCATTGTTTTTATACCCTCCTCTCTTTGATGAATGCAGGTCTTAGAACCTTTTGCATGAAAGCTACATCCCTCTTTAGCTAGCTGTTGTTTGGCCAAGTGATAAATATTAAGTTATTTTAATCTTCTTCCATAAATCACTGTCTACCAGATCCTTACTAAGCCTGCACAGCTCTACAGCACTTACGAAATTCCCATATTGATAAAAGAAGAATAGCTATATTTTTCCCGATGATGGATGGTGGAATTAAGAACCCCAAACACATTGGAATATGTTTCATTTTTGACTTCAGATTACTATTTTTTCCCTCTTTCTCTTTTATGGATCTTTTGCTGTCTAGACCTGGATGTGTGAGAAAGATTAAAATGATGAAACCACCAAAAATGCTGCTTTTCCTTATTTTTAGTGTCACTGTGGTACTATAGGGTTTACATCAGGGATGAGTTTCACTTACCCTTGCTACTGGTTCACTCACATGCATGCCACTTCTGCGCATGTACAAAAGCTCCTGCGCATGTACAAAAGCTCCGGGCAGGTGGGTGGAGCCTCCTGCCACCACTGCTACCGGTTTGCCCGAACCAGTGCGAACCGGTAGCAACCCACCACTGGCTTACATGTGACACTGAGGCTGCTGTCCACCTTGATGAATGAATGTAGCTTGATGTATGTAGCCATCAAATGATGGATATGCATTCAGTCACAGGGCAGAAACACATAGCATTTAAAACAGGAGTTCTGTGCTTGAAAAGGTGTAGCAATGATCTGTATACTTCATTTTTCTATTGAAACAAGAGGACACCAATTAAACCCACCACCCCATGAAGAAAATAAAAGAGGGCCCCAGCCAGTATCCTTTTTCCGACAATGGCTAAATAATTACCTTTGATTCTGGTGGAAATAGCATTTTTGTTTGTTATTTTTCATGTGTGGTCAGGATCTAAGGAGAAAGAGCACTTTAAGTTTTTCCCTTGGCAATTTTATGTTTTTACATCCACATGATTTTGGCTGTGGAGTCCTTAATAACAGTCTCGCGAGTGTCTGAATCGTCCCATTTCCATCTTCTATCCTTACTAGAACAAGAACGAAATTGCGTCGTTTTCTCAGTTTGTGTTGCTGGGGCCCAAAAGGGTAGCAGGGAGGGTGGGGAAGGAAAGGAAATCCCAGCACAGGAAACCCAAATACCACGGAATGCCATAAACTGTTTTTGAACCAATGTATGATATCCAGGGCACTTCAGACAGTTTTCTTTCAGTCAGAGCAAAATCTGTGGCGTGCCTTTAAAAAATTCAAGCAGATTCATTCAAACTATGAGTTTCCTTCTATTCTCTTTCTTCTGAAATCAGATAAATATCCAGTCAATTATTTCCATTTTTGGTGCTCCTGTTTTTCTTTCTTGCAATCTACTCCATTTTGCCAGCCATCAGATTCCTGCCAAGGAGGCTTCCCAAACCTCCTCTTACCATTTCATAGTATTCTATGCTTTAAAAAACAACAACAAAAACCTATGCTACCTTTGTCTTTTTCTCAAGAACAGTTGTTAGAACAAGTGTGTCAATCCGCATGCCACGGAGTTGCTATGTAATTTCATCATTATTTTCCTTCTGTAAGAGGTTTTACAATAAATGGTGATATACTTGTAATATTCATGCCCTCAGTTTGACATACTTTCTCCTCACTGAAGCATAGCGACATGATTTCCTGTGTTGCACCTCGTACCTCTAGGGAAAAAAAATCCTTCTTTTGCATATTTGTTAGATCACAGACTTTTTTTGGGGGGGTGTCACATATAATTCTGCTGTTCCAACTGAATTGGCAGCTGCATTTCAAAAAGGCTTAAGATACAGAAGGATCTTGACAGACTTGAACATTGGGCACTATGAAAAAAATGAAATTCAATGGCGAAAAAAGTAAGGTTCTACATTTAGGCAAGAAAAACAAAATGCACAGATACAGTATAGGTGGTACCTCGCTCAATACTAGTAACTGTGAGAGGGATCTTGGAGTCCTAGTGAACAACCATTTAAATATCAGCCAGCAATGTGCAGCAGCTGCCAAAAAAGCCAACACAGTTCTGGGCTGCATAAACAGGGATAGAATCAAGATAACATGAAGTGTTAATACAACTTTATAATGCCTTGGTAAGGCCACACTTGGAATACTACATTCAGTTTTGGTCGCCACGATGTAAAAAAGGTGTTGAGACTCTAGAAAGAGTGCAGAGGAGCAACAGAAATGAGGGGACTGGAGGCTGAAACATATGAAGAACGGTTGCAGGAACTGGGTCTGTCTAGTTTAATGAAAAGAAGGACTAGGGGAGATATGATAGCAGTGTTCCAATATCTCAGGGGCTGCCACAAAGAAGAGGGAATCAAGCTATTCTCCAAAGCATCTGAGGGTAGGACAAGTAGTAATGGGTGGAAACTAATCAAGGAGAGAAGCAACCTAGAACTAAGGAGAAATTTCCTGACAGTTAGAACAATTAATCAGTGGAACAACTTGCCTCTAGAAGTTGTGAATGCTCTAATACTGGAAGTTTTTAAGATGTTGGATAATCATTTGTCTGAAGTGGTGTAGGGTTTCCTGCCTCAGCAGGGGGTTGGACTAGAAAACCTCCAAGGTTCCTTCCAACTGTTATTCTATTCTATAGTTTTCTTGGCAATTATATCGTGATTTGCCAAAGCCTTCTTCCAAGATGATAATGATGAATACTATTGATTTATTAGTCTAACCTACTGCCCCGGGATTTTCTGGAGCTTTCCTAACCAAGTAATCTCTAACCCTGTTTAGCTTTTTCAAGATTAGCCAAGGTCCTTGGAACTTGTATTTAATTTCTAGCTGCCAAATGTAATAATGATTCAACTTTGAATCTGTCTTTCTTAGATTAAAAATGAAGTAAAAAAATTACCTCTGGCTACTTTCAAGTTCATTATCAAATTCAAAGTTGCTATCTGTTGAAAACTGTTCTGTTCATTCAGATTTTTAATGCATTTTACTTAGATTCTGGAAAGAGTACTGTATATTTGATATCCCTCCTTAGCAGATAACTTGCATTGGTCAGAGCAGGAAGAAGAGAAAAAGATACAAGTAGTCCCCAAGTTATGACCATTTCTTTAAAGGCTGAAGTTATAATGGTGCTGAAAAAAGTGACTTACGACCATGCACTTATGACCATCACAGCATCTCTGCGGTCACATCATCAGAATTTGGGCACTTGGTAACCAGCATTTATTTACAATAGTGTTCTCGGGTTATGTGGTTGCCATCTGTGACTTTCCCAGGGGGATTCTGACAATCAAACTCAATGGGGAAAAACTGGGTTTGCTTCATGTGGAATAACAGTCATAAAATTGGGCATGACTCACTTAATTACTGCATCACTAGCAATGTTAAGTTCTGGTCTGAATTGTGCTGAGGATTATCTGTATGCCCTGAATCATTTCTGGCTCTGGTTTAACCCCTGCTGGTCTCAGATGCATTTAGATAGTAAATTATTATACACAGATAAGGAAGATATACATCTTTCAACAGAAAAAAAAATGATTTCTTCCATCTTTTAAGAACTGCTTTGAAGCCTGTACTCTAAATGTAAGAAGTATGAGAGGCAAGGCCTTTTAGATACATTCTGTGATGTTTGAATGAAGGACAGGTGACAAATAATGCTGCTTCGTTGTACTTCAAAATTCAATGGAAACTCTAAAAGGAGCTGGAATGATACCTTTTGATTCATGTCAAAAGGCTCTTTGATTCTGTAAGTGGTCTATTTAAAAAAATTATTTTGGCAAATGCTTATTTTCCTGCTTGCAAAATGATGACAGGTTCCCAGAGGGTAGTTATTTAGGAGTAACTATCCACCTAGGCAAAGATCTGTCTATTGCAGCCAGTCTTCTGATCCCAAAGATTAAATCTCCAAGGGTTCCCATTGGACAGTCTGACCCTTCCCCCACCCCCACCCCTTGGCTTCAAGAGCCAACACAAAACACCTCTTCTGCATCTTGCTCTAAGTGCCTTTTCTTCTCTTCTTTAAATCTGGAAAGCAAGCCACCAAAACCTTAGGAGAAAGAGAAAAGCATCAGTTGAGAAGGGAGGCTCAGCCAATCTCACTGTACACAGGTTGTACTCTGACAATAAAGGTTTGAATTAAATTGATTTGAGTCCCTGAATTATCGTCCCTGGCGGAGAGAAAGAGAGTAAAAAGAGCTTGCAGAAGTGCAGTTAAATCTGCGAAAAAAGAAAATCTTAAGGAGATGCAATGAATACACACAACCAACTTCAACCAAGGAAACTAACAGATCCTTCCCAACCTGGCACTTGCTAGAGATTTCGACTTTAATCACCATCTTCATTGACTGGTATCCACGTTTGGTAAGGGACGTTATTTAAGGTGAATAAGGGAAGACACCACCTCCACACCACTCAACCTCACTCAGGTTTTAGCCCCTCACTCTTGTAACTTTAAATTGTTTTTATATTTTTTATTGTATTGTAATCTGCCTAGAGTCACTTTGGATAGGGAGATGGATAACATATAAATTTATTAAACAAATACATGATTGGTAGTGTACAGGTAGTCCCCGACAGTGGTGGGATTCAAATAATTTAACAACCGGTTCTCTGCCTTAATGACCAGCTGGGTAGGCATGGCTTGGTGGTCATGTGACCATGTGGGGTGGCCAACTCAACGTCACTCACGTCGATGGGCGCTTCGCCTTAGCTGTTACAATGTAATAAGGGTTAAACCAGAGAGGCAGTTTCTGTAAGCAGGGCAATAAAGATCAGGCTAGAAATACCACCAGAATGTTTCCTTCCTGCCTTCCTTACAGGATTAGCCCTGTAAAGTGGAAAAAAACAAAATAAGATTTCTTCCAACAACCGGTTCTCCGAACTGCTTAGAAAGTTAACCGGTTCTCCCAAAAAGGTGCGAACCGGCTGAATCCCACCACTGGTCCCCGACTTAACAATCACTTGCTTAGCGACCAAAGTTACAATGGCCCTGAAAAAAGTGACCTGATGACCATTTTTTCACACTTACGACCACTGCAGCATCCCCATGGTCACGTGATCAAAATTTGGTTGCTTGGCAACTGGCATGTATTTATGATAGTTGCATTGTCCCAGGGTCACGTGATCCCGTTGTGACCATCTGACAAGCAAAGTCAGTGGGGAAGCCAGATTCATTTAACAACTGTAATACTAAACCACTGCAGTGATTCACTTAACAACTGTAGCAAGAAAGGTCATAAAACGGGTCAAAACTCACTTAACGACTGTTTCGCTTCGCAAAAGTAATTTTGGGCTCAATTGTGGATGTAGGTCGAGGACTACCTGTACTCAGAAAACATAAGGAGAGATTTAACTTCCAGGCATCAGGATCACAGGCACAAAATGTTGTGTTGACTGCCCAGCGATCAGAAAGGACAAGCCCCTTAATTCGAGTACAGTTCTTGTGCAGACTGATAGGCAGAACTTGTTCAGCAGACACACAACTTCACCCACATGTACAATTGTTTGCTTCGGCACCCACCCTTTGACCATTAAATTCTCGGTTTCCAAGGGGCAAAGGCAGCCAGTCCACTCCGTCCTTTAGCCCCTCTGGCTTCTTTCCACCATCCGGTCTTTTGGTATTGAAGCATATGCTGTTCTAAGCAGGGTGGATTTGATTTAAATCGAGTTGATTTAAATCATGATTTAAATCACTAGTAAAAAGGCTTGATTTAAATCAACTCGATTTAAATCATAATTTTTAAAGAGCAACTGTCATCTCTGCTACTCCTTTGACCCACTGTTGACTCACCGATAGTCCCAGTGTTGCAGAATATACAGCCTCATGCTACATAACTAAGCTCCATTTCATGCTGAATAAACTAAATTATTTATGTATCTTAAATAGAAAACTATCTTACGATAGATTTTTACCCCAAAAGTTTTTTATTAAAATAAGTTCGATAAAAATCAAAAAAATCCAATTTAAATCAAAAAAATCTGATTTTTTTGATTTTTTAAAAAAAATCATTGATTTTTATCCACCCTGGTTCTAAGGCAGCCCAGGAGCCTGCTCTTCCCATCTGCTGCAGCAGCCAAAAACCAGGGGAATCTGCCAAGGTCCCCGCGGTTCCCTCCAGCCACCTCTTGGCTTCCTCTTCTCTTTTCTAACCTTCCACGCCACCCAGCCACACATCTATCTTTCTTTCTTTTCTTTTCTTTTTTAGCGGACATGAATTTTTATTTTATTTTTCACATCTGAGCATTACAGAAATGAAATCATTACAAATGCCTCGTAAGGTTTTGCTCCAGATGAAAAGGGGAAAAACAAAAACAAAAAAATCATAGGAAAGGGACCAAGCAAAACCAAAAGAAAAAAGAGAAAAAGAAAATGACAGCTGGCAAACGTTTGAAGAGAATGGAAAGGAGGGTGAGGAAAGGGGTAAAAGAAAGAAGTGGGTGGGATTTAGAAAGACTCCTTCACCAGGACCTCTTGACATGTCTACTGCTTTTTTTTTTTTTTAAAGTATAGATCAGAAAGGAGGGGCAAAAAACAAAACAAAACAAAACAAACAATGGTATATAAAAAGGGAGGGAGCAAGTTTGGAGCAAGAAGAGTAGCACAAACCGACATCTATTTTATGGCAAATTCCTGATCCTTTGGCCACGCAAAAGCGAAAGTCAGTGGATTCCGTAGAAATTCTTCATAGAAAGGGAATGTCCGTGATTTTGTCTTGTCTTATGGCCCGTAATCAACATCCAATTATCAGGTTATAAGTTTCCTCACAGAGGAAAAAAAAAACCCATTGAAGGTGCTTTGTTTTCACAGTTTTTTTTAAACTCCCCCGATATAATACTGTCCGGAATTGGACGAATGCCCCCATAATACCTTTCCGGGAATATGTGCATTCCTTTACTGGAAAGGAGAAAAAAATAAAAATAAAAATAATGCAAGCAACCCCTCGGGATCCCTTCTCAGAACCCAGAAGGGCTGAGTGGCTCCTACTGCATGCTTGTCTTGAGGACAAATTCTGTGTGGTTCACAGGCAACGGGTGAGCTTCAGTGTTGAACACCCAGTCCTTGAGGGAGAGCACATCATCTTCAGAGAACAGAAGATAGAGATACCTAGAACCAGGAGAAGAACAAAGAAAAGCTTGCTGGGTGAAACTGTCAAGTGTAATTTGTTTATGGCCTCTTAGGCTTGCTACCTTGGCTGGTTTGGGATTAGACTAGGAATGGGGGAACGATGGCCGTTTTATGATTTGTGGACTTCAATGTCAGGTTTTGAGGTCGTCTCAAATAAATTGCATTTCAAACAAAGTCTTTGAAGAAAAACTCCCCTTTTATTAAGCACGACATTCTAACTCCGACTCCATCGCAGCCAACTGACTTCCAGACCCAAACCCCTCCCTTTCCATTCCCCACTCCCCTGCACTCAGTGGCCATCTTCCAAGTCACTCTACCCCTAATCTACTGCTCCAGCTCAAAGGAATTTCCCCCCTCCCATCCAATCTCCTAGGGCAGTGATGGCTAACCTTTTTCCCATCGCGTGCCAAAAGCGGGGGGAGTGCAGGGGGGGTCGTGCATGTGTGTGCCCACACCGATAATTCAATGCCCCCTGCATCTGTCCCCCTGCACCCCCACCGCTTTTGGCACGCGATGGCATGGTGGGCCCAGTACAATGGTGGGTTGCCCCCGGTTCGCAAGAACCAGTAGGCCCCGCCCACCACCCGGATGTCATTATTGGAAATCTGCGCATGCGCAGAAGCAAGGTGTGTGTCTGAGCAAAGTGAGTGCGCATGTGCGATCCCGTTGCAAACTGGTAGTAAAGGTAAGTAGAATCCACCCCTCGCCCAGTAGGCCTGTTTTTCGCCCTCCCCAGGCTCCAGAGGCTTTTTTAGAGCCTGGGGACGGCGAAAATGGCCTTTTCCACCACCCTGGACATCCTCCAGGGGCCGGAAACAGCCCATTTCCCGACTTCCAGTGGGCCTAGAAGGCCTGAAAATCAGCTGGTGCGCTGGAGCTGGGCTAAGGCAACGCTTGCATGCCCATAGATATGGCTCCGTGTGCCACCTGTGGCACGCGTGCCATAGGTTCACCATCACGGTCCTAGGGGATATTATCTCCAGGGAAAATAAGTAGGTGAAAAGTCAAACGTCTCTTTCCAGATGCCTCCGCTTCTCCTTCTTATGTCAGCACTAGAGTAAATGCAGCTTGAAGTGCTGACATCCAACTTCATGGCTGGCTCAGGAATTCTGGGAGTTGAAGTCCACAAGTCATAAAACGCCCATTGTTCCTCGCCCTTGGATTAGACATACACAGGGGTGGGCTTCAAAAATTTTAGCAACGGGTTCTCTGCCTGGTTGCTGGGTGGGCGTGGCCATGGTGGGTGTGGCCTAGTCGGCCTCCTGCACCATGGCGGGAGGACATTTTTGCCCTCCCTGGGCTCCGGAGACTTTGTCCCAGCCTCCGGGAGGGCAAAAATGGCCTCCCCAGGCTCCGGAGACCCTTCCTGAACTTCCAGTAGGCCCGTTTTTTGCCCTCCCCAAGCTTCCGCACACGCCCCGCACTTACCTGCATCCAAAACAGGCCACGTGGGGACTCCTAGGAGGGGCAGGGCAGAGTGGGCAGGGCCAGCCAGGACTGGGATTTGGGGGTTCTCTGAATTGCACAGAATCTTAGCTAGAGGTTCTCCCGAACCCCTACAAACCCCCAGCAGCCCACCCCGGATATACAACAGAGTCTGGACCAGCAGTGTGTCAAATCTTCAAGGTGAACTGTTTAGTGTTCAAACAGCTGAAACAGGCTGTGTTTCAACTTCTCAACCCTTTCAAAATGGTTGAAATAGCCCATTTCAAATGGAGAACCACCGTCTGGCACCGCCCAAAACTGTCCTGTGCTGACACCAGAAGCGAAATGACAAGGCTTTAAGGATTTGGTTGTAGAGAAGAGATGGAGTATGGGAAGAAGGGACCATTTGTTGCACAGGTAGTCCTCAATGTAGGACCAGTGGTGGGATTCAAATAATTTAACAACTGGTTCTCTGCCCTAATGACCAGCTGGATAGGCATGACTATGGTGGGCATGGCCAGGGTGTGTGACAGGCAGCATTTGGCTTCCTGCACCCCCCCCCCCGGGCACAGAAACAGGCTGCGGGGGGGATGCACCGCTGCCCCCGCGCCCCATTTTGGGCCTAGTAGACCTCCCTGCAACCTCCTGGGAGCGAAAATGGGCCACTGGGGGGCTGCACTGCACCCCCCGTGCTCCGTTTTGGGCCTAGGAGGCCTCCCTGCAGCTGCCTGGGAGCCAAAATAGGTCGCATGGGGACTCCTAGAAGGGGGAGGGTGGGATGGGGTGGGGTGGGGTGGGGCGGGGCGGGGCGGGGCGGGGCGGGGCGGAGCCAGCCAGCAATTTAACTACTGGTTCATCCGAACCAGCCCGGACAAGCTGAATCCCACCACTGCTTAGGACCATTCGTTGAACAACTTTTCAAACTTATGATGGCACTGGAAAAAAAGGGACTCATTGTTGCACTTGCAACCCATCACAGTGTCCCAACGGGCACATGATTAAAATTCAAGAGCTTGACAATTAGTTGTGTATTCATGATGGCTCCAGCATCCTGAAGTCACGTGATTATCAATTTTGACCACCTCAGCTGGCTTCCAACAAACAAAATTACATGGGGGAAAGCTGGATTTGCTTAGCGATGTGATTCACTTAACAACTATGGCAAAGAAGGCTGTAAAATTGGGCGTGACTCACTTAACAACCACCTTGCTTAACAAGGGAAAAATCCAGTCCCGGATGTGGTCATAAATCAAGGACTACCTGTATTTTAAAAGAGAGCGTGATAAGTTACTAAACTTGTTTACACTTGTGAAGGAGGAATTAATTTCTTTATATATTTCTTTTTTTCTTTGCTACATCCTTATTTTTTTCTTTTCTTCTTTTCTGCACCATCTATTTTTCTTTTAAAGTTGCTATTAGTTTTTTTTTATTGTGGCAATTGTAAATTTTACTTACATCACTATATAAAAAAAGAGAGAATTCTGAAGTCAGGCTAACTGTCTGAGCTGTGTTCCAGCAAAACCAGTGGTATTTTGGCTATTTGTCAGAACTTGGTCATGGGAATGCAACATTGCCACCACAATAAATGCATTTTCTTCTAAAGATGCCTTTACTGTGCTCTTCAGGGACCATGAATTCCCCCATGACTTGCTTCATGAAAAACATCCTCCTTCCTAAACGTCTTTTGATGGTCAAATATTGAAAATGCTCAGGACTTACTTTAACGTCTCTGCCAGAAAAAAGCTCTGCTGCATGTTGTCATGGCTTGGGGTGGTTGAATACACATCACGGATTCCAGAGAAACCAGCTTCTACTCGGCAAAATTTCTCCAGCGCCTGATTTGGAAAGCAAGGAAGAGAAGAAAGTCAACTCAGTTCCAAGAATGGCAACGCAGCGCTCCTTCATCATCATGGGTGGAAGGAGGTGATGGCGGTGACCCTACATGGCTCAGGACCTGGATACCTTCGAGACCGACTTCTGCCACCAGTAGCCTCCCACCGGCCAATTCGCTCCCACAGAGAGGGACTCCTCAGGGTGCCATCAGTTATGCCGGCTGGCGACACCCAGGGGAAGGGCCTTCTCTGTGGGAGCTCCTGCCCTGTGGAACGAACTGCCCCCGGAAATACGCAAGATCTCCGACCTCCGTGTGTTTCACTGTGCCCTTAAGACCCTGCTGTTCCGCCAGGCAGGGCTATCTATGTAAATGATTTTTAAATTGGTGTTTTAAATTTTGGTTTTAAATTCTGGCCGAAATTGTTTAATACTTTTAACTATTTTAAAACTGTTGTTGTATTTTGTGTTTTTAATTTGGCTGTACACCGCCCCGAGTCCTTCGGGAGGGGGGCGGTATATAAATTAAATGATAAATAAATAAATAAACTAGGGAGCAGCCGAGGTGAAGGTTTCTGTGGGCTTCTCCAGCAGCAGGAATCAATGGTGACTCTGCTTAGGTCTCATGTGCCCTCAGATCAGTGGTGGGTTGCCCCTGGTTTGCACCGGTTCTATAGAACCAGTAGTAAAACCGGCGGGAGGCTCTGCCCACCGACCCCGACGTCATCAAAACTTCTGCTTGCGCAGAAGAGCGCGCGACCCCACTGAGAACTGGTAGTAAAGGTAAGTAGAACCCACCCCTGCCTCAGATGTCTACGGAAATTCTCAGTCATCCAGGCCATGGTTGTCCCAAAGGTGTTTTTTCAAAGGCAACTGGACTTTCCTCCCTCTTAATGTTAAGGTCTTAAAACATTAAGATTGAACAGCTCTTACTCAATAGAGGACATCACCTATCTCCTGTTTACAATATAGTTGTTGTGGCCTGCCAGCGGCCTGCACGGATTGTGGCTGATCCCGACGACAAGGAGGCTGGTGTGGTGTCGCGCCAGCAGCCTGTGCAGCCAGTGCTCGAGTCGGACAGCGAGGAGGCTGAAGAGGATATGGTGCCAGAGGCAGAGACTTAGCCAGGACTTTCAGAACCTCCAGAGGGTCCTTCAAGTGAAGAGAATGAAGTGGAGGAGCCTCTTCTCAATGCTCGAGCACGCAGGGCTGCCAAAAGGCAGGAGTGGCTACTCAGGAGGAGGTCTCCTCGAGAGTAAGGCTTGGGGCTAATTGGCCACTCCCTTAGCCTATTTAAGTTCACTCACAGATAGCATACGCTGCTGGAAACAATGTTTAATTACTATGCAGAGCATTTTGAGTGAGTTTCTTGTTACATCGTGGTTTCTGGGCTGGTTGCCAATCCTTGTCGGACTTTGTTTATTCTCTGTAATTCATAGCAGGCTGATAAGGACATTTGCACTGAAAGCCTGCATTTTGAAAGGGGTCTGTTTGTATTAAACGGAGTTTTTGGAGTTTTGTGTGTGTCACACTCCTTGGGATCCGGAGCTGGGGCAGAACAATAGTCCTTTCAACAGTTCCAAGAAGGTTCCACACCCATTTCCACTATTCAGGTGACTCTGAGGGCACAGATAAAACTTCAAGGTAGCATCAACAACTCTCTAAAAGGATGCAGATGACCAGCTGTCTGCAAGGAGTATAAATCCTTCCATTCCTCACCATCCAGTCAGAATTGAAGAAGTTTCTTGGATGAAAAGCAAAACATCTTCAAGGAAAAACAAAGGAAGTCCAGTTGCCTTTTGAAAAAGCACCTCAGATGACTGGGCTTCCAGCTTCCCTTTCCTACCCCTCCTGCATTGGTCTAGATGGCCTACATAGTCTTCCTTCTTTTCGCATCTTACCATGACTGCTATGTGAGGCCAACTGGGTGGCCCAGTGTTGCCCAGGGACTGGAGCAGGTTCTCCTGGCCTATTGTCCCACCCTAGCTTTACTTCCAAGGTCATTGGTTTCAGAAAGAAAAGAGAGCCTTCCTTCCATAAATTTCTCCACAACAATCCTTATTGTGAGATAGGATAGGCTGAAGTTGAGATCAGGCCATGTCACCCTGGGCACTTCGATGGCTAAAGGAAACTTTGTTTTGATTCCTTGCGAGGATGGGAGGGCAGGCATTTCTTGTCTTTTGCTGGGGAATCTTAGATAAGAATCTCAGATAAGATTTCAGAAATCTTTCTGAAAATTTTCTGCAACTGTGGGTCCTCAAATCCTCATTTTATGTTACAGGGAAGCCCATGAAGGATCATCTACTTGGGTGTTATTGAAACTAAGGTCCTTGTGCTAGAGAAGCTTTTAGTTCAGAGGTCTCCAACCTTGGCAACTTTATGACTTGTGGACTTCAACTCCCAGAGTTTGCAAAGCTGGCTGAGGAACTCTGGGAGTTGAAGTCCACAAGTCTTGAAGTTGCCAAGGTTGGAGACCCCTGTTTTAGTTAAATCCAGCAGGGCTTCTCTTAGAATCCATAAAGAGATCAGACATTGTGGCTGCCATGTGCCACAAACTGAAGGGTACCATTCAGGACTGCAGCATAAAAGACAGAATGCTCTGAGCCAGCAGTAGAAGTTTATTGATTTGATTTGATCTGATTTTGGGGCTGCCGGACTCCAAATGAATCTTCACCTTTTTTTGTGCATCCCAAAACAGATGGTCATAAGGCCCAAGTAAATTACTAAAACATGGATGTTTGGGGCCAGATAAAGGCTAGTTAATGCCCTCGGTACTGCCTAACAACGGAGCCCTCTCTACAAAAGTGAGATTCTCACAACTTGAGATGGAAACAAATGTGATCTCCGACAACACCTTCAAACCAAACATTTAGACGTTAGTCAAAGAGAACAGGCTGAGAACCCTTTTTCTGACTTACTTGGACAGCTTCCCAACCCCACTCTCTGTACTTGGGGTCATGTGTCAACCTCCACAAGTAGAAGTAGCTCTCTACAACCTCGGGGCGCAGGATGTAATAACGATCGCTGAGTCGCGTGGCCATCGCTTCCGTTCCAGAATCAAACCGAAATGCTTCAGGGCCCAGGTTGGTATCTAGCCACAAAAACAACAACAAAACAACAACAAAAACAAAAACAACAAAACAGAATGGTCAGAGGATGCTTTGATAGCTGCAGGGTCAGCTAAAATTTGGGGTGAATGTGTGAATTCACTAAACAAGTACACAGTATATCATGAACACTTTCACGGCGAAGTAGAAACATTTTTCAGATCTCTTGCAAGTGAAAAAAATGAATTGATCCTAAGCCTTAAGTGCCTGCATAATTTCCATTAGAAGGACCTGACCTGGAGAAGCAAACATCATCACTATTCAAGTTAAACTGAAGGAAATAGACCAATCCTCAGTTTGGACATTAAAAGAGGAAAAAGATAACCAATCTAGATGTGATCGATTCTCCAGAAGGTCTTTAAAAGGGGTCTGGGTTAGAGGCCGTCCCTAGAATCTATGAAGCCTTATCTGACCGTTCCCAAGGGAATGCAGTCAGTCTGGTGAGATTCTTGCAACATGGGTGACTAACAATAAAGCTTCTGCTTGAGATTATTCATGAGCGGCCCTGGTTGGTTTGTACCCAAGACTAGATCAAATGCCGTCCTTTTGTCAAGACTGACAATTGACACCTTTCAAGGTGTTTATATATTTATTTTTTTTATTTTTTATCAAAATATCAAATCAGTGCTTGAACAGTGTGGCACCTGAGTGTCATACATTTTAATACAAATAAAACTAATCAAGTTAATCATAATCCTTACATTCAATCCGCTTATATATTTCTATTAATAATGCATACTTATATTAATTTATAGTTTTTCATTATTCAATTATTCCACATTTTCTCTTATTACTTTCATTTTACGATGTAAAAAGTATACACTAATATTCCCCCTTTTCTTGTTTCTATCACTTATTCTAGCTTTTGATCATATCACCCTTTATTAAGAAACTTTTCCTTTCTTTCTTGTCTAACTTCTAATCATGTCACCTACTTAAAAAAAGAAAAAAGGAAAAGGAAGGAGAGAGCGACAGAAAAGAAAAAGTAACTCAGAACAACAGGAAAAAAAAATCATCCATCTACCATCTCTTGACCGCTTCAATACTTTATTTGCTATGCTTTACAAGAAAAATAGGAAAGAAGAAAAGTAAGTCAAGACAACAATATAAAAATAAAAAAGATCTATCCATCGTCCCTTGCCCGCTTCAATAAACAATTGACACCTTTCAGCTGGAGGTACTTTCCAGCTCTGGCAGAACATGGAGACTAACAAATAATCGGTTATAACAACACAGTGGTGCATTTGTGACTTCAGCTGGGCAACTGGAAGCAGATGGCCAACAGCAGTAGTTGAGGATGAGGTGAGGACTGGGAAGTGTGGCTTCACTAATGGAGATTACCTGTGTACAATATTAACTGGTGAACAAGAGTGCGCAGAACCTTTTTTCAAAAACGGGGTTGGATTTTTAGATTTTTACCTGAGCGAATGTAAGATTCGTGACAAGTGTGTGTTATTTTCCCAGCTAGATCCAAGTAATGCTGTTTCTCTTCTTCCAGGGCGTGTTCCGCTCCGAGGGCTATCATGCCCCCAGAAAAGCAAGCCAAGTGCCCCATTTTATGATCCAAGATGCCTCCTCGCCATTCGGCAATATAGGTTAGTCCACCAGGTGATTTTTTGACAAGGTGCTTTTCTATGGCCTAAATTTCACAGCATTTGGAAAAGAGAGAGTGAATTATTTGTGTGGAACAAAGAAAAACGAAGCAGGTTTAACACTGGTAGAAGTGTCAAAAACTACGCATGCAAATAGTCCAATGGTTCACCCAATATACGAAAGGAGATGGCCATTATGGTTAGTCATCTAGTCTCTGCTTCAAAAAGCTTCGTAACACAACACCCGTACCATAAATTGTATCCAGAAACCAATCAGCAACCAATATAGGACGTGGAAGAATATAGTTCCAGTAGCAAGAACCAGTAAATACACAGGTGGCCTTATAGTGGACTAATTGCAGTTTTAAATTATTTATTTATTTATTGGTTCGATTTATATGCCGCTCTTCTCTGGAGACTCAGGGCGGTTTACAATGCATTAAGCAATAGCCTTCATACTTTTGTATATACCTGCTTAGTAGGGCTTTTGTATCTTTTTTATACAAAGTCAGCTTATTGCCCCCACAATCCGGGTCCTCATTTTACCTACCTCGAAAGAATGGAACGCTGAGTCAACCTTGAGCCTGGTGAGATTCGAACTTGCAGTAATTGCAGGCAGCTGGTGCTACTTAACAGTACTTAACAGCACTTTTAGTCTGCTGCACCACCAAGGCTCTTACAGGTTAGTCTTCACTTAACAATCCACAACTGTGACTGGAAACTTTGTTATGTACGATGTCATATCATGTCATGCAATTGTGCCACTAAGTGCCAACAGTTTCGCCAGTCCTTGTTGCAATCACTAAGTGAGGCTGCGTGGTTGTTATGCGAAGCTCTTGTGTGACTATAATTTGCTATTTCCTCCTGGTTTCCTCATTGACTTTGGTGGTCAAGAGCCAAGGAAGATTCCAAAGGGAGATTGAATCCACCCCTTGGAGGCAGTGACCATCTGTTGCTTAGAGTAGAGAAAAATGGGGTAACACAATAGCTGCATGTGAAGGATGTTTAATGTACAAGACAGAGCAACCTGGTTCAGAATTGATTATCAGTAGAATCAGCTTTAAATATACATATCAGTGGTGAAATCCAATTTTTTTTTACTACTGGTTCTGTGGATGTGGCTTGGTGGGCGTGGCATGGGAAGAATACCGCAAAATCTCCATTCCCTCCCCACTCCTGGGGCCAGCCAGATGTGGTATTTGCTGGTTCTCTGAACTGCTCAAAATTTCTACTACTGGTTTTCCAGAACCTATCAGAACCTGCTGGATTTCACCCCTGATATATATGTAATATGATTTTTCTTGAATCTTTTAAAAAAGCATAAACAAACATAAAAGCAAAAATATACTAATATAAACTTAAGGGGAAAAAAAGAAAGCAAAGAGAAGGCAAAAAGTGCAAGGAAAGAAAACTTGAGAAAAAAATAGAAAAGGAAGAATAAAGAAGTGGCTTTCTATATTCTTCATAATGATGGAAAGTACAATGATATTTCAACTTCTCCTGCCAAAGTTACTGGCTTCCAGGATTTTCAAGAGCTGTAGGCTTTTTTGTCACAGCTGGAGTCCAGCTCCACAATTTGCAGTGCAGATGTTCAATTCATCAGGCCAAAGTTAGAAGGAACGGCATTTATCCTCGCTGTCTTTTCTATTGATGTGAACCTGTTTACTTGTTGAGCCATTCATCTGTAATTTTATCGGATGAATCAACACTTAAGATGTCCGTGAACAAGAGATGACGCAGATTACATAATTGCCTCATTTGCGTGATGAGATCATCCATCATGCATTGAGGCATCCCTTGCCCTTTCCTCTCGTCCTGCAAATGTCCATGATTCAACCAAAACTGAACCACACAACCCGGCTAAAAAAAACATTGGAAATGCAGAACTCTTTCAGAGATAGGCAATATTACATCTTCTAGCCCCGAATACCATTCGCTTGGGCTTTTCTCCATTTTCAAAATAGACTGTTCAGAAAGTTATAGAACCAGAGTACACCAGCACCACTCTCACTGCTTTTAAAACCTGTAGCTAGTTTGGAGAACACATTCAATCATCTTTTATGGCAATGAGGATAGGAACATAGGATCCACTGATTTGCCTATTGTCTTATCCAGCATGGCCATAAAGAAGAGTTTGGAACTGTTAAACCTTGGTTGGGCAATCTTTTGCCTTGCTGGGGCCACATTGAGTGAAGAGGAATTAATAATGTTAAAAATTTGCGATCTTGTGATTACTAGCTATGCAGGGCCATATAAAGTCCATGCCACACAAGCTGAACACACCTTGTTGAATAGAATAGAATAGAATAGAATAGAATAGAATAGAATAGAATAGAATAGAATAGAATAGAATAGAATTCTTTATTGGCCAAGTGTGATTGGACACACAAGGAATTTGTCTTGGTGCATATGCTCTCGGTGTAGATAAAAGAAAAGATATGTTCGTCAAGAATCATAAGAATCATAATGATAGTCATAGGGAAACAGTCCATATAAATCTTAAGGATACCAGCAACAAGATTATAGTCATACAGTCATAAGTTTAAGTTTAAGCTTTTAGTTTTGTTCAGCAGTGTATCCAACTTCTCTAACTGAATTCAAAACATCCTGTGTAGAGTATCCTAGCAGAAGTTGGAACTCAAAATATCTCTGTGTTTTTCTTTTTCAGTCAAAAGCCTTTGTACAAAAATACTTGAAATGATTTGTGGACTTTGCCCATGAAATAGGATGTTTCACCAAGGAAGCAAAAGGGCTCCAGACAAAGCAGTTTGAAACGGTTTTGATTCTGAATGACTGCAATGTGCCATGTTTCCTGAAGCCAACGAGCCATTCTTAACATTAATAATGAAACAAACTCTTTAATATTTCACGTATTGTGGAGTTTGCTAGTATCAATAAATAAATATAATACCATTTTCCCCCCAAAATAAGACCCTGTCTTACATTTTTTTGAACCCTGAAATAAGCACTTGGCCTTATTTTTGGGGAGGTCTTATTATTTTGGGGCGTGTGGAGCAAGATGGGGCTCCTCTTGCCATCTTACCTGATTTCCAGCTCTGTGTTTAAATATTTTCGGGGAGGGCTTATTTTATTTTTTTTTTTATTGCAAAAGTTTTACAATTACATTTTCACCCCTTCCCCCCCCCCACCGCCCACCCCAAACTTCCCAACCTCCCTAACCCTCCCCTCCCCCCAGACTTCCCTATATTATACTCATATCTGGTAAAAAAATAAAAAAAAACCCTTAATATAAAACTTGTGTAAAAACTTGAACCCCTCCCTCCCCTTTATAATTTTTCTTTTTACCCTCATTACATTAAAATATTTCTAATACATTATTTTCAAATAAAAGCTATTTGATACTTTCTAGTTTGATATTTGTTCTGAACATATTCTATCCACTTTTTCCATTCCCATTCATAAGTCTCTTGTGAACAATCTTTTAAGTATGCTGAAATCTTCGCCATCTCTGCAAAACTGGCCATCTTCAAAGTCCATTCCTCAATAGTGGGCAAGGCTTCATTTTTCCAATATTTACCTATCAACAATCTTGCTGCTGTTATCATATACAATATCAGTTTTATTTCACCCAGTGTAAAACCCTTAACTATACCCAATAAAAACAATTGTGGAGAGAATTGAATTTTTTTCTTCAAAACATTCTGCATGACCCACCAAATTTTTATCCAAAAAGCCTTAACTTTCCTACAGGTCCACCAAACGTGATAATACGTAGCATCCAAACATTCACATCTCCAACATTTTGGCTGAACATTAGGGTACATACATGACAACTTTTTGGGATCTAAATGCCATCTATAAAACATTTTATAGAAATTTTCCCTCAAATTCTGCGACTGTGTAAATTTAACATTCTGAACCCAAATTTTTTCCCATGTTTCCAACATCACTGGTTCTTCAAAATTTTGTGCCCACTTAATCATACAATCTTTAACTAATTCAGTTTCTGAATCCCTTTCTAACAAAACATTATAAAGCCTTTTGATATGCATTGGACCTTTCTCTTTTATATGTCTAACCAATTCTTCCTCGTGCAACATAATACCAGTTTTTTGGTCCTCTTTCCATCTCAATTGTAATTGATTATATTGTAACCAAGTTAGATTAATCCCTTCGTCCAACAGTGTCTGCAATGTCTTCAGCTGCCATCTGCCCGCATCTGTAAAAAGAACCTCTTTGTATAAAAACCCCCCGAGTGACATTATATTTGTATTCCACAAAATATGACCAAGATCCAGCCATAGCGGTATTTTATAATCCCATTTGAATCGGTGCTTCTTCCAAACTCTCATCAAAGAGTCTCTAAGTATATGGCTTTTAAATACTTTATCAACTTTGTCATCATAAAATAAGTAGGCATGCCATCCAAATTCAAGATCAAAACTTTCTGCATTCAATATTCCAGCCTTTTTCCTTCCAAACCAATCGCTTGTTAAAGTTAAAGCTGCTGCATCATAATATAACTGTAGGTTTGGAAGTTTAAGACCTCCTCTTTCTGGAACATCTTGCATAATTTTCAATTTCACTCTCGGCTTTTTCTCGTTCCAGACGAACTTATTCACTCCAGTTTGCCAGACTTTCAATTGTTTATCACTTTTAAGCATCGGAATCATTTGAAACAAAAAAAGAAATCTTGGCAAAATGTTCATCTTAACTGCTGCTATTCTTCCAAGTAGAGACAGCTGCAGTTTTTTCCAAGTCTCCATGTCTTTCTGCACCTCTCGCCACAACACCTCATAATTATTTTGAAACAATTTCATGTTTGATTCTGCAACCTGAACTCCTAGATATTTTACCTTTGGTACAATCTCAAAACCTGCCCTCCTTTCAAGCTCATGTTTACGATCTTGTGTCATGTTTTTAGCTATCATTTTAGTCTTTTTTGGATTCAGTCTAAAACCTGAAACTTTACCATAGTCTTGTATAATGTCCTTCATCAGGATTATTGATTCCATTGGCTGTGATAGGGTAACAACCAGATCATCTGCAAATGCCTTTATTCTGTAATCCTCTTGCCTAATCATTATACCTTTCAGGATATTAGAGTCCCGTATTGTATTTAGCAAGACTTCTAGTGTTAAAATAAATAAAAGTGGGGACAGCGGACATCCCTGTCTTGTTCCTTTTTCAATTTTGAACTCTGTTGTCAAACTTCCATTAATAATGATCTGTGCCTTTTGCTCTTGGTAAATTGCTGAAATCGCCTGTATAAATTGATCCCCAAAGTCCATCTTTTTTAAAGTCTTTAGTAGAAAATTCCAATCCACTCTATCAAAGGCCTTCTCTGCATCCAAAAAGACCAGCACTGCAGGAATCTGTTTATTCTTATCAAGATATTCCAATAAGTCTATTACTTGCCTTACATTGTCCTTCATATATCTGCCCTCAATAAATCCCGCTTGATCATCATGAATCACCTTTTGGATTACTGGCATCAACCTGTTGGCTAATACTTTCGCATAGATTTTATAGTCTGTATTCAAAAGAGATATTGGTCTGTAATTCTCTGGTTTTTTAGGACCGACTTGTTCTTTTGGTATCAAAGATATATAAGCTGTTGTCCATGATGGGGGTATTTTACCCCCTTGTTGAATATTGCAAAATAAATCTCTAAGTTGTTCCACCATTTCAGCTTGCAAAGTTTTATAATACACTGCGGTCAAACCATCCGTGCCAGGAGCTTTGGCTGTTTTTAACTGTTTAATTGCCACTATTATCTCCTCCTCTGTTATAGGATAATTCATTCTTTCCTTTTGTTGATCAGTAATTTTTGTAACTCTTTTATCGTTTAAATATTTTTCTATAAGTCCATTCTGCACCTCCTCTTTGGCGTATAGTTTGGTATAATAGTCCACAAAAGCTTCTTTAATTAATTTTTGTTGAAAAATTTCTTTCCCTCCAATATCAATACTATCAATAGTCCGTATACTCTGTTTTTTCCTCAATGTGTAAGCCAACCATCTGCCCGGTTTATTAGCGTTACAAAATGTATTGTGCTTCGCATATTGTATGTTTGTTGCAACTTGTTCCGCCATAAGCATTTGAAATTGATCTTTCAAAAGTTTTATAGCACCGCATATTCTTTCATCTGTTGGATTTTTAATAAGTAACTGTTCTTTATTCTCTATTTCTATTTCCAATTCAGATCTTTTCTTTTGTTGAATCAGTCTATGTTTAGAGTTCATGTAGATAAGCACCCCTCTCATATAAGCTTTACTTGCATCCCACACAATTTCTATTGGGGTACCTTTATTCAAATTTATTTCAAAAAATTCTTTCAGGTGCTTTTTAAGTTCTGTTGTGTTTTTTTCATATCTGAACAAGTTCTCATTTAATCTCCAAGAACGTCTCTCAATCTTATCCATCTCAATTTCTATCCATACTGGGCTATGGTCAGTCAAAGTTCTTGGAAAAATCTTTGTTCTTTTTGTCTTGACAAGTAAATCATCTGTCAACAAAATGAAATCAATCCTAGAGAAGGATCTATGTCTATCTGAAAAAAAAGTATAGTCCAGTTCTTTTGGGTTATATATTCTCCAAATATCTTTTAGTTCCAAATCTTCTTTCATATCAAAAAAGGTCTGAGGTAACCTAATCCTAGATTTCGCTGAACTCCTTTTATCTAATTTAGAGTCTATTACTCCATTCCAGTCTCCCATGATTAAAATAGATCTATAGTCCCATTGTAGTACTTTAGTATGTAACATTTTATAGAAATAATCCTGTTGTTGGTTGGGAGCATAAATTCCTATCAAAAGAATTTGGCCATATGTTGTAAGTAATTCAATTGCTACAAACCTACCATCTTCATCTGTTTCTATAACTTTAGCCGTAAATTTCTTATTTACATAGATAACCACACCATTCTTTTTTTGCAACGTTGAAGATATAAAATGTATTCCTAGTTTGGAGTTTATCAAGTATTTTTGATCTTGAACTGTAATATGCGTTTCTTGTAGACAAATTATATCATTATTAAATTGTTTCAAATATGTAAATAATTTCTTCCTTTTCTGTGCTGAATTCAACCCGTTCACATTCCAAGATAAACACTTAAGCGTCATCTTCATCTTTCTGGAGCAAAGAGCAGAATAACCGAATATCATCCAAAATCTTCGGAGTCGCTCCCCCCATGGCTCCAGTCTCTTGTATAGTAGTCTTAGCTCCCTTCTTGTCTTGTCTTTCCTGTTGTTGTTGTTGCTTTTGTTTAAGTAACTTAGATTGAGCTCGAGTTATACGTTGATCCTTAACTTCGATCATCCGAACCGGGTCCAAGATTGGAGAAGATTCCAGCAAAGGCTCATCCAGAAAACCTCCTTCTGCGCCTTGCATTTCCTCTGGTTCCTGCTTAGACTGTTCTTGCAATTCTCGTTGAGGTTGCTTCTCATCACTCTCCTTAATCTCCAAAGCTGTAGATGTACGTGGGGATGGTGTTCTTTCCTTAAGAGTAGTAGTGTAGAAGTGCTCTGCCTTCTCCACGGTATTCAAACGATATCTTTCTCCCTTGTATCTCAAGATTATACCAACTGGGGCGTCCCACCGAAATGGTATCTGTTGATTTTGCAATTCTTTAACAAGAAAGCCAAAGTCTTTTCTGGTTTTCAACATTTTAGGAGGTAATTCTTTATAAACTCCAATTTGTGAGCCCCCCACTTGCACAGAGGTGTAAAAGGATTTTTGCAGGATGTCATTTCTTATTTCTCTGTCTGTAAAATATATGACCACATCTCTGGGCAATTGTCTTTGTCTGGCCACCCAAGAATTCACTCTGTAAATTTTATCTATTTTGTGAAAAACCACCTCAGGATTAAGTTTTAAAATCTTAGCCAGAGCCTCAGAACAAACCTGTCTCAAATCCTGTCTATCCTCTTCTCGAATTCCTCGAAGCCGTATTGCAAACTCCATTGCCCTGAATTGTACCATCACGAGTTCGTTTTCAACTCTCTGCATTTTATTGTCAACATCAGCCATTTTATAATCATTATCTTTCATCTTAACATTAACTTCTGATTTAAATTCTTCAACTTTAGAATCAACTTTAATAATAAATTCTGCCAGGCCAGAAGCCACTTCTGATATTTTTTTGGTCACCTTGTTTTGATTCTGTTTCACCATATCTTTAACTTCATTAATTTCCTGCATAAATTCCTGATGTGACTTTTGAAGTTTGTCATCTATCTCCTGTTGAGATTTTTGAAATTTATCATCCAAAATTTTAGAAATAAATTCTTTTAAATCTCCCACATCAAAATCTTTTTTCTGAGTCTGTATCTGTTGTGCAGGGGGAGGCTGTGTTTTATGTGTGGGAGATCCACCTCCTGTTGCCTTCGCTTCCTGCTTCTTTGAGGCCATCCTGCCACGTAGGCTGGTTTTACTAAAAAGGGAAGTTCTTCTTCCTCTCCCACCTCCACAAAGACTTCTGAAAAAGTCCCCCAGATTTAATCAAATAAGAACTAAAGTAAAGCAAAGTCCAATATTGAAAAAGGAGAAATTTCTCTCTTATTTCTCTTGTTACAAGCGAAGCAACTTCGTAACAGTTTAGAAACTTTGTGACAAAGCAAGATGAGTCCAGCAATCCACACTCGCCAGCTCGTTAACTCTGAGGCTAAGCGCCATGTTTTTACAGTTCACTTTCACTCATCCGCATTTTTTCACTCAGATTAGAAAGCCAAGAAAACTCTAATACTTGCGATTCCGAGTTTCAGGGTTCAAGTAAAAATATGCTGCTTATTAAGGCTGGTTCCTTTCCTTTCAGTTTGAAGTTTCCTGTAGCCGGCTTGTTTTGCAAAAGCAGACTTGTCCCACGCCGCCCGGAGTTCCAGCAGGTTAAACGGGAGCCGCTCCTGTTCCCTCCCCAGAAACTATTCCCTGGGGGGGTTGCAGGGGCTCAACCTGTGCCCTGCGATCTCTCTTCAAAAATCCTAAGGATTTTGAAGTTTTCGAGCCGCTTCTTAGTCGCGAAGCGGCTCTACAAGCGGCGGGGCTGGCGGAGCTTCAAAAGGCACCGCCGCCGCCGAAGACGAGGAAACCGGAAGTCGGGGAGGGCTTATTTTAGTGCATGCACTCAAAAGCCCGATTGGGTTTATTATCAGGGGATGTCTTATTTTCGGGGAACTGGCTAAGTATCTCGGCTGCTGTGTATATTTAGTTTGTTTCTTTATTGTGTATATTTAGTTTGTTTCTTTATTGTTTTAATCATTTTTATACTTTTGGAGCTATAAGCCGTTCAGAGTTATTGATTGAGATGGGTGGCTACAGAAATTGAATAAATAAACCAATCATGGTTAAAACTAACTACAGTTCAGGATTTGGACTCAATGATGAACGGGTGGCAGATAATGAAAACTGGAACCACAAGCTTTTAATTTTCTTCTGATGCCTCTGTAGAGATGGAAAACCTGGAATGAGAACCCCCTTTGGAAAACACCCTGTTTCTGAATCATGATGCCCAAACCCAACTTAATGTTAGAAGGATGGTTGGATGGCCTAAGTCCGTCCAGTGATTCTATGCAAAGGTAAGATCTGAATCTTGGCCATCCACTTCCATCCTCTATGGCCGTGATGCAGGGGTGAAATGCTCCCGGTTTGGACTGGATCACCCGATCCGGTAGCGATGGCGGTGGGTGGATCGGAGAACCGGTAGCAAAAATCCCTGCGCCCCCTCCCCCCCATGCTCAGCTGAGTCGCATGATCATCAGAAGTTTTTTTTTTTACTTTTAAAATCATTTTTTCTACAACCTCTTCCGACGAAAAAATGCTTTTAAAAGTTAAAAAAAAAAGCCTCTGATGATCGTGCGGCTCAGCTGGGATCCTCAGAGGCTTTTCAAAGCATTTTTTTCTGCAACCTCTTGGCCGAAGAGGTGGTAAAAAAAATGCTTTGAAAAGTCTCTGACAATCCCAGCTGAGTTGCCTGATAGCCAGAGGCTTTTCAAAGCATTCAAAAAATGCTTTGAAAAGTAAAAAAAAAAAAGTTGGCCACGCCCACCCAGTCACATTACCCCCACCAAGCCACGCCCACAGAACCGGTAGTAACACATTTTACATTTCACCCCTGCCGTGATGGCAAACCTATAGAACGTGTGCCAGACGTGGCATGCAGCGCCTCCTCTGATGGCACGCGAGCTGTCGGTCCAGTTTAGCTCCACTGTACATGCGCGCGTGCCTCCTGCCAGCCAGCTGATCTTCGGGTCTCTGCCACACATGTGGGGGGGGGGGTCAAGGACCGCGCACACATGCACGGGGGTAGGGTGCAAGCGGGGAGCGCGCATGTGCAGGGGGTCGGGGGCATGCAGGGGTACATCCGCATGCACAGGGGGCCAGGCCGCATGCAGGGGGCCGTGCTCGCATTGCATTTTGGGGATTTGGTCCGGAAAAGGTTAGACATCACTGCTCTATGGGGTTTCTCATAAAGTACTTGCTGTTGATCAAGCGCAAAGGGAATGATGCTTCATTCTCCGCCTTACCTCCAGAGCTTTATCATACATGGTTTTTGCTTCGCTATCTTGCTTATCTGACATGAGCCAAGATTTGATCAGATATTCATAAAAACTGTCCCCAAGGCCACCAACAGAGACGTGATCTACAGCGACGGGAAGAAGAAGACAACTTGTCATTAGAAAAGTCAAACAACTGCACTGAAAATGCTTTGGTTGACTAATGTTTTATACATTTTATTTTAACCAACTGGAGAACATCCTCTCCAGTAAGAAACGTGCACAGGAACACAAACAATTTGGAAGTTAGCCTGCTTCTTTTGTATTTTTAATGCCTAAATTCCTTCAAAGGTGTCAAGGGAAGAGAGGGATAGCAAAACAACAACCCCCCCTCCCCCGATTATTAGCCCATCATCCAGAGACAACTGCCTCTCTCTGGTGTCTTCTCAAAGGAATCAAGGTTAAATAATTTTGCTCTATCTTTGTCTAGCAACTGCACTTGAGCAGAGTAAAGAAGCAAATGACCAATTAAGATCTGGACCCAGATCTTCTACTACAAGGTACTGTCACTGTGGGAGTAATGAAGTTTGGCACTGAAAATATATCTATAAAGTACCATAATACCCTTCATTCTGCAGTTTGAAGAGTCTTTGATTCCTTTGGGTTCTTAAAAATCACCTTAAGGACTAGAAACTAGAAACGAAGTTATTCAGGAAGCTGGGCTGTTCCCAATACATTTTGTGCTCCCCTTTGAACAGAAATCAATACATAGCCTTATCCATTATTGTCTTTCTCTATCAGCCCCCCCTTCCTCCCTTGTGAAGGGAAGGCAAAGAGAACCTTAGAGTCAAGTGTCAAAACAGCACAAAAGACTCCTGGACAGGATAGCATTGCAAGTTCATGAGATTTGCAAGCCAAAAAAAAAAAAATCTCAGCCACGCCGTGTAGATTGAACTCGCAGCATCTGGAGAGTTCATCGGCATTTTGTTAAGTGTGATTCGATGCCTGGAATGAATATTAGAGACATTTGAAGGAGCAGGTTGAAGGAGGGGAGGAAGAGAAAACACCGTGGTGCCAGGCATGAAGATGTCTCCAGAATACTAAGGGGCTTTTCCATGGCTACCTCTTCAGACTGCCCTGCTGCAGAACCTGTTAGGGGAAATCTGCCTGGGGGCATAAACTGGATCAAATTTATAATGGGAATAGCATGCTGGAGGGGGGGGATTTTATTTCTACATCTCAGCATCAATGCTCCAGGGTATCCAAGGACATGCGAGTCATCCCCTCCTCCCAGAAAAACTCCCCCCCCTCCTCCCAGAAAAAACAAGTGAAGAGAGAACAAGAGAAAGCCTGGTGGCGCAGCAGACTAATAGCCTGTTATTAACATTCAGCTGCCTGCAATTTCTGCAAGTTCGAATCTCGCCAGGCTCAAGGTTGACTCAGCCTTCCATCCTTTCTAAGGTAGGTAAATTGAGGACCCAGTTTGTGGGGGCAATAAGCTGACTTTGTATAAATATACAAAAGTATGAAGGCTATTGCTTAACGCATTGTAAGCCGCCCTGAGTCTCTGGAGAAGGGCGGCATATAAATCAAATTTAAAAAAAAAAAGAATAAACACCAGTGAAATTTACTTTCTATGCCACCTAACCAGGGGTGGGCTGCTGGGGGTTCACAGGGACCGCCTACTACCACAAGCAGCCTCCCACCGGCTGGTACGCTCCCATAGAGAGGGGCTCCTCAGGATGCCGTCAGCTAAACAATTCGACTGGCGGCCCCCAGGGGGAGGCCTTCTCTGTGGGGGCACCCACTATCTGGAACAAGCTCCCCCTAGAGATACGGAGGATCCCGGATCTGCGCACTTTCCGCCGTGCTCTTAAGACCCTCCTATTCCAGCAAGTCAGCCTGGCCTAATTTTGTCCCCTGTTTTAAAATTCTTTTAAATGGAAATTTTAATCTGTTTTAAATTATTGGGATTTTTAATTGTCTCGGGCTAAATTATTTAATCTGGTTTTAATTATGTTTTTAACTTTTGTATCTATGTATTTTATTTTGTGCCTGTTCACTGCCCTGAGTCCTTCAGGAGTAGGGCGGTATATAAATCTAATAAAACAAACAAACAAACAGGGGTTCGGGAGAACCTCTAGCTAAGATTCTGTGCAGTTTGTAGAACCCCCAAATCCCAACTCCTGGCTGGCTGGCCCTCCCTCTCCTCTCCCCTCCAAGGAGTCCCCACACTGCCCGTTTTGGATGCAGGTAAGTGCAGGGTGAGAGCGGAGGCTCGGGGAGGGTGAAAAACAGGCCTACTGGAAGTTTGGGAAGGCCAGAAACGGGCCCAGAGTGCCTCTGGAGCCTGGGGAGGCCGTTTTCGCCTGCCTGGAGGCTTGAGGAAAGCCTCCGGAGCCCGGGGAGGAAAAAAATGCCCCCCCCCACCATGGTGCAGGAGGCCGACTAGGCCACGCCCACCAAGCAACCAGATAGAGAAACCCTTGCTAAAATTTTTGAAGCCCACCTCTGCACCTAACCTAGGATGCAAATGTATATACCAGGGGTGAAATGCTCCCGGTTTGGACTGGCTCGGGCGAGTAGGTAGCGATGGCGGCGGGCAGTTCGGAGAACCGGTAGCAAAAATCCCTGCCCCTGCCCCCCATGCCCAGCTGAGCCACGCGATCATCAGAGGCTTTTTTTCTTTTAAATGCCTCTGACGATCCAAGCTTTGACGATCCCAGCTGAGTTGCCTGATCGGCAGAGGGTTTTTTAAAAACCCTCTGATGATCAGGCAACTCAGCTGGGATCGTCAGAGCCTTTTGAAAGCATTTTTTTACATGGTTTTACATGTAAAAAATGGTTTTAAAAGTAAAAAAATAATTGGCTACGCCCACCCAGTCACATTACCCCCCACCACCAAGCCACGCCCACAGAACCGGTAGTAACAAATTTTAGATTTCACCACTGGTATATACCCCCTCATCTACTGTTACCCTGTGGGATTTCCACCTGAAACAGAGCTTAATTTACAGCATGTTTTCAGATTAGCGGGCTTCTTTGTGATTGATTTGTGTGAGCCTGTAATGCAGGGTTTCTCAATCTTGGCAGCTTTTAAAATGTGTGGACTTCAACTCCCAGAATTCCCCAGCCAGCCATGCTGGCTGGGGAATTCTGGGAGTTGAAGTCCGCAAGCGTTAAAGTCACCAAGGTTGGGAAATCTTGTATAATGGTATAGGAAAGCTGACAAAAGCCTGACTGGATTGCATATTGCAATACAGTGGTACCTTGGTAGTCAAACTCCTTTGAAACTCATCGAGTTTGGTACTCGACGCATTTTGACATGAATATTTTGTCCTGGTACTCATTGTTTGTTTGGTACATCATTTGTTTGGTACTCAATGCCCAAGCTAAAATTTGTCAGTGTCGGCTGCTTTATGACTCACTACATTATTCCTTATGGGGAGAAAATGTTTGGTGCTCATTGTGCCTCGTGGAATCAATTAAGGATGAATACCGAAGTGTCCCTCTATAGCAGAGGTTTTCAAACTTGGCAGCTTTAAGACTTGTGGACTTCAACGCCCAGCAAAGCTGGCTGGAGAATTCTGGGCTTGAAGTCCAGAAGTCTTAAAGCTGCCAAGTTTGAAGACCTCTGCTCTATAGTATATTTTAGGATGGCTTGAGAGAAAGCTTAGGGCAAACCTGGATATGCCCAGTCCTATGGCCAAGGAAAGTAATAATTGCCCATTTTCCCTGTAGTTTCTCTTAATGCACAAGTACTTCTGTCTTCTCCAATTTGGTTATCTCAGGCAGGGGAATTACTAAGCAAGTTATTTGGAGCAATTGGAAAAGTACTCTTATTCTGGGCATTAACAATTGGATTCAAAGCATGTGTAATTTATTCACTTTTGCAAATACTCTTCCCCCCCCCCCCAATTATCAAAAATGGTGCCATATGTTTCTCTTTGGCAGAGATTCATGATGTTTTGCGAGAAAAAGAGAGTATTTTCCCCCCTCTGAATTTGACATTTCCTTACATTGTTTAATTGTTGATATACAACGGGCATGCCTAGATGGTTCATAATTTCCCCCTTCATTTGGGTTTTGGCTCATTACGGCTTTTTGTTTTTCCTTTGCATTTGTCTACCATTTGTTTCTTTATTTTGTTTTTGTAGTTCCCTTTTTTGCATTTTGGTGTATTTTTTTTAAACAATTTGTAATAAAATAAATGTTAACAAATAATTAATAAATATCCTGTCTCCCTTAAATCTTCTTTCCTCCAGACTGAACCTGCCCAAGTTCTTTCAGTCTGTCCTCATAGGATACGTCCTTGTGTTCCTCTTCCATCTTTGTTCTCCTCTGAATTCTGATAAGCTTGAATTCTCTCAAGAACTTGGCTGAAAACTCTATGCAAAGGCTATTCATGACCTCTATATTATTTCAAGTGTCAGAGGAAGCACGTTTTTTTCAATCTTTAATCTCGCAGAGTTTCCAGAAGTCTCTTTGGATGACAAGCAAGCTGAACCTCCCCCCCCCCATCTTTTAGAATAGAATAGAATAACAGAGTTGGAAGGGACCATGGAGGTCTTCTAGGCCAACCCCCTGCTTAGGCAGGAAACCCTACACCACTTCAGACAAATGGTTATCCAATCTCTTTTTAAAAACGTCCAGTGTTGGAGCATTCATAACTTCTGCAGGCAAGTCGTTCCACTGATTAATTGTTCCAACTGTCAGGAAATTTCTCCTTAGTTCTAAGTTGCTTCTCTCCTTGATTAATTTCCACCCATTGCTTCTTGTCCTGCCTTCAAGTGCTTTGGAGAATAGCTTGACTCCCTCTTCTTTGGGGCAGCCCCTGAGATACTGGAAGACTGCTATCATGGTTCTTTGGTCCCTGGTCCTTTTCTTCACTAGGCTAGCCATGCTCAATTCCTGCAACCGTTCTTTATATGTTTTAGCTTCCAGTCCAGTGGTGGGTTGCCCCCAGTTCGCACCGGTTCTATAGAACTGGTAGTAAAATCGACAGGAGGCTCCGCCCACTGACCCTGACATCATCAAAATGCTTCTGCGCATGCGTGTGGCCCCATTGCAAACCGGTAGTAAAGATAAGTAGAACCCACCCCTGCTCCAGTCCCCTAATCATCCTTGTTGCTTTTCTCTGCACTCTTTCTAGAGTCTAAACATCTTTTTCACATCGTGGTGGTGACCAAAACTGGATGCAGTATTCCAAGTGCGGCCTTACCAAGGCATTATAAAGTGGTATTAACACTTCACGAGATCTTGATTCTATCCCTCTGTTTATGCAGCCCAGAACTGTGTTGGCTTTTTTGGCAGCTGCAGCACACGGTTGGCTCATATCTAAATGATTGTCCACTAGGACTCCAAGATCCCTCTCACAGTTACTACTATTGAGTAAAGTATCACATATACTGTACCTGTGCATTTTGTTTTTCTTGCCTAAACGTAGAACCTTACTTTTTTCACCACCGAATTAAATTTTGTTAGATAGCGACCTAAAAGCATATGCATCTCCTTATGCTCTATCGCAGTGTTTCTCAATCATGGCAGCTTGAAGGTGGATGGACTTCAACTCCCAGAATTCCCCAGCCAGCCATGGAATGCTGGCTGGGGAATTCTGGGAGTTGAAGTCCATTCACCTTCAAGCTGCCATAGATAGAAACACTGCTCTATTGTTTTCCTTTGGTGGTTTCAAGACCTGTGCTAGGTCTTGAGCTCCAGCTGTTATTTTCCTTTTTCAAAACTACATTCTGCTTCACTTTTAGAAAAGCGCTCCTATACGAATCTTCCTTTTCCATCCCCACCAGTTTGGTTACTGCGTGATCAGGCGTCCCAATTGTTATCCTTCCAAGTTCCTTCTGCCTTCTCCTCTATTGGATTTCTAATCCGTGCTTGCAACTGCAGTAGCGAATTGCTTCCCCCCCACAAAAAAAGGGGGGACTATCCCTCTCTCCTAATGGGGAGATGGCTATTGTAGATGCGTTGACTGTCTTCAAAGAAAAACCTGAAAGTCCAGTTGCCGCTTGAAAAAAAGCACCTTTGGGACATCGATGTGTTGAAATTCGCCTACCCTCCTGGTTGGCCTTTTGTGGTCTTGTGCAAAGGTGGGATTCACTTACCTTCCCTACCGGTTCGCCACATGTGTGCATGTGTTCAGGTTTCCATTCATGTTCTTTGCTCACGTGCGTGCGTGCCATCTGCGAATGCGCCCGGCCTCAAAAACATGGCTAAATAAGATGACATTACATCTGGGCGGGTGGGCGGAGCCTCCCGCAGTCACCGCTACCAGTTTCCCCGAACCGGAAAGAACCGGCTGAATCCCACCTCTGGTCTTGTGTATTAAGAGACATTTGGCAAAACAAGACAGCAGAGATGGCTGCCTCACACCTGTTCAAAGAGCTTGGTTTGAGAGATGGTTTGCGTAAGGAGTGTCTCAATTAGCATTGAGGAAGGATAGCATTTTCGTTTCCCTTATTCAGGAGTCACACTAAGAAGTCTGACATGTATTAATAAACATCACTTTGGCTCAGCCAAGAGAGTCTGAATACTCACGCTGGACCCAGTTCCCTGTGACTGGACTGAGAAAGTTTGGATAAAGCCCTTGAGGTTTCTCGATTCTATTCAGGACTTTGCGAATGTTCATCACCTACAAGGAGATATATAAAAAAAAAAAAATGTAAAAAAAATACTCCGGCTATTATGAACTCTTTGCTATTTATAATAAACTGATTTTATTAATAATGAAGCCACCCACCAAATATAGGGAGTCCTCAACTTTTCATTTAGTGACTATTCAAAGTTACAAAGGTCCTGAAAAAAGTGACTTATGACCAGGGTGGGCTTCAAAAATTTTAGCAAGGGGTTCTCTGCCCAGTTACTGGGTGGGCGTGGCCATGGTGGGCGTGGTCTAGTTGACCTCCTGCACCACGGCGGGCAGGGGGGATATTTGTCCTCCCTGGGCTCCGGAGGTTTTCCATGAGTCTCTGGGAGGGCAAAAACAGCCTCCCCAGGCTCCGGAGGCCCTCTGGGCCCGATTCTGGTCTTCCCAAACTTCCAGTAGGCCTGTTTTTCAGCCTCCCCTAGTCCCCGCATGCGCCCTGCACTTACCTGCATCCAAAACGGGCCCCGTGGGGACTCCTGGGAGGGGAGGGGTGTGCGGGGCCAGCCAGGAGTAGGGTTTGGGGGTTCTCCAAACCTGCAAACCTGCAAACCCCTAGCAGCCTACCCCTGGTTATATGTACGGGGCTAATTTTGGAGAGATTTCAGGCTGATAAAAGGAAAGGTTTTTTATGCAATACAAATAACCCTTGACTTACGACCACAATTGATCGCCAATTTCTGTTGCTAAGTGAGACATTTGTTCAGTCAGTTTTGCCCCATTTTACAGCCTTTCTTGCCATAGCTGTTAAGTGAATCACCAAAGTTGTCAAGTTAGTAACGTGATTGTTAAGTGAATCTGGCTTCCCCGTTGACTTTGCTTGTCAGAAGGTTCCAGAAGGGGATGACATGATCCCAGGACCGGCATAAAAATGAACCAGTTGCTAAGCATCTGGATTTTGATCAGGTGACCATGGGGAATGCAGCGATGGTCATAAGTGTGAAAAACAGTCACTATTTCAAAAAAGTGAAATAGAGCCTTGGTAGTACAGTGGTCTAAAGCACCCTGTTATTAATACCAGCTGCCTGCAATTACTGCGAGTTCAATTCTCACCAGGCTCAAGGTTGACTCAGCCTTCCATCCTTTCTAAGGTAGGTAAATTGAGGACCCAGTTGTGGGGGCAATAAGCTGACTTTGTATAAATATACAAAAGGATGAAGGCTATTGCTTAACACATTGTAAGCTGCCCTGAGTCTTCGGAGAAGGGCGGCATATAAATCAAATTAAAAAAAAAAAGTCACTTTTTCCAGGGCCGTTGTAACTTTGGACAGTCACTAAATGAAAAGCCAAAGACTTCCTGCACATTCATTTGACAAACTCAACGCCATCAGACACGGCGATGACCATTGATTTAGCCAGTTTTAAAGGAGGCTGGACAAAGTCATTGTAACTTGGCCGACTGCACTGCTCTCAACACAGCTGGACCGTGATGGCAGAGGCCATTTTTGTTTGTTTGCATCCAGTGCCTCTTAGTCAGTCTTCTGTAACGTCCTGAAACGCATAGGTTTCATTTAGCTATTATCACTGATAGGCCCACCCTCACGAATGCCATCTGTGGCAGAAGATCCCCAAACAGCTGCTTCTCCAGCAGCCCTTCCACATCAGCCAAAAACACCACAGGATCCCCAAGCCAAAGAGAACTGCAAGAAACCGTGACAAGAGGCAGACTCTGAAATGTCCTCTGTTGCCGAGCAACACACATAACCCATTTTGGCCGGTTTCCCCTTGGCTGTGGACCTTCTAATGGCTGAGGAACCCCTGACCTCAGAAGGTGCAATGGCATCAGACCAGTTTCCCATGCTAAACTGCAATGTAATACAAGCTGTTTTGGCTGGCTGTTTTGGCCATTACATTTATTCTGTTTATACCCTGCCTTTTTTGATTTTTACAAATAACTGAAGGTGGCGAACATATCCAATATATCCTCCTCCTATTTTCCTCACAGCAACAACAACCCTGTGAGGTGAGTTGGGCTGAGAGGGAGTGACTGGCTCAGTCACCCAGCTGGTTTTCATGACAAGGTGGGGCTTGAACTCACAGTCTCCTATTTTCCAGCGTAGTGCCTTAACCACTAGACCAGGGGTGTCAAACTCAAGGTCCAGGGGATGGATGTGGCCCGTGGGGTACTTATAGAGCTCTGTTTTTGCTGGCAGAGGGTTGCAGGAGACCATGGCAGCCCAAAACGGAGCTCGGGAGCCCGCTTTCACTGGCAAGCGCTCGGGCCACCACAGGTGTCAGCGTTCCAAATTAGGCTCTCTTCCAGCGCTGACATGAACGAAATGAAGCAGAGAGCAGAAGCGTTGATTTATTGCTGAGATGAGCTTTTACCTAGTTTTCTGAATGCAACAGATAGGTGCATGGAGGGTGGGGGGCACATTCCTGTGAAAAGAACGTGCCGGGACGTAGAGATGGATCTGCATGATGGCCAATGGGACATTGGGGTTGGAGAGCGGAAGAGGAGGGGGTTGGAAGGAGGGGCCAGTTTGGCTGCAACTTGAATCAGGAATGTCGGATTTTTTCTATTCTTAAATAAAAGTGATTCATTAGAGACTTTGCGTTTGAGAATGAAGTTTATTTAAGATAGCACCGAAGCCTGACAACAGGTGCCCCCGACACGGGTGACGTCGAGCTGGCCATGCCCACCCTGGCCACACCCACCCTGGTCCCCTGAAGTCAAACATAACCCTGACGCAGCCCTCAATGAAATTGAGTTTGACACCGCTGCACTAGACCAAACCGGCTCTGTAAAGGATACCGTAACAGCTAAGAAGACATGTGCTAAAAGAAGATAAAAGCAGGCCATTAATTTGTGTTCAATCTCACCAGTTTCAAGAAACTTTCATTTTACAGGCAGTGTTTCTAATCAAGCTACAGCCATGTATTTGTTATGACATCCAGCTAATCAGGCCTGATGCAAACTTGATGTGTTCGGTAATGACTCACTTTTCTTTACCATACTGTACTGTATGTTAACAACACCAACTGTGACTTTAAGTGCCGAGGTCTGGAATCCCTTGCTTAGAACCGCAGATTGGGTTTGTATCCTGTTTAAAACTTTGTGGCTTCGTTTGGCAAACAGGAGGGAAGGCAACCTAGCCCCAGGCTCAAGATTTGCAAACTTGACTTTTAAGCTCACAAGGATCAAGTGTTGGCGTGCTCCGTTTATTTATTTATTTATTTATTATTCGTATTTCTATGCCACCCACTCTCCAAGGACTCTGGGCGGCTTACACCAAAGACAGTTTACTAAATAGCATATTGCCCCCAACAATCTGGGTCCTCATTTTACCCACCTCGGAAGGATGGAAGGCTGAGTCAACCTTGAACCTTTTATCAATTGTCAAGTTGGCTCCCACTGCACATTAGGGGTGCAGCTCTCTCCGCTGAAGACCCTGGCATTTCAAGTCTGAACACGTATGTAGATTAGCAATGCCCTATTTTTTTTTTTTTTAAAGAAAAAAGAAAGTCCACAAATCTCTAGCTGGGAGCTAATGAACTGATAAGCTTTTCACCAAGTCCATTTCCCTCCAGATGGCTGTTTACAATCGGCACCCGTCGTGCGCGCTCTCATACAGCTTTAGCTTTAATCGACAGCATGCTCTGGGTGGGCGAATCCATTAACAAGCCAGGTTTTTGCATTGACGGAGGGACAGGACTTAGGCGAGTGGGCTGCTCAACTGACCTCTTGGAAAATCACTGAATAAGAATCATCCTCTCTCCTACATTAAGGGATATGTTAGGATGAGGCACTTTGCGTTAATCCTAACTTCAACAAAGGCTTTCCATTAAAGTTGCATATTCATAATCTCCATCCCTGTGGTGCATCTCTTCCTTGTTTTCAGCTTCAACTTTGCCTTTCCAGCTGGTATCTTTTCCCTTCTATCTAAACTCCCATATATTTCCTCTGTTCTCCAGCACGTCTTCTGTGCTAGCCCTTTCTCTCATTCTATGCTTCATTTATATCTTATTATTTCTCTATTTGATTCCTGGCTTCCCTAGTATTTTTCCTCCATGCCTCTCCCCCCGCCACTCAAATTTCCTTTTGCATCCTAGCCTAGGGAAAACGATCAAGCCTATATGACTGCTGGCAAAATGTGACTCCAAATGTATTCTAAGAATCTACTGAGGAAGGGCATGAAGTAATCACCAGATGCAAAGTGTACCCACAGCTACTATCAACTCTCAGCAATAATCATCCCACACTCTTCAAACTCTGAATCTTCACAGCAGGAGAAGGACTCAGGCCTCTACCCACTTTGGAAAAAGTCCCATTACTGTGCAATTTCTCAAGAGAAGTAACAGAAGAAGCTATCAGAGGGTATGAGAGATATTCTAAAGCCGCAGTCACCAACCAGTGATCCGTGAGAAAATTTTGGTGGTCCACAGAAAAATTATTGGCATTTTTTAATATTGCACTAGATACTATTTATCTTTTTAAAAAAATTCATATTAGTGATCTGTGGGATTTAAAATTATGAATTTAGTGGTCCCTGAGGTCTGAAAGGTTGGCAACCCCTGTTCTAAAGCAGTGCTTCTCAGTGTTGGCAACTTTTAAGATGGCTGGATGTCAACTCCCAGAATTCCCTAGCCAGCAGAACTGGGGAATTGTGGGGTTCGAAATCCATCCATGCTAGCTGCTACGGTTGAGAAACATTGTTCTAAGGACTTCACTGATCTACAGTGATCTTTCTTATATTGGATAGCAGCAATTTTGCCGGCAGACAGACGGTGTCTCAGTACAACTGGATGGAGTTAGCCAACATGCTTGGCCCGAAAGAGACCCCAAGCTTCAGCTCCTGATTTAATAATAGCAGTTGCCCCCTAACCTCTTACAGGTTCTCTGCCACAGCCACAAGCAGAAGTGACACGCTTGATTCGGAACTGCCAAAATGATTATGGCTGGGATTAAGGTGGAGGTGTGAGATTCCTATTTCTCAAATCTGGGCCCTTGTTACAGACACAAAGCGAATTTCATTAGAGGCTGTTTTGGGTGGCACGGTGACTGTGTTTGTGAGGGGAGACGACGTGGTAGCAGGTTGAAAGAGGGAGAGGAATCACTTCACGCCCAATTGATAAGAGAGAGAAAGAAAAAGAGGAAGGAAGGAAGGAAGGAAAGAAGGAAGGAAGGAAGAGAGGAAGGAAAGAAGGAAGGAAGAAAGGAAAGAAAGAAAGAAAGAAAGAAGGAAGGGAAGGAAGGAAGGGAGGAAGGAAGGAAGGGAGGAAGGAAAGAAGGAAGGAAGAAAGGAAAGAAAGAAGAAAGGAAAGAAGGAAGGAAGGAAGGAAGGAAGGAAGGAAGGAAGGGCATACTTACTTTTTCAGCATATATGGAATTTCCAGACAGTTCTGAAAGATGCATAAACTCTAAGTGGAGGCTCCCGAATTCAGCTAAAATGCTGCTTCCCGCTGATGCCCATCCCCAGCTCCAGCTCATGCCACTGGGGGAAACAAAAAAAGGAAAAAAAAAAGCTAAGCATACAAAGAAGTGAGAATCCCAGAAAGTTTCCCTTTATTGCACAAGCTTGATCCAGCTCTGGGTGACCTATTCTTTGCAGGGCTTAGTCTGTACAACATTGTGTGTTTATTTTAGCGTTTCCCAATGGTGGAAACATTAAAGGTGTTTGGACTTCATTCAAGGTTCCCAGATTTCCCTAGCCAGCATGAATGGAATTCTGGGAACTGAAGTCCATGTATCTTAAAGTGATTTACTCATTAGCTGTTATTGTATACCTCAGCTTTCCTCTCCATGTTCTTGAAAAACACTGGGCTAAATTTTTTTTTTTTAAAAAATTGATTTATATGCCGCCCTTCTCCGGAGACTCAGGGCGGCTTACAATGCGTTAAGCAATAGCCTTCATCCTTTTGTATATTTATACAAAGTCAGCTTATTGCCCCCACAAACTGGGTCCTCAATTTACCTACCTTAGAAAGGATGGAAGGCTGAGTCAACCTTGAGCCTGGTGAGATTCGAACGTGCAGTAATTGCAGGCAGCTGGTGTTAATCACAATGCTATCAGTCTGCTGAGCCACCAGGCCAAAATTGGTCAAAAATCTGATCATGGACATCTGTACTGGAAAAGGCCCCTTGAACCTAACGCATTTAAAGCCCAAATCTCTCCAGATGCCACTTACATCCGTCTCCTTATTTCCAGCAACTTAGTTCAGAATAATATTGTATAATTTTTGGTGTTTGAGATGGTGTCACATGTGCCGGAAAGGCATTTGTTCTGGCTACAGAGAAAACAAACAGACAGCCCAGGAGCTGATATACATGGATCTGCAGTACTTAGCAGGCAAAGATATAAAAAGTCACATATGCCGTACTTTTTCTTTTGAACACTGCTGTTATTCCTCTGCATTTGTTGGCAACAGGATGTATTTAAATATAGCGTAAATACCAGTTGTGAAATCCAAATTTTTTTTACTACCGGTTCTGTGGGCATGGCTTGGTGGGTGTGGTGTGGCTTGGTGGGTGTGGCAGGGGAAGGATACTGCAAAATCTCCATTCCCACCCCAGGGGAAGGATAATACAAAATCCCCATTCCCTCCCCACTCCTGGAAGAAGGATATTGCAAAATCTCCATTCCCACCCCACTCTGGGGCCAGCCAGAGGTGGTATTTGCCGGTTGTCCAAACCACTCAAAATTTCCTCTACCGGTTCTCCAAACTGCTCAAAATTTCCGCTACTGGTTCTCCAGAACCTGTCAGAACCTGCTGGATTTCATCCCTGGTAGATACCCATAGGATATTAAGTCTGGTCAGTCAAATGATGAGCAGCTTTGAATACAATGTGCATTTTGACATGCATGACTGTGCTTTTAAAAGACGTAAATACTCAGGAGGTAAGCTTAGCCTATGGAAGAGGCAGGAGGGACAATTTGTAGTCAAAAGCAAACATCTAGAGCAGGGGTCTCCAACCTTGGCAACTTTAAGATTATAGTTCTTAAAGTTGCCAAGGTTGGAGACCCCTGATCCAGAGCTTTAGATCTAAGAGACCCCCGAGAAATACAATGAACATTCTGATTTTGCCAAGTGGTAAAATTGCAGGAAATTTACAGAGAGTTAAGATAAAGCATAGCAATCTTAGGAACTTTCCCAGACTTTGCTTCCTTACTCATCTTCTCCAATCAGCCAACACAACCATCTTGATTACAGTCTATTAAGATCATCTCAACCTCTGCGGAGCAGCCTATATTTTTAGGATTTGGGTTGAAAATAGCCTTCGTAATTGTCGGCTTGAGAGAAGTTCAACGACTGCCGTTTCAAAAACAGGAAGACCTGATCCTAATAACTCTTGATTAGCATGGGAGGCAGATTGCGGTTAAGGCTTCTTTTTCCCAAAGACAATTATCACGGCTATGATTATCTGAAGGGAGGAATTAACAGGGAGGCAGCAGATGGCGCTAAGAGGTTTGTGCAATGGACTCCGGAGGACAAACACTTCAAACTTTTTTTAAAAATAAAAACTTGCAGCGTTGAAAAGCCATGGTTCTTCCTTTGACTGGGACTTGGGGAAATAAGATGGGTTTTTGGGTGCAGTTTAATACTTTTAGGTGAATCCCATCTATCTCCACGACTCACAAGGGATTGTGGGGTAAATCCACCACAGATCTCCCTTAAACCTAGCCTGTCTCAGGGAGTTAAAAATCAAATGGTTTGGAGAGAAGATAAAAATAAAAATTGAGTCGGTCTGCCAACAGCTGTGAGGATGCTGTTGAGGCAACTTCAAGATCAGCTATTAGGGGACAAATAGCTTGCTGCCTTCACCCCTCCTTCAACATTGTCCTAAGAACCTGGCTGGAGACAAAATGCTAGACTTTGGACTGATCCAGGAGAATTATGTTTCTGCAGGTAGTCCTCAAGTTATGTTCTGCCCCAGCTACGGACCCCAAAGAACGCAGCACACACAAAGTCTGTACAAACCTTAGTTTACTAAATTAAATCAGTCTTTTTCAAACAAAGGCTGTTAATTAACTTTCTTAACAGCCTACAAGAATCCAAAGAATAAATAATGGTAATCTTACTATGGTTGGCAGAAAGCCCAGAAGCAATTTGCAGAGAACTAAGATCAAGACACGAAGGAGAGTGAATGAAGTTGTTCCCTGCAAATTGCCTCAGTCGTTGTCCTTCCTTAAATAGGCTAAGGGAGTGGCCAATTAGCCCCAAGCCTTACTCTCGAGGAGACCTCCTCCTGAGGAGCCACTCCTGCCTTTTGGCAGCTCTGTGCACCCTTGCATTGAGAAAAGGCTCCTCCTCTTCCTCCTCTTCACTTATGGGAGCTTCTGAAGGCCCTGGCTGAATCCCCGCCTCTGGCACCACATCTTCTCCAGCCTCCTCATTGTCCGACTCGAGTGCCAGCTGCACAGGCTGCTGGCGCATCACCACACCAGCCTCCTCACTGTCGGAATCAGCTACTAGCTGCACAGGCCACTGACGGGCCACAAGAAGTTATGACTGTAATGGAGCCTGCCCAGAGATGGGTTTCAGCAGGTTCTGACCAGTTCTGAAGAACCGGTAGCGGAAATTTTGAGTAGTTCGGAGAACCAGTAGTAAAAATTCTGACTGGCCCCGCCCCCATCTATTCTTTGCCTCCCAAGTCCCAGCTGATCGGGAGAAAATGGGGATTTTGCAGTATCCTTCCCCTGGATTGGGGTGGGAATGGAGATTTTACAGTATCCTTCCCCTGCCACGCCCAAGCCACGCCCACAGAAATTTTTTGAAACCCACCACTGAGCCTGCCCATTACAGTAGTAAGATATGATGGCAATAAAATGGGTCGGTCACATGTGGCAGTTAAGAGAACCAATAGTTCTCAAAGTATATAGGGCGGTTAGTCCTCGATTTACAGCAGTTCGTTTAATGACCATTCAAAATTACAATGGCACTAAAAAAAAGTGACTTATGACCATTTTTCACACTTAGGACCTTTCCAGCATCCCCATGAACATATCAAAATTCAGATGTTTGGCAGCTGGTTCATATTTATGACCGTTGCTCTGTCTTAAGATCACGTGATCCTCTTTTGCGACCTTCTGGCAAGCAAATTCAACGGGGAAGCTAGATTCACGTAACAACCGGGTTACCAACTGCAGGGATTCACTTAACAAACGAGGCAAGAAAGGTCGCAAAACGGGGCACAATTCACTAAACAAATGTCTCGCTCAACAACAGAAATCCGGGGCTCAATTGTGGTCGTACATCGAGGACTACCTGTAGTTCCAGATAATAAGAACGTTTTGCAAGATTCTTGCCTATAGATGTGGGGAAAAAAAATAAAGAGAATCTGTTTGAATCATTTTTGTGCCTTTCTGGATTTTGGGACCGGACAGCAACCTTGTCAAACTGAAGCAGCCTTCTGCCTACATTAAACTTATACTATGGGAACTATTAGGGAGGGGCCGTCCTCACCCTCTTTCTCTTACACAGACTATCTGGATTGAATTGTCTCTTGCTCCTCTGGAATGCAGCCCCTCCCTTCTGGGGATCCGGTCCACTACATTCCATCACATTGAGAAAAAGTGGCAGGCTCAAAGTCACCTAGGTCAGGGGTCTCCAACCTTGGCAACTTTAAGACTTGTGGGCTTCAACTCCCAGAGTTTGCAAAGCTGGCTGAGGAACTCTGGGAGTTGAAGTCCACAAGTCTTAAAGTTGCCAAGGTTGGAGACCCCTGTTTTAGTTAAATCCAGCAGGGTTTCTCTTAGAATCCATAAAGAGATCAGACATTGTGGCTGCCACGTGCCACAAACTGAAGGGTACCATTCAAGACTGCAGCATAAAAGATAGAATGCTCTGAGCCAGCAGTAGAAGTTTATTGATTTGATTTGATTTTGGGGCTGCCGGACTCCAAATGACTCTTTGCCTTTTTTTGTGCATCCCAAAACAGATGGTCATAAGGCCCAAGTAAATTACTAAAACATGGATGTTTCGGGGCCAGAGGAAGGCCAGTTAATGCTCTCGGTATTGCCTAACAATGGAGCCCTCTCTGCAGAAGTGAGATTCTCACTACTTGAGATGGAAACAAACGTGATCTCTGACAGCACCTTCAAACCAAACGTTTAGATGTTAGTCAAAAAGAACAGGCTGAGAACCCTTTTTCTGACTTACTTGGACAGTAGAGTTTCCTGCCTAAGCAGGGGTTGGACTAGAAGACCTCCAAGGTCCCTTCCAACTCTGTTATTCTATTCTATTCTATTCTATTCTATTCTATTCTATTCTATTCTATTCTATTCTATTCTATTCTATTCTATTCTATTCTGGTTTTCAACTGGCTGGGGAATGCTGGAAATTGAAGTCCACAAATCCTAAAGTTGCCAAGTTTGGAGACCTCTGTCCTAAGGGATGCTGACAATCCATCTTTTATCTCCAGTAGGTGTTTCTTCCTTACCTGGATACTCTGATTGTCACATTCATTGGTAGGTTCACCACCCAGAGCGATGATACCAAGTAAGTGTTTCTCGCGGGTTAACTTTAACATAGATCATTCTCGGAGCAAACCAGGCTGTTCATTTTCAAATGAATGAGGATGGAGGGCTACATTTAAAATGGCTTTTCTTCCTTTTGGTGTTCTCCAACCGATTTCTTCTCTCCACTGGCCTCCCCTCGTGGATCTAACCTCGACTTTAAGCAGGAAGGCAAACGCAAGTCCTTGACTTGGCTTCCTAGAGAATTATTCTCCACCCTCGAAAAATATGTATAACTTAAGAGTTATACATACAAATGCTAACCTCAACGCCTTGGTATCGTTTCTTAAAAATTTATGTCATTTTAGTTACTTAAAATGGTGGTTGCTTAGCAATAGATTTCCAGTACTACTCAGCAAAACAAGATTAATAGGCTGAAATCATAAGAAATTTCTTGTGTCATAAATCTCGTTTGGTTTGCCTCCAGGAAGAGGTCCAAGTTATTCTTCTAAATTATAGAAAACTGAAAAAGGGAGAAAAAGAGATTCTTCTTGGCCTGTTTATATGTAGCTGGACAACCTGTGATTCCCTTCCCAGACAGACTTTTGATTCTCAAAGTCCCCGCATTTTGCTGAATGTCCCCCTTATGTCCCTCTGGATTAGGAGCCCCTGCACGAGCCTGTAGCATTCACACAGCTTCTGCACTTTCTAATCAAGGCACGTTGTTCTTCTGGAGGCCTCCAAGTATTTCAATGCTAGCCAAGTTCCCTGGTTTGGGGATGTAGGGTTCAGTGGTGAGCAACCTGCAGCTCCTTGTCTCAGGGGAAGGAAGGATGGATGGATGGATGGATAGAAGGAAGGAAGGAAGAAAAGAAAAGAGAAAAGAAAATAGATGGGAGAGAGGGTGGGAAAGAGATGGGAGGGAAGGAGATGGGGGAGAGGGAGGGAAAGATGGGAGGGAGGAAGGAAAGGAAAGAGATGGGAGGGAGGGAGGGAGAGGGGGAGAGAGGGAGGGAAAGAGATGGGAGGGAGGAAGGAAGGGAGGAAAGGAAAGAGATGGGAGGGAGAGAGAGAAGGAAAGAGATGGGGGAGAGGGAGGGGAAGAGATGGGAGGGAGGGGAGGGAGGAAGGGAGGAAGGAAGGAAGGGAGGGAAGGAAAGAGATGGGAGGGAGGGAGGAAGGAAGGGAGGAAAGGAAAGAGATGGGAGGGAGGGAAGGAAAGAGATGGGGGAGAGGGAGGGGAAGAGATGGGAGGGAGGGAGGGAAGGAAAGAGATGGGAAGGAAGGAAGGAAAGAGATGGGAGGGAAAGAGATGGAAGGAAGGTAGGTAGGTAGGAGGGAATGACCATGTTCGGCCAAATTATTGAACAACTTGGAAATCTAGAGCAGTGGCCCCCAACCTTTTGGGTGCCATGGACCGGTTCCGTGGACAGCAGTATTTCCATGGACCGGGTGGGGGCGTGGTTTCATGGTTCCGCATGTGCATGGATGGGGCTTTGCTTGTTCGGCAGATCAGTTCCTGGCAGGCCATGGACCAGTACTGGTCCATGGACTGGGGGTTGGGGAGCTCTGGTCTAGAGCAACGAATCTTAACTTCAGTTTTAAAATATGTGGACTTTAATTCCCAGGGTTCCCTAGCCAGTTGCTGAGTCTGAGAACTGGTCTGGAATGATATCCTAAGTGCCCTAAGAACGCTCGCCAAGAAGGACATCCAAGGCCAAAGATTCATTACTCTACGATTCAGGCTGACAATTCAAAGAGCAAAAATTAGGTCTTGTTTAGAGGAATACGCTGAACTAAACTCAACGTTGTAAAAATTGTAAAGTCAGATCAGAGAGGTTACAGAAATGCAGCGGGATGAAAAGATGGCCAAAAATTCAGGACTGGGGTTCACCAGTTCCTTTTAATCAGTGGTGAAATGTAAAATTTGTTACTACCGGTTCTGTAGGCGTGGCTTGGTGCTGGGGGTAATGTGACTGTGTGGGCGTGGCCAACTTTTTTTTTTAACTTTTAAAAGTTAAAAACTTTTAAAAGTTAAACCTCAAGAGGTTGTAGAAAAAATGTTTTTAAAAGTAAAAAAAAAAAAGCCTCTGATGATCTCGCGGCTCAGCTGGGCATGGGGGGGGCAGGGATTTTTGCTACCGGTTCTCCGAACCACCTGCCACCATCGCTACTGGATCGGGCGATGCGGTCCAAACCGGGAGCATTTCACCCCTGCTTTTCATTCACTTCTTTCTGTCAGCTGAGGGCACCCCAAAATCTCAGACAAGGGTCTTTCAAATTCCTACCTCCCAACCAACACAGAGACGCCATGAGTAAGCTGAAACCAAGAGAACAGCCAGGGACTTGTGATTACAAAAACAAAGGCGTGGAGAGGGGTTATGACTGCAGAGAACAAGCACGTTGAAGCAGAAAATGCTTTTCAATCCACCTCTGAGGGAAATTCAGAAATTAGTCAACTATGCAAACTTTGGTTTCAGTTCAGGCCAATCTTTCTGCAGCCTGGCAGTTTCCGTTATATTGGTTTCGAGTTCCAATTATCAGCCAGAGTAGCTGTAGTCAATTTGGGATGACAGGAGCTAGATCTGAAAAGTGTCAGTTCAAGTAACCAGGGGAAGGTTGGTCTGAGTCAGGGGTCAGCAACCTGCGGCTCTGGAGCCGCATGTGCCTCTTTCACCCCTCTGCTGCAGCTCCCTGTCACTCAAAATATGCGTCACAACCGCCAATGTGCGATACCTGCTAGCATGCAATTTATTGAACTTTTCAACCCCCGGTAGGCCAACCATGGATAAATCCAAGAAAAGAAAAGTTTCAGAAGGAAACAGAACATTTAATTCAACTACATTTGCTAGTTTTGTGGCCGCTTAAGAAATAGTCAGGCACGGTAAGGTTTTTGTGGCTCCCAGTGTTTTCTTTTCTGTGGGAAACAGATCTAAATGGCTCTTTCAGTGTTTAAGGTTGCAGAACCCTGGTCTGAGTCCTTCTGGTTTCTGTAACACCTGGGGAACACAGTTAGATTGGGAGGAAACTCTGCCCTGTGAACAGAATAGAGCTTTGTTTGGGGAGAAGTTCATGATCCAAGATAGTGTTTCTCAACCTTGGAGACTTATATGTCGACTTCAACTCCCAGAATTCCCTACCTAGCCTTGCCTCGGATCAATGTTTCTCAAACTTGGTAACTTTAAGAGAGGTGGACTTCAACTCCCAGAATTCCCCAGATGGCTGGGATATTCTGGGAGCTGAGGTCCACCTACCTTAAAGACACCAAGATTGAGAAATATTGATTTAAGGCAATGAAAACCCCACTGCAAGAGTTACAGGAAATTTCTCCAAATTAGGCTGGGTTAATAAATCACTGGGAGCCTAAAACACCCAGAAATCACAGCCTCCATAAAGTAGAAAGTGCCAGGTTGTGGGACCAACTGAAAGCTGTCCATCAGTGGTGGGTTGCCCCTGGTTCGGATCAGTTCGCAAGAACTGGTAGTAAAACTGGTGTGAGGCCCCGCCCACCGCCCCGGATGTTGTCATCGGTGATCTGCGCATGCGCAGAAACGATCCCGTTGCGAACTTAGTAAAGGTAAATAGAATCCACCACTGCTATCCATATTTGCTTCCTGACAGCATTGACTTGGCTCCTATTGAAAACATGACAGACAGTCCTCGATTTATAACAATTAATTAAGTGACCATTCGAAGTTATAATGGTACTGAAAAAAGTGACTTATGGCTGTTTTTCATACTTACGACCCAGGGGTGGATTCTAATTTTTTTTACTACCGTTTCTGTGGGCGTGGCTTATTTTGTGGGTGTGGCTAGGAGGTCATGTGACTAGGCGGGCGTGGCTAGCTGGTCAGAGTCATTTCTGGAAGGTCCTCGCACTTACGACCAGTCCTCGGACTTACGACCCGACTCATTTGTTTGCTTTTAACACTGATCAGCTGTAGGACGGCCCTTTGAAGCCCCGCGGCAAGAGTTTAAACAGTTTTTTTCCCTCTAGTCATCAGCTGGGACTCAGGAGGCAGCAACAGATTGGGGGTGGGGCCAAATAAAAGGTAAGAATAACGTGGGGGGGGTGGGAGGGCGGGGGGGGAAGAACCGGTTCGGTGACATCATATCGTCACCGCTACCGGCTCGGCCGAACCGGACCAAACCGGGAGGAACCCACCACTGTTACGACCATTGCAGCACCCCATGATCATGTGATCAGAATTGGGACCCTTGGCAACCAACTCATATTTTTTATGATGGCTGCAGGGTTCCAGAGTCTTGTGGTTAACTTTTGCGACCTTTTGACAAGCAAAGCCAATGGGGAAGTCAGATTCACTCAACAACCATCTTAACAGATGCAGCGATTCACTTAACAACTGTGGCAAGAAAGGTCGTAAATCCAGGCAGGTTTCTCCTCTTATTCTCTATACGTTAGTAACAACACATTACTGTTCCTTGCCTGCCCAGGTTGATGACGCCTCGTGGGATTCCTGTTGGCGTGCTAAAGGCCGGGAGAAGTTTTTCTCCAAGTTCTAGAACTTTGTTCTTGAAGACCTGTTGGAAGAAAGAGAGGAGGGGGTCAGGAAGCAGATACTGTAATAAATGGGAGCTGGATTTCTAAACATAAATCTCCATATGTTCAGCCACTTGGAGCTACTGCCTGCTACACCAGGGAGCCCTGGTGGTGCAGTGGTTAGAATGCAGCATTGCAGGCAAACTCTGCCCATTGCCTGGAGTTCGATCCTGATGGGGCTCAAGATTGACTCTGCCTTCCATCCTTCTGAGGTCGATAAAATGAGGACCCAGACTATTTGAGGGCAATATGCTGATTCTGTAAACGGCTTACAGAGTGCTGTGAAGCATTATGGGGCTATGTATAACTCTAAATGCTATTGCTAAGTGCTAGTGCTACTTCAAGAGAAATGGGTTTGGAGAACTATCCTCGTAGACTACTGTTCTTCTGCCCAGACTGAATGGGCAATATTTGGATGCAACGGCTGTGAGCATCTTTTCTCAGTGTGAATGTAGTTTAGCTTCTGTTGACAACTAGAGCACAGGTGGCTTAATGATGATGATGATGATGATGATGATGATGATGATGATGATGTTTATTGATATCGCTGTCCCAGAGACGTCAGAGCCCAAGAAAAAGAACTGGAAAAAAATCACGAAATATTGTGACCTGGCCATTGAAATTACACGGTTATGGATGAAACATGTAACAGTGATACCCATTGTCATCGGGGCACTTGGTACCATGTCCAAGAATTTTACAAAACACATCAAGAAATTGCAGCTTCCTGCAATAACACCAGCGGAACTGCAAAAAACTGCGCTACTCGGAACTTCATATATATGATATATAATACCACTCTATAAAGCCCTAGTAAGACCACACCTAGAGTACTGCATCCAGTTTTGGTCACCACACTATAAAAAAGATGTTGAGACTTTAGAAAGAGTGCAGAGGAGAGCAACCAGGATGATTAGGGGACTGGAGACTAAAACATATGAAGAACTGTTACATGAACTGGGCATGGCTAGTCTAGTGAAGAGAAGGACCAGGGGAGACATGATAGCAGTCTTCCAATACTTGAGGGGCTACCACAGAGAGGAGGGAGTCAAGCTGTTTTCCAAAGCACCTGAAGGCCAGACAAGGAATAATGGATGGAAAATGACCGAGGAGAGATTCAATTTAGAAATGAGGAGGGTTGGACTAGATGACCTATAAGGCCCCTTCCAACTCTGTTAATCTGTTATATATTTTAAGAAGATACTTGGTTGATACCTAGGACGCTGGCAGCAACCCGTATCAACCGTTAGCACCAGTCAATGGTATTTGTGACACATTTTTAAATGATCAGTTGACTGAGTTTCATGTTTAATGAATAAAAGAAATAATAATAATAAAATCATGAAAACAGATGAGACAAAAAAATAGATGAGAAACCATCTCAGGGCTTCCACTGTGGAAACCACACAGATCTTATTTCTCTGCCATCACTAAGTTTGAGACGTAGTAATGGCTTTGGATGGTGGCTTTTGGATCGTCCCACCATGGAGTAGGGTGTGTAAGTGAGTTTGATCTTTAATAGGCATTAGAAACTTTGATACCTGGTCTGTTTTAAATGGTCTTCAAAATCTCGATTTTTATCAGTGTAGTTTGCTGTCCCTCTTCCGTTAAAACAGTGTTGTTTCAATTAAAGAGTTTTTATCTATTTTACTATTTCAACATTATTTCCCCTTACAAACTGAAACTAAAGGTGTAATAAGAAAGGAAATGAATGTTCTTTCATTTCGTTTTTCAAGAACTGGTATTCAGTAGACACCTATTGTGAACTATTCAAGCAATTGTAGGAGCCAATTCAGCAATTACACAAACACCCATATTAAAGATAAAAACCCAGACTGGAAATAAATTCAGATAAGAAAAATTCAGCCTTTTGAACTTAAGGAAAAAACAGAAGGCCCCCGATAGGTAAGATGCAGTGCATTTATTTATTTATTATTCATATTTTTATGCCGCCCACTCTCCAAGGACTCTGGGCGGCTTACAACAATCGACAGTATACTAAATAGCATATTGCCCCCAACAATCTGGGTCCTCATTTTACCCACCTCAGAAGGATGGAAGGCTGAGTCAACCTTGAGCGGTGAGATTTGATCTGCTGATCTGCTGAACTAGCAGTCAGCTGAAGTAGCTGCAGTACAGCACTCTGACCACTGCGCCACCTTGGCTCATATTACACATGGAAAATCTTGGATTCAATCCTTGGAACCTTCAGTGAAAAGGACGGTTTGGGTTTTTTCAAACTTTTCTGAGGAACCCCAAGGGATCTGCAAGACCTTGATAGGGTACCGTTAGAAATTAAGGGGAAAACAATAAACTTCACTCAAGCACAGGCCAGGGGATCCATAGCAACTTCTCTAAAGTTGGGGCTTGTACAAATAAAGTGAAGCCCAAGTGAAGCCAGCTCTGACCCTACATTATTTATGCTCCAATTATGACCCTGTTTCCCCCCTCCCCCCCATCAATCACATTCGTCAATGGAGCAATTTCGCGGGTTGTAGAGATCACTCCCCTTCGGCTGCTGTAGGTAACCCTGGGATACAGCCTTGAGAGAGATCAGCGTGGAATGTGCATCTGTCTTTGGCTGCTGTGCCATTTCACTGGTTTCCCATTCCCCCTGGCCTATGGCAACTTGAGAGCAGGCCAGGGATGCTTTGCGAGTTGACAGCCATAGCCACCATTTTGCAGATCAGGATTAAAAACGTTAACAGGTTCCACAGCTTGGAAAAGTTTGAAACCCTCCGATTAAGTGGGTGAAGGGAAAGGCTCTTTGCTGGAATGCCTGGAAAGCCAACTTAGATGCCAGTGCAGAGAAAGAGACAGTATGAAATCAGTGCGAAATAGGCCAGTGTTTCTCAACCTTGTCAGCTTGAAGATATGTGGACTTCAACTTCCAGAATTCCCCAGTCAGCATGGGAGTTGAAGTCCACAAACCTTACAGTTGTCTAGTTTGGAAAACACTGTGTTAGATGACTCTTGACATTCTTTCCTACGCTACAATTTTATGATTCTATATCTGGCAGACAATATATTAGGGAAGATTGTATAGGAGGGGGAGGGAGACAACAATGGGTATGGACCCCAACAATGATGCCTCTCTTTCTAAATAATGCATTCAGCTCTCAAAAAAAATTCTTCTCCACCTCTAAGCTCCACTAAAAGGCATCACAATCAATGTTTTTTTTTTGACACCATGATGAATTAAGACATTGGCCAGGACTGAAAATCGTTCTGAGTGGGGACAGAGAAGTAAGTATCTCCATCAGCTTTTCACACACCCCTTCTTCTTCTGTGTCTGGTGGCTGTCATTAACAACCACCATGATTTACGACCATAATTCAGGGCTCAAATATGGTCATAGGTCAAGGACTACTTGCAAAGCTTTAGAACAATTCCCTGTTCCAGTCAGTTTCTCGGTCTTTTTTGAAATCTTGCAAACAGGGACATCTCCTTCTCGCTATTCTCAATTTGCTCCAGTCACCACAGGAACTGAACTTGCTGAAAAGCGAGAAGGCCCGCATCGTTCTGTGCAGATATATTAATCAAGAGTTTTACTTGTTATAAAGGGAAGAACGTTAAGTGATTTACGGAGACATCTTGCAGGATCCAAAGCGTTTGTCTCGATGGTGAAATGTAAAATTTGTTACTACTGGTTCTGTGGGTGTGGCTTGGAGGAGGTAATTTGGCTGGGTGGGCGTGGCCAACTTTTTTTTTTTAACTTTTAAAACCATTTTTTCTACAACCTCTTCAGTCGAAGAGGTTGTTAAAAAATGCTTTTAAAAGCCTCTGACGATCAGGCAACTCAGCTGGGATCGTCAGAGGCTTTTAAAAGCATTTTTTCTACAACCTCTTCGGCTGAAGAGATTGTAGAAAAATGCTTTGAAAAGCCTCTGACGATCGCAGCTGAGCCGCGCAATCATCAGAGGCATTTTTTTTAACTTTTAAAAGCATTTTTTCGGCTGAAGAGGTTGTAGAAAAAATGATTTTAAAAATAATAAAAAAAAGCCTCTGATGATTGCGTGGCTCAGCTGGGCATGGGGTTGGGGGTGTGCAGGGATTTTTGCTACCAGTTCTCCGAACCACCTGCCACCATCGCTACCGGATCAGGCGATCCGGGCCGAACCAGGAGCATTTCACCCCTGGTTTGTCTAAATGAGGAAAGCGCTATTGCCAAAGCCACAGTGGCAAAGCTAATTTGGAAGAATTAAGTAAAAAAAAACCAAAAATCCCTGTTTTTTTGGGGGGGTGGGGGTGGGGAAGGCGTCACAACTTGCTGTGCTTTGCTGTTCCTTTCAAAAGACAAAAAGCTGACCATATAACACTTTTGCACTGCAAGGGTCTTACAATCTGTCATTGGAACCACGCAGCTCCCTTGTTCTATATGCAAAGCCACAGCGGGAGGCCAAACTACTGCTTTGCTCCAGTTTCTGTCCTAGAAATTTTTTGCGCAACCTTTCTACGCCATCAAAAATATATAGTGCAATCAGTCTCAGTGTGTACCACGGAACAATGGAAAAAATAAGCAGGAACTCTACTGCCGCGGTATTATATCATGCTGCAAAGTTCGTTTTGGAACAAGTCATCGGCCCGGGGAAGCAAGGTCACCTTTGAGACCATTTACTCCAAGGAAAGAATATTCTTTGAAGGATGGGCCAGGGTGGCTTTCTCCTTCAGAACCCCATAGTCTTGGTTTTAAGGCTTTTCCTCAAGGCTAAAAGAGAAGGGAGCGGATCTTACCTCTGAAGGGAAGTTATTCCAAAAGGTAGGAGCCATGGTACAAAGCAGTGGCCATTTCCTGGATCCCACCCGCCAAAATTACTTGGCTGATGGGATCCGCAGTAGGTACCTTCTTCCAGCACAAATGGGGTGGGCCATTCCTATAGGGCCCACCCAGGGGTGAAATGCTCCCGGTTCGGACCGGATCGCCAGATCCGATAGCGATGGCGGCAGGTGGTTCAGAGAACCGGTAGCAAACATCCCTCCCCCCCCCATGTCCAGCTGAGCTGCGTGATCATCAGAGGCTTTTTTTTTTTACTTTTAAAAGCATTTTTTTCTACAACCTCTTCGGCCGACAAAATGCTTTTAAAAAAAAGAGCCTCTGATGGTCGCGCAGCTCAGCTGGGATCATCAGAGGCATTTAAAAGTATTTTTTTCTGCAACCTCTTCCGCAGAGGTGGTTGTAGAAAAAAATGCTCTCAAAAGAAAAAAAAGCCTCTGACAATCAAGCAACTCAGCTGGGATCGTCAGCTGGGATCGCCCGAAGAGGTTGTAGAAAAAATGCTTTTAAAAGTAAAAAAAAAAAAAAAAAAAAGTTGGCCACGCCCACCCAGTCACATTACTCCCACCCATCTATCAAGCCACGCCCACAGAACCGGTAGTAATAAATATTACATTTCACCACTGGGCCCACCCCATTTGTGCTCAATTTGTGCTCACTGGGCCACAGCATGCCAGAAACCGTGCCGTGCAAATAAGCGAAGCATCATCCATGGGATGCAGGCAGCATCTGAAACCATGCCGCCCTCTGATCCATGGAAAACCCTTTCTCCATGGAACCAGTCCCTGGTGCCCAAAAAGGTTGAGAACCACTGCTACAGGGGAAGATGGTTCTGCAGCTATCCTGGACCCATGCTATAAAATAGGGGTCTCCAGCCTTGTCAACTTTAAGACTTGTGGACTTCAACTCCCAGAATTCCTGCCCTATAGGAATGGCCCACCCCATTTGTGTTTGATGTTGGGTGGGCATGGGGGGCGTGGCCAGCTCAACGTCACTCGTGTCGGGGGCGCCTGTGGTGGCCCAAGCAATCTGCCAGCAAAAATGAGCTCCTGAGCTCCGTTTTCGGCTGTGACGGCCTCCTGCAACCCTCTGCCAGTGAAAACGTTGGCAGATGCACCGCGGGCTGGTCCTTTGCTATTTCCAGGGTGGCTCCCCGGACCAGATCTAAGTACCTCTAAGCACCCCGCATGCTGGATCTGGCCCGCAGGCCTTGAGTTTGACATCCCTGCTATAGGGCAAGGGTCCCCAACCCCCAGTCCATGGACCAGCACTGGGCCACGGCATGCCAGAAACCGTGCTGTGCAAACAAATGAAGCTCCATCCATGGGATGCAGGCAGCATCTGAAACCATGCTGCCCTCTGATCCATGGAAAGCCCTTTCTCCACGGAACCAGTCCCAAAAAGTTGCGGCTATAGGGGGAAGATGGATCTGCAGCTATCTTGGACCCTGGACTTTAAAGGGCTTTAAAGGTAATAACCATACTTTGAACGCACCCAGAAGCAGATCGACAGCCAAAGCATAAGAGTATAAGGTAAAGGTAAAGGTTCCCCTCGCACATATGTGCTAGTCGTTCCTGACTCTAGGGGGCGGTGCTCATCTCCGTTTCAAAGCCAAAGAGCCAGCGCTGTCCGAAGACGTCTCCATGGTCATGTGGCTGGCATGACTCAGCACTGAAGGCGCACGGAGCACTGTTACCTTTCCACCAAAGTGGTCCCTATTTTTCTACTTGCCTTTTTGACGTGCTTTCGAACTGCTAGGTTGGCAGAAGCTGGGACAAGTCACGGGAGCTCACCCCGTTACGCGGCACTAGGGTTTCGAACTGCTGAACTGCCGACCTTTTGATCGACAAGCTCAGCGTCTTAGCCACTGAGCCACCATGTCCCCATAAAAGTATATCAACCCCTTTTTAAGTCTACCGCCTATCCTAAATTTCATAATAAAAGTTCTCACCAAAGAGATTCCTACTTGCAAGCTATGTTTTATGGAAACGCTTGCCTAGGTTGTTCAGTTCCAAGAATGAATACCCGAAGGTTATGGCAATTAATGCCTTCACTGATGCATTCTCCTTTGTTGAGCTAATGAAGAATGTCTTGGAATGGGTCCATGAAACGTAGGAGCTCATCACACATGACTTTAATGCCAAGGAAGATTTTAGGGGTTTGGTGGAAGAGTTAAAAGTGGTTGTCGCTTTAAAAAAAAAAAGATACTTCACAGCAGTGTTTAATGTGACCCTTGTGAGGGACACAACTCTTTCTCTCTAGCTTCAAGTCATTAATAAATTCAGAACGCAAAACCAAAACCGTGGCCAGCGGGCATTTCTGCAGAGACCAATGTACCAACCTAGTGAACGGTCCAGGAGAAATTGCCCACAGGAGGAAAATCCTACTGGATGAGCCAGGCCAAGTAATTATGCCCAACTTAATTAACAGCTATCTCATGGGTGCTTTGATATTTATCAGGGGGTGCCATTTTTAGCTGGTTTAGGCAAGGGAACAGATGTGGTTTTCTGAGATTCTCCGTGGGGAAATCCATATCGCAACTCAAGATGTGCCAATGGGTCAGTAGTACCAACCTCTTCGCCCGTCAGGTAATAGGCAGACAGGAGTCCTCCAACGTAGCGGATGTTCACTTCGAATAAGGAAGCTTCGCCGTTCTGCTGGAAGAAGAAAATAAGGTCTCAGATTGTATATTGGCAGATATGCGAATGCCAAAATAAGAAAGTGCAACTGAAGCAGCGGGGTATAAAAACACATTTTTTTACTGCACAATCCTTAGCAGAGACACTTGTAAGGCATGGATGGAAATAACCTTATAACCAGGGGTGAAATCCAGCAGGTTCTGACAGGTTCTGGAGAACCGGTAGCGGAAATTTTGAGTAATTCGGAGAACCGGCAAATACCACCTCTGGCTGGCCCCAGAGTAGGGTGGGAATGGAGATTTTGCAATATCCTTTCCCCAGGAGTGGGGAGGGAATGGGGATTTTGCAGCATCCTTCCCCTGTCACGCCCACCAAGCCACGCCCATCAAGCCACGCCCACAGAACCGGTAGTAAAAAAAATTAGGTTTCACTACTGCCTGTAACTTTAAGACCTGTGGACTTCCACTTCCAGAATTCCCCAGCCTGCCACCTCCTTCTCCAGAAGAAAAAAATATATACATAATTTGCATCGTAATCCCCAAAACGAACATTTTCCTCTATCTCTATCTCTTGTAAACAGCTTCTGCAGGCTTTGGGGTGCTGCTGGCTGGTTCTCTCCAGTATTTCGATTTACAAAAAAAAATCTCTTCCCATATCTCATCCCTTATCAATGGTCAAATTACATAAAATGCATCATTCGATTATGAGCAGCAACAGCTTAACTAAGACCTACCAGGAATAGTTAACATAGAGCAGAGGTCTTCAAACTTGGCAGCTTTAAGACTTGTGGACTTCAACTCCCAGAATTCTCCAGCCAGCATGTTGGAGAATTCTGGGAGTTGAAGTCCACAAGTCTTAAAGCTGCCAAGTTTGGGGACCTCCTAACATAGACACTCAGCATTTCTAACAGTGATATATTAGAGTAAGAGCAACTGTTTGTTGCCTCCACATTCTTTTCTTGGTGGTTTTAGCATTTTGAGGAATTCACAAATTCATTCATGTAAGGGGGTGGGGGGGTGGGAGAAAGACATAATAATTAAACCCCAAAGCGGTTTATATCAGCGAGCGTGGATGGAAAGGAGACAATAATGGGAACAAGCTTGTGCAATCCCCTCCCTTCCTTTTTTTTTAAATATATATATAACACTGATGCGCTGGACTGAATTTTCCAACTAGCCCTTTACCCATAAAAATCTTAGAGCAGCTAAATGTCAAAGCAATTGCGGTCAAACCATCCCTTTCAAAAAATTTCCTCCTGTCGATTCAAGTTTGTCCTCTGAATAAATACCGTCTTTTAACAAAAGGTGTGCATGCACAAACATCCTCTTCACCTCCAGGCAGAAGAGGTATTTCTGGACTATGTAAAAGGGCCCATTAGAAAAATAGGAATAAAGGAATAAAGGAATAAAGGAATAAAGGGATAGGATAGGATAGGATAGGATAGGATAGGAGAGGAGAGGAGAGGAGAGGAGAGGAGACAAGAGAAGAGGAGAAGAGAAGAGGAGAGGAGAGGAGAAGAGAAGAGAAGAGAAGGGAAGAGAAGAGGGGGGAAGGGACCTTCTAGTCCAACCCCTTGCTCAGGCAGGAAACCCTATACTATTTCAGACAAATGGTTATCCAACCTCTTCTTAAAAATTTCCAGTGTTGGAGCATTCATAACTTCTGGAGGCAAGTTGTTCCACTGATTAATTGTTCTAACTGTCAGAAATTTCTCCTTAATTCTAAGTTGCTTCTCTCCTTGATTAGTTTCCACCCATTGCTTCTTGTCCTGCCCTCAGGGGCTTTGGAGAAGAGCTTGACTCCCTCTTCTTTGTGGCAGCCCCTGAGATATTGGAAGACTGCTATTATGTCACCCCTAGTCCTTCTTTTCATTAAACTAGACATACCCAATCCCAGTAACTGTTCTTTGTATGTTTTAGCCTCCAGTCCACTGATCATCTTTGTTGCTCTTCTCTGCACTCTTTCTAGAGCCTCAACCTCTTTTTTACATCGTGGTGACCAAAACTGGATGCAGGATTCCAAGTGTGGAATAAAAGAAAAGTGGGCCTTGCATTCTTTCTTATCGTGTTTACAATCAGCATTCACATCAGGTCATTTTGGGAAGATGTGCAGCCTGCTATTATACTGAACGAATGAATTGATGCTGCAGCCATCATTAACATCCCTGGAATTCCATATTCACTTTTGAAAACATTAACTTGCAGCGCACTGATGAGGTTACCCAGTTTGGTAATAAAGCGTCTAGAAAAAAACAACCAAACTCAGAGAGCACCATACATGGTATTTTTTCAAATCTCCTATGTTTAATATTTTTTAATATCCTAATCACTGTTTCTTAACCTTGGCAACTTTCAGACAGGTGGACTTCATGGCCAGAATTCTCCCGTCAGCTTTCTGGTCCGGTAAATTCTAGGAGTTAAAGTCCATCCATCTTCAAACTGCCAAGGTTTAGCAATATTTTCAAAGCTCCCTTTTCTAAGTTCTTGGCAAATATAGGTATTTAAATTTAGAGACAAGGAGGGTTCAGAATCTGTAATCTGGAAATGTTGTCTGTTAGAGCCTTAAGATAAATATCTTGCTTCATGGTAACAAAAATAAATTTGCTACTTGGGGGAATTTGGGGGAGTTGAAGTTCACACATCTGAAAGTTTTCAAGGTTGAGAAACAGTGATGGGATTCAGCCGGTTCGCACCATTTCGGGAGAACCGGTTGTTACCTTTCTGAGCAGTTTGGCAAACTGGTTGTTGGAGGAAATCATTAGGGAAGAGAACCAGTTGTTAAATTACTTGAATCCCACCACTGTTGAGAAACCCTCTGTTACTGTTACTGTCCCTACCCAAAGCGCTTCATTTCTAATCGACTTGTCCTGTTTCATCTGGATTAAAAGAAACGTTCAGTCCACATCTTGTCTCTTCTCCAGTGAAACCTATGACAGGGCTCTTCACAAGGCTTCTGGCTGATTGATTTGTGGGCCAGAAGGGAGAGCTTTTGTGAAAATACAGATCAATAACCTTTCTCTAGTTTGTCTGTTGGCCTATTGATCCGATTCCAAACACAGAGCATTGAGCCAAATTTACGAGGCACGACTGCCCATTTGCAAGCCCATGTTGGTCATCTATTTCAAAACAAAGCTTTTCGAGGGGAGAGGGGGGAGGCAATTTCCTATGCTTTTCCTACAGCCTTGCAGCAAAAACAGAGAGGCGGTCTGGAATGAGAAAAAATGCTGCCCTGTTGGTATATATAAGCAGGGTTGCCAGTCGACAATGGGTTTAAACTGAGAGACCTGGAGAACCTCAGTTTGTGCAGCAACACAAAACTCAAATAATAGAGGGACTGTAGAAAGGCTAAAAAGGGACGCGATGGCTCAGTGGTTAAGATGCTGAGCTTGTCAATCGAAAGGTCGGCGGTTCAGGGGTTCAAATCCCTAGTGCCGCGTAACGGGGTGAGCTCCTGTTACCTGTCCCAGCTTCTGCCAACCTAGCAGTTCGAAAGCACATAAAAAAATGCAAGTAGAAAAATAGGGACCACTTTTGGTGGGAAGGTAACAGTGTTCCGTGCGGCTTTGGCATTTAGTCATGCTGGCCACATGACCACAGAGACGTCTTCGGACAGCGCTGGCTCTTCGTCTTTGAAACAGAGATGAGCACTGTCCCCTAGAGTCTGGAACAACTAGCACAAAAATAAAACATCCCCTGATAATAAGCCGAATCAGGCTTTTGAGCGCATGCGCTAAAATAAGCCTCCCCCCGAAAATAAGCCCTCCCTGAAAATATTTAAACGCAGAGCTGGAAATCAGGTAAGACGGCAAGAGGAGCCCCATCTTGCTCCACACGCCCCAAAATAATAAGACCTCCCCGAAAATAAGGGCAAGCACTTATTTTGGGGTTCAAAAAGATATAAGACAGGGCTTATTTTTGGGGAAACACGGTATGTGTGAGGAGAACCTTTACCTTTACCTTAGAGAGGCTAAACAAAGTGATGGAGCAAACAGGAGTGTCAAACTCGATTTTATTGAGGACCCCTTTAGCGTCGTGTTTGACCTCAGGGGCGTGCTGGGGGGGGCGTGGCTAGGGTGGACATAGCCAGCTTGATGTCACTCGTGTCAGGGGCACCAGTGGTGGCCCAAGCGCTCTGCCAGCGAAAACGGAGCTTGGGAGGGCCACATGTGGCCCTCCCAAGCTCCGTTTTCGCTGGCAGAGGGTTGCAGGAGGACATAGGAGCCAAAAACGGAGTTTGGGAAGGCTGCGCGCAACCCTCCCGAACTCCATTTTTCACTGGCAGACGCACTGCAGGCCAGTCCTTCGCTGTTTCCAGGGTCTAAGTACCAGGATCTAAGTACCCTGTGGGCTAGATTTCACCCGCGGGCCTTGAGTTTGACACCCCTAAAATAGAGCATGGGATGGGATTCAGAGAACCAAGAATTTATGGCAGGGGTAGGTTCTAAATTTTTTTACTACTGGTTCTGTGGGCGTGGCTTATTTTGTGGGCATGGTTTGATGGTCATGTGACAATTCTTTAGGATTTAGCAGAGTTACTGGTCTACCAGGCTTTTAACTGCTTGTAGAGCTGTACCAGTCTACCCATTTGTTCTTGGAGCGTCCTGGTCTACCCATTTCTTTTTCGAGCACACTGGTCTACCATCACACTTCCTTTTAACACTGATCAGCTGTAGGGTGGCCCTTTGAAGCCCCGTGGCAAGAGTTTAAACAGTTTTTTTCCTTCCAGCCAATCAGCTGGGACTCAGGAGGCAGCGAAAAATTGGGGGCGGGGCCAAATAAAAGGTAAGAATAACACAGGGGGGCGGGGGAGCTCTTCTCCTGAACAAAGAGAACCGGTTTGGTGACATCATATCGTCACCGCTACCGGCTCGGCTGAACCGGGCCGAACCGGAAGGAACCCACTACTGATTTATGGGCTATTTCAAGCATTATAAAAACTGTGGGTAAACCAACCTGGAGACAAACAAATTCATGGAGAGTAAAACAATAAACACATTACAAGTCAGTCTGGGCTAGAGGCTAAGACATCAGGCTAGAAATCAAGAGACCGTGAGTTCAAGTCCCACGTTAGCCACGAAAGCCAGATGCGTGACCTTGGGCTAGTCACTCCCTCTCAGCCCAACCAGTGGTGGGTTGCCCCCGGTTCGCACCGGTTCTATAGAACCGATTGTAAAACCAGCAGGAGGCTCCACCCACCGACCCCGATGTCATCAAAACGCTTCTACGCATGCGCAGAAGAGCACGGATGCGGCCCCGCTGCGAACCAGTAGTAAAGGTAAGTAGAACCCACCCCTAAGCCCAACCCACCTCACAGAGTTATTGTTGTGGGGAAAATAGGAAGAGGAAGATATGTTGGATATGTTCAACACAGAGTGGAGATGGATAGACTTACAAAAGAAATAAAAGATAAAGGAGAAACAGAGTATTATATGGTATGGAATGAATGGTACAAATGGTTAGAGGATAGGTGTAAAGGTTAAGGAAAGATTAAATGAAGAAGATTTAGGAGTTAGAAACTAGTAATAAATTTGTATAAATTGAAATGACACATATTGAATGATTGTAATTTAATATATTAATATATTAATATGTATAAAAGATAATAGAACCACATGTATAGATAAAGGTAAATTGAAGTAAGGAGGGGAAAAAGGAATATATAATGGATATTTACTGATGTGGAAATGTTGTAAAGAAGAAAATTATTGAAAAATTTAAAAAACTGTTTAATAAAAATTACCATGTTTTCCCGAAAATAAGATCCTGTCTTATATTTTTTTGAACCCCGAAATAAGTGCTTGGCCTTATTTTTGAGTAGGTCATATTATTTTGGGGCGCGTGGAGCAAGACGGGGCTCCTCTTGCCATCTTACCTGATTTCCAGCTCGGTTTCCCTAACTCTAACCAGAGGAAATGGCGGGGACCGGCTGTGCATACATTTAAAAATTTTTTGGGGAGGACTTATTTTCAGGGGAGGGCTTATTCTAGCGCATGCGCTCAAAAGCCTGATTGGGCTTATTATCCGGGGAGGTCTTATTTTGTGGGAAACAGGGTATTTAAAAAAAAAATCTACTCTGCTCCAAGCTGAATTTCTTCCAGATGTTTGTGAGTATAATTCTCCTCAACTTTCATTGCTAATCATGCAGCCTATAGTTGGTGTAATGGCGCCCCAAAATTAAAAGAAATAAACCCTGGAGGGTCATCTATAAAGACTTCATCAGTTCTCCTTCGCACCAAAAAACAGTCAAAGGTAGAGCATGGACATTTTGGTCACAAGGAGATCCAGCAAGGGATGCCTCAACCAGGGAAGCTTTCTAAGTGATCTTGGGCCTACCAGGCTCTCTCAGCTCAAGAGCCGAGATGGTGGAGTGACGAAGATGCTGCACCTCTACGAAACATCAAATGGCAGCTGGAAGGCCTGGACTTCGAATACCTGTAGCTGCTTAGTTCTCAAATGATCCAGCTTTTTGATCAGAGATATTCCAGATGGGGAAGATGGAAAGAGGAAGGAGGCGATCTACAAAGATATAGACCAGACTTTTTCAACGTTGGCAGCTTTAAGATGGGTGGACTTCAACTCCCAGAATTCTGGGAGTTGAAGTCCACCCATCTTAAAGCTGCCGAAGTTGAGAAATAGTGATAGAGGCGCTGATTGGACTATTAACTGATCTGGCGATCAAGTCATTTCTCCTTTAATCCTTTTACCCTACTACCTCCCATCTCAACTGTATGCTGTCCTATTCTCGGTGTGTTTTTACAGTGTGCCAGGTTGGGGTGTGAGGCGGAGGACCAGTCAAAACACTAGGGTTCAAAATACAGCAGGGGTTCCTGCCAGAGAACAGAGAAACCTATTCAAAGACTGACTCACCACATTCAAGTCAAAGCTCTTCTCCACCCAATCTTTGGCTTCCTGGAATTCTTCCTGCAGCTCCATGACGTACAGGGTATCCAAGGCATCCACCACGGTGGCTCCCCGGAGGCCTCCTGCAGAGACAGAAACCCGCACAGTTAGAATGGACCTTCAGTTGACTTTCCACCGAGGGACGCAGAGGTCAGAGTGGCTGTAAAAATTGCTGCTGGGATGTAATCCTGAGACTGCTTTCTTAATGCATATAGAGCCGTGATAGAGGAACCTATGGCACACGTGCTGGAAGTGGCACGCAGAGCCGTCTCTCCGGGCATGACAACCGTTGCCCGTTGCTCTTCCAGGTTCTGGCACCGCCCAGCTGGTCTTTGCGTGCAGGGAGCGCCGTAAACTGGAAGAGTGGCTCCCTGGTGCACATGTACTAGTCTTCGTGCGTGCTTGCCTGCCAGAAACCGGAAGACCAGGAGACCGACACGCATGTGCACGCCAGAAACTGGAAGCTCTCGCTCAGGGGTGGGTTCTACTTACCTTTACTACTGGTTTGCAATGGGAATGCGCAGATCACCCATGATGATGTCAGGGCAGGTGGGCGGAGGCAGGTGGCCTCCCGCCGGTTTTACTACCGGTTCTAAAGAACCGGACAGAACCGGGAGCAACCCACCACTGCTCATGCTGGGGAACTGATCTTCTGGTTTCCGACGCTCCCACACATGCGCACTGGGGAGCTGCTCTTCCAGTTTCCGGTGGTCGCTCCCCCCCCCCACGTGAGCGTGCCCATTTCGCCACTCAATGCTGAAAAGGTTCGCCAACACTGATATAGAGCATATATATGGTTGGCTGGGGAATTCTGGGTGTTGAAGTCCACCCATTTTAGATAGAGATGCCAAAGTTGGAACCCTTGGTCTACATCAGGGGTCAGCAACCTGCGGCTCTGGAGCCGCATGTAGCTCTTTCACCCCTCTGCTGTGGCTCCCTGTCGCTCAAAATATACGTCGCAACTGCCAAGCGATTTATTGAGCTTTTCAACTTCTGGCAGGCCAACCATGGATAAATCCAAGAAAAGGAAAGTTTCAGAAGAAAACAAGACGTTTAATTTAACTACGTATGCTAGTTTTTTGGCCGCTCAAGAAATAGTCAGGCACGGGAAGGGTTTTGTGGCTCCCGGTGTTTTCTTTTCTGTGGGAAATGGGTCCAAATGGGTCTTTGAATGTTTAAGGTTTTAGACCCCTGGCCTACATGAAACTTATCCAACATCATCTAGTAGTAAGGGACTGCAGTGCCTATCATCCTGTGCCACATGAGCTATGATCCCTTCTCTATATGCAGAGCAGGGTGGAAAGAGACTCCGCATCGCAGGTTGTTTATGCACTCGAAGCTTTGAACAGTATATTAAGATCCTATAATATTGAATTTTTACATCTCCGAATGATTCAGAGGAAGCGACACTGTCAGGAGACTTGAAATGTAAAACCTCTTAATTGGTTCAAAACCCTCCTGATAACTTGCAGCACTCCTCGGCAGAAAAATGGGAAGCCAATGTGTGAACACCTGATAAAAGCGAGCCATGGGCTTCTGAGCAATCTCAACAGCAAAGGACTGGTGGGTAAAAAAATAATTTAGAAAAAAGTGAATCAGGCAGTTTTCTCTGATTCAGATCAGAGAAATAAAGACATCCTGAAATGAAGAGCTGGTTATTAGAAGCATGAGAGTTTAGGAGACACCCCCTATTCAAATAGGAACTGGATGAGTGAGTATGGGAGAGGGAGACGAGGGAGAGACAGAGAAAGAGAGAGGGAGGAAGAGACAAAGAGAGAGGGAGGGAGGCGGGGAGAGAGACAGAGGAAAGGAGGGAGAGCGACGGAGAGCTAGAGAAAGAGAGAGGGAGGAAGAGAGAGAGAGAGTGCGGGAGACAGGAAGAGAGAGAGGGAGGGAGGGATAGAAAGAGGGAGGGAGGGAGAGAAAGAGAGAGGGAGAGAGATGGGAAGAGAGAGAGAGGGAGGGAGGGAGAGAGGGAGGGGAGTGGGAGGGAGAGACAGAGAAAGAGAGGGGGAGGGAGAGGGAGAGGGAGAGAAAGAGGGAGGGAGAGGGAGGGAGAAGGAGAGATAGAGACAGAGACAGAGAAAGAAAGAGGGAAGGCGATGGGGAGAGAGGGGGGAGGGAGAGAAAGAGGGAGAGAAAGAGGGAGGGAGAGAGGGAGGGAGAAGGAGAGATAGAGACAAGAGACAGAGACAGAGAAAGAAAGAGGGAAGGAGAATGGGGAGAGAGAGAGGGAGGGAGAGAAAGAGGGAGGGAGAGGTGGAGGGGAGGGAGAGAAAAAGGGAGGGAGTTGGGAAGAGAGAGAGGAGGAAGGGAGGGAGGAGAGAAGGAGAGAAGGAGGGGAGTGGAAGGGAGAGACAGAGAAAGAGAGTGGGAGGGAGGGAGGGAGGGAGAGAAAGAGAGAGAGAGGGAGGGAGGAGAGAGGGAGGGAGAGGGAGAGACAGAGAAAGAAAGAGGGAGGGAGATGGGGAGAGAGAGAGAGGGAGGGAGAGAAAGAGGGAGGGAGAGGTGGAGGGGAGGGAGAGAAAAAGGGAGGGAGTTGGGAAGAGAGAGAGGAGGAAGGGAGGGAGAGAAGGAGAGAAGGAGGGGAGTGGAAGGGAGAGACAGAGAAAGAGAGTGGGAGGGAGGGAGGGAGAGAAAGAGAGAGAGAGGGAGGGAGGGAGAGAGGGAGGGAGAGGGAGAGACAGAGAAAGAAAGAGGGAGGGAGATGGGGAGAGAGAGAGAGAGGGAGGGAGAGAAAGAGGGAGGGAGAGGTGTTTTCCAGGAGTTTTAAAATGTTATTTAAATTATCGCAAAGCCCACCTGGGGCAATGGTTCACAGGCCTTGCAAAACTGAAGAAAGGATTCCCATCCTTTCAGGGACTGAAGAGCAAAATGCCACCAATTAAGGTGCAGGTTGTAAGAAATACCGAATGCAAAGTTGAGAAAGGGGAAGGTGACTCAGAAACAGCAAACGCTCTCCCTACTTAAATAATGTGGAGCGCTAACTTGGCAGGAATTTCATTGGAATTAACACAAGCTGCGTAACCTGGTGTGATGCTTAAGAGGTTGTGCCTTACAGATCAGGCCCGGCCAAATTGTTGCCTTGTCTAAAATCTGCTCACTTGTCAATGAGGACCCCTTGAAAGGGGGTATTAGGCTACCCTTCCTTTAAGGCACTGTATCTCGACCTTGGCCACTTGTAAGATATGTGGACTTCAACTCCCAGAATTCCTCAGCCAGCATGGCTGACTGGGGAATTCTGGGAGTTGACATCCATACCACTTAAATTTGCCAAGGTTGTGCGCTAGTTACATTAGGAAGAAAACCAAGCACATTAATCGTACACTATTCATGCATTTACAAGCACTTTTCATTTCAGAGGCATTAAGCTACATCATCATCCAGACTAAAAAATCTGAAAAGCAGTGAAGACGCGTGCAAAATGTGTAGAAATCAGGGAGAAATTGCATGCCATTCCCGGAATTCATTAAATTGCAATTGCAAATTATACGTCCTACCCTCAAAACAACTTCACGGGGAAGGAATTTTTTGAACTGGAGGAGCTTAAAATGTTCCAATTTATTACCCTTCATCTTTCATATAATCTGTAGCCTGCACAGTCACTGAGCTAGAAAAAGACCGGGTAACAGAAAAACACAGCTATAGTTATTTGATTTATATCCCATCTTTCTGGTCGGGTGAGCGCTCAAGGCAACTAAAAAAACCCCCGGTGTATTATTTTTTTAAAAAGGTGAAAAATAATAGCAAAATAAATATAAATACTAAAATCTTTCTCTGTGGAGGCCTACAAAGATCAGGGGACCATTCCCTCAGCAACAAATGTGACATTTAAGATAAACTGGTTGTCCTAACAACTTCCCGGTTCCCAGTAATTCAGCTTTTTTTCCTACAAAGAGTGATTCACAGTTTTCCAGCAATGCTATAAGCACATCAGCATTCAGGAACATGTTAGGTATCCAAAACAGCTGGTGTCAACAAACGGTATGGTTGGCTCGGGTAAAATCCTCTCTCAGATCTGGCGGTGATAACTGTCTTTCTTAGCAGGGGGAAACCATGTTTATGAAGGCTAAACATGATTCATGGCACCTCTTGTGAACTGCCCCAGCTGTGAGATATATAGTCCACTAAACACTAGGCTATCCATCAACCTTGTTCCCATGCTTTAATGGAATGTCAAGACAAAAGAGGGTTTCCTGAAAACCTTTGAGAGTGGGTTACGTGTTACGAGAATCAGGTTTGGCTTGATGGGTCGAGATGCTGATGGGGCATCAGGTCCAAGATACCTTGAAGCAGGGGTGCTATTCAGCAGGTTCTGGCGAACCGGTAGCAGAAATTTTGAGTAGTTCGGAGAACCGGCAAATGCCACCTCTGGCTGGCCCCAGAGTGGGGGGGTGGGAATGGAAAATTTTTGCAATAGCCTTCCCCCAGGAGTGGGGAGGGAATGGGGATTTTGCAATAGCCTTCCCCCAGGAGTGGGGAGGGAAATGGGGATTTTGCAATATCCTTCCCCCAGGAGTGGGGAGGGAATGGGGATTTTGCAATATCCTTCCCCCAGGAGTGGGAAGGGAATGGGGATTTTGCAGTATCCTTCCCCTAGGAGTGGGGAGGGAATGGGGATTTTGCAATTCCTTCCCCCAGGAGTGGGGAGGGAATGGGGATTTTGCAGTATCCTTTCCCTGCCAGCCCACAGAACCGGTAGTAAAAAAAAATTGAATTCTACCACTGCCTTGAAGACATTATATTATGAAGACCTGTTATTGTACCTAGCCCTAGAACCCACCTATGACATTCTAGGATTAAAATGAGAAATGGATGTGTCCTCTGTACATTGGTTGAAGCTATTCTTCTTTTCTGCTTTGTTCAATAAGGACAATTCTGCAAAAAATGCATTATTATGGTTTTTTCTAGGGAGGCCTTTATAATGATGGGACGATGATTGAGCATTCATTGCAGATAAGCAACCTGTCCAAGAACTGGAAGCCCAACTGGGTCAATGTGCCCTACAGTAATGGGGGATGAGGGAAAGACTTTGGGAGACTGGGCACAAAGGAGTTGCTAATAGAATGGTCAGGTAAGACAG